CCAAAAAAGAAATAACCATAAGTCGAGTTTACACCTATATTGTTGTTAAAAGAATTCCATAAAATCTTAAACTATAGCACGAATTTTGAAATATGCTACCATGCATGAATTATAAAGATGCATTTAACAAACGATTTGAAATTTATGCTTAATGCACGAGTTTCATTGCTTCTATTATATTTTATCTCTGGTCTGTTCCAAAACCTTGCAATGTTAAAAAATGATAACTAATGATTATGAAAAATTTTGACATATTCATTGCATCTCTCAGAATCACTCAAGTCTTTGAATTTCCAAAATTAAATTTTAGTATTTTACTATTGACCGGTTTCCAGTCTATAAATTGTTGTTGTTTTTTTTCTAAATTTCAGATCAGAATATGAAAACTGCGAGTCATCGTTTAGTAAAATTATTAAAGGAACCTGCTTCATTCACTAATACTGTTGCGAGGGAAAAGCCGGTAGAATATTTCGTAGTTAATGAGGAACTGGATAGTGTTGATGGACAAATATCGATAGAGGAAAATGATGAATTGAACCAAATCAGTGCAGAAATTAGTGAAAATGGTAAAAGAAAATTAAATATAATATCAATAATGCGATAAATCTATATTCTGTTATTGTATAAGTTGTAAAAAATGTTTAGATTTAACATGTGTCACACGAAGTTTTATTGACCTAGAAAAAATAATGTTGTACCTGTCTTGATTAAGTTCGATCCATATTTCTGTCAAACATTTAAAAAGACTGCTTCAATTAATTATTTGTTATAAATTATTTGTTGGCAGAAAGTATTTAATATTTTAATATACAGTACAGAAAATGTTTTATACATGGTTGAGTTTTTTTTATTACTTTTCTTTGTTAAAGTTTACCTTTAAAACACCTTTTTGCCTATTTATAGCTAATAAGGAAGATACCAATGCTGGAGTCTCAAAGCCTTTACTTGTTGAAACAATCGACGGTGATACAAAGTCTGTAAATAAACCAAAGGAGGAGTATATTCTTAACCATTTGAAGGTATATTTATACATTTCCTTACATTGTATAATCTTAATGTTATTATTTTATTATGAATAGCACTTCAAAATAAAGTTGGTTTAATTTATGTTTAATAACATGTGTCATATATTGTGTAAATTAACTATTGACAATTCATTTGTTCATACTTTGTATTTCAATTTTCATTTTAAATATTGCTTTGTTAACTCTCTCAGGATTAAAAAGATAAGATATATGGTAGTTCATGAAAAGTTGGTTTCATTTTTATGTATTACACGCATTATAAGCTGTTTTGATTCACTATTGAAATTGATTTATCTTTACTGCAGTACTTTGCTTTTCATTTAAATTTATTGTTTTATAAACTTCTCGGGATGTATAGATGAAGTAGTTTTATTGAACGCCGCCTTTCCTTGTTGATCTTGCTTATCATATTTTATACAGAAGCTAGTTTAATTTGTGTGCAATACAGGCGTATAGGTTGCTGTGATTAACTATCAAAATTTATTTGTCTCTACTATGCTTTCCTTTTTCTTGTTAACTTTAGGATTTAATAGATGAGGTTAAGCAGTTTGTTAACTTTCTCAGGATTTTATAGATGAGGTTAAGCAGTTTGTTAACTTTCTCAGGATTTAATAGATGAGGTTAAGCAGTTTGTTAACTTTCTCAGGATTTAATAGATGAGGTTAAGCAGTTTGTTAACTTTCTCAGGATTTAATAGATGAGGTTAAGCAGTTTGTTAACTTTCTCAGGATTTAATAGATGAGGTTAACAAGTTTGTTAACTTTCTCAGGATTTAATAGATGAGGTTAACAAGTTTGTTAACGTTCTCATGATTTAATAGATAAGGTTAACAAGTTTGTTATTTTTCTCAGGATTTAATAGATGAGGTTAAGCAGTTTGTTAACTTTCTCAGGATTTAATAGATGAGGTTAAGCAGTTTGTTAACTTTCTCAGGATTTAATAGATGAGGTTAAGCAGTTTGTTAACTTTCTCAGGATTTTATAGATGTAGGTTAAGCAGGTTTTTTTTAACTTTCTCAGGATTTAATAGATGAGGTTAAGCAGTTTTGTTAAATTCTTTATGATTTTAATAGATGAGGTTAAGGCAGTTTGTTAAATTTCTCCAGGATTTAATAGATGAGGTTTAAGCAGTTTGTTAAATTTCTCAGGATTAATAGATTGAGGTTAAGCAGTTTGTTAACTTTCTTAAATGATTTAAAGAGAGGTTAAGCAGTTTGTTAACTTTCTCAGGTATTTTATAGATGAGGTTAAGCAGTTTGTTTAACTTCTCAGGATTTTAATAGATGAGGTTAAGGCAGTTTGTTAACTTTCTCAGGATTTTATAGATGAGGTTTAAGCCAGGTTTTTTTTTTTAAACTTTCTTCGGATTTAATAGATGAGGTTAAGCAGTTTTTAAACTTTTCAGGATTTAATAGATGAGGTTAAGCAGTTTGTTAAATTTCTCAGGATTTAATAGATGAGGTTAAGCAGTTTGTTAACTTTCTTATGATTTAATAGATGAGGTTAAGCAGTTTGTTAAATTTCTCAGGATTTAATTGATGAGGTTAAGCAGTTTTTTTTAACTTTCTCAGGATTTAATAGATGAGGTTAAGCAGAGGTCGGCTCAAGAGGATGATTCCAACATGGCGGATGTCTCGATTTGGGATTTTGCGGGGCAATATGTATTTTATGCCACTCACCAGGTGTTCTTGTCAAGGAGAGCGGTGTATTTGTTAGTCACGGACATATCTAAACACGTGGAAGACACAGTTAAAGATGATGACTGTTTCTTAGATAGCAAAGGTGTTCAAACATTGGAAAATATCAGGTATGCTGTTTGTTAAATAAATTTAAGATGTAATAGAAACTGGAATGTATTGTTTTACCTATTGATGCGAATAGAAATTGTATTATATAAGCCCTCTTACCGTTTTTAACATAATTTTCAAAGCCTGTACAGGAAAACGGTTCAAATCTTCTTATAGTGTAGTTTTAATAAATATAAATCGAAAAAAAAAGAGAAAAAAATATATGTTTGTTTTTTGCAAAGCTTTAAAAACGAAAACTTACCAGTTATAGCTACAAGACAAATAACACATATTTAGATAACAATCAATTTTTATTGAAACGCATAGAAACTCATATAATAACGTTTAAAACTTCTTTTGTCAGTTTATTTGTGTAAAACAAGTAAAAGAAAGACTTTTTTTTCAACAAATTTTTAATTTTCAATGTTTGTTTTTACCAGAATTTGGGTTGACTTTTTTTTAAAACTCTATCCACGGGGTTCTGCAGTTCAAGGGGAAGCTTGATGGTCCCCCTGCTTTCCTTTTTGGGAAAACATTTCAGAAAAAATTTAAAAACAGGTAAAAATCATCCCTTAAATTTTTAAAATTTAAAAGGGGCCCTTTTTGGGTCCCAGAAAAATGTTTTTATTTTTTATTTCCCAAAAAGTTTCCTTTTAAAACATTTTTTTAAAAATGTTATTTAAATTTCCCAATTTTTTTGCCCCTTTGATGTTTTTTTGTTTTAGTAAAATCTATAGTGAGGGAGTTTTTTTTACGGTAAGGAAAATTTACAACTTTTTTTTTAAATTTTGCACTTTAATGAAAAATTTTTTAATTTATTCACCCGCTTTTCCTTCCGGGTGTAAGGATTAAAAATGTCCTTAAAAACCCTTATTTAAAAGTTTTTAAAACTATGTTTGCCCTTTTTTCACGAAAAAAAAAAAAATTTCTGAGGGGATAACGTGCCGTTAATTAAAATTTTTTAGTGATTTGGGGCCCCGGCATTAAATTTCCCCAAAAAGGGCAATTCAAATCAAATTTATTTAATACCCTATTTTTATTACTTTTAAACAGTATGGGTTAGATTTTTTTTTGCCAGTTTTTAAAAAATTTTACCTAAAAAAAATTAAAAAATTATAATAAAAATACAAAAAAACACCCAAAAGAAAAATTGTTAAGATTTTTATAAAAAATGAAAAGTTAGATTGTGTTTGTTTTATAAAAATTTAAAAAAAAGAAATTTTAGGAAAATAGAATATTAAATTTAAAAGTAAAATTTTTTCATTTATTTTTAAAAGTAAAAATTTTTAAAAAATTGGAGGTGGTATAGGATAATAATAAAATAGTCAACTTGGAACCCTAAATGTGTTCAACGGTACCAGTTTGAATGCTGGAACCAACCAAGGAGATAAACAAGCTGGAATTTAATTGAACTGAAATATCAGGGAACACATTAAAATATTGTAAAATATGACTTCAAAGATAGGTTATTTTCACATAAAAAAACAACAGTGTAATCGTTATTCGCAGTATTCAGAGACAAACAGAACATAATTTTGAGCCGTGCCACCGACAAAACCAACATAATAAAGGTTTGCGATCAGCAGGATTTCAAGACCAGCCTGCGCATCCGCGCTGTCTGCATCAGGATCCATGCTGTTCGCTATCGAGTTTCTCTACTTGCTTATAGGGTTTTGTAAGCGAATCAACATTGGATAACCTGATTCAGAACCCGGCCGCGGATGTGCAAAGGCGGTCTTGATCCCATTGGGGGGCTGGGTTTTCCCCCGCAAAACCCCCCCCGGCCCCCCAAACCCTTTTAAATGTTGGTTTTTGTCGTGGACGCGGTCTCATTTTATTTAGATGTGTACATAGTATATCATCATAATTGTTACATATTTAAACATTACTAAATAAAAAATTCACAAAACTGTTTTAAAAATATTGTTGTTTGCGGAAATCCCAAAAAAAGAAAATTCTAAAAGAAAAATTTTTTTAAAAAATGCGAAGTTCCCTTTTGATTAAAGGGCCCCGAACTTTTCACCCCGACAGATAAAAGATTTTGTTATTACAATTCCCGTAAAAAAACTGATTAAAAATTTTGAATTACTGAAAAAGCATTTTTGTAAAAATAGTCCGGGTCAATTTCCGGACACGGGGTGAACTTATACCGGCAAAATGGATCACGTTTAGAAAACATCTTGGTCAAATTAAAAAGACGAAGGATTAAAGGTAACTCTTTTATTAAACGCTTCGGACTAGTAATCTAATGATCGCTAGCCGCAGGGTTCAAACCCTGGACAGGGGGCAAAATCTTTTGTTTCCATCAGCAAGAAACTTAACAATCATTGCCCTCTGTAACTGGTTGGTTTCAAGGAACAGATTCAAAAGTGCGTTTTTAAGCTTATATCTTCCTGCACAATCGAACTAAGATAATTTATACTTGAGAAGGAATTTTACTGTTGACTTGATTGTAAGAATGAGTAAGTATTAATTAATTTAAACCGAAAACGACGAGCCTTGCTTTTACATATTGTAACCAGTTTTAAAAAATATTTTCTAATTGTATACAATTAGATACATGGTAAAATTATATAATTGTAATTACTATGCTTAATATTAGTCTCAGTCGGATGAATGAAATTGAAAAAAATGTAACTTTTACATTAAAGAATATATTTTTTTATTTTTGTTTGTACATGTACAAAAGGTTTTGAAATTTTGTATAGATCTAAAAGTTTGTTTTTGTTTGTTATTGTTAAATCAGAAGGTTGTACTACAGAAATAAATGAAGTATACACGTTTTCTTAATGCGTAAACTTTGTATGTTACCTTCTCTAAGTAAAGAGTATTAAAATTATTGTTTCAGTCTAATCGTATTTCAGATAATTTTACAATATGTCTATATATTATCTTCAATTAAGAAGAAGAACGTTTATCTATCACTTTAACTACAAGTTTCTCGTGATTAACATATTTATACAAGTATACACATATAATGGCATGTTATGAAAGTAAAGTAATTAATCAGATGGAATTTGCAGGTAATTTACAAGGACAGGCTACATGATCTTAATAGCACGTTACCTGTACCAATAGAGAGGGAAGAAGAACTGGAATTGTTCTTGAGATTCCACCACGAATCCGGAAATATTCTTTATTACAGGTACAGTGTGTATTTATGAGTGTGACTGACAAAGATATTCCTTTTTATAAAAAGGCCTAAGTAAAGAAAAATAAAAAATATTGTTTTGGGTGTAGACAGAGTGTATAGAAAAATAAAACATATTGTTTTGGGTATACACAAATTGAATTGACTAAATTTATTTACATTATGACACCTATTATAGAAACAAACTCAAGATTCTATATGACTGAATTGAAAACTATTTTGTTAATATCTTTTAAAAATCAAATTAATTACTTAAATGCACATCATGCCCCAGAAATCCATATTTTTTAATTGTTTATAAATGTCAAACATGTTTAATAATGTTTAGATAATGGATTTAGAGCTTGAAGAAAGTAGCGCTGAACGTGAAGTTAAATGCCATAAAGGTAGCAAAATGTAAACAAAGTTGTACTATTTTGACTCCCGTACAAAATACTAATTCACTATAATTATACCAGTTGCCAAAAGAGCAAACAATACAGATATTTCATCTTTGTCTCAAATGAATCATTTTTGTGAAACTTTTAACAAGATACCAAAAATAAAAGTGTTTGAGAAATAAAAATGATAGCATTTCTGAGGCATAATTGGCCTTTAATCATCAACGGAGAATATGTGTTAGTTGAGGCACCTATTTACAAATTACGTGTTTTGAATAAACGACTTTTCGACTATGCAATGTAGTGTAATAAACTATAGTGTTACTGTGTGGTTTTCCTTATAAAATCATACTTTCAGGACAAGATTTAATTAGTTTTATAACAAAACTATTAAAAAGGTTAATAAACGTACTGACTGCTTGGTTTTTAGGCCAACAGCAAAACATTTTTACATATTTATAATATGCAGCTTTAACCTAAGCTACAGTTTGCATATAGACATATAGGTTAGTGCCGTGGATCTGGCGTGGCGAAGGAATTTATTTGGTGAGCGGAAGGCTGTCCGGTGATAGTTCGGGGCTTTATAAAGTCTTTAAATTTTGCAGGATCTTAGATCATTCTGTTTGTTATTAAAAAAAGTAGGACAACGGGTTCTTGAATATTATACTAAATCAATTTGTAATGTAATGGTGCATATTGGATTTTTATTATACAATAATGATGAGTTCAAAGCAGTTTTACAGTATCATAAATAATACATTATTGTTTGCATTTTAGTGATGATAAGTTAAGCGACACAATAGTCCTTGACCCTCAGTGGTTGATAGATGCCTTTAAGAGCCTTATTACCGCCAAAATGTTCTGCTGCAGAAAGCCGAATATATTCAAGAAATGGATTCAGTTTGACCAGTCAGCAATATTGACCAGAGAGCTTGTTGGTATGAACAAATAATGCAATATTTTACTCCCAAGATTATGCATAACCTGTCCTTTTTGTTTACCTAAAGAAAGGTTCCACATTAAAAAAGTAAAAGCATATATCACTTGACTTTCCTGTGCATTTTAGTACTTTTAAAGTACTTGCAAGACATTATCCATATGTCAGATAATAATTGGAAACGCAAGAAAAGTTTAACGAAACATATTCAATCGAACTGTTGACAATTATTACTTTTTGTAAGTGTTTTATTTTATGGTTGAATCGTTCAGACTAAACTTGTTAGTTATGTTTTAATATGATATGAATGTATGTGAGAAGTTAGCAGTGAACAGTGAGCTAAGCAAAAAGGCATTTCAATTTATATAGGGAAGGTAATGATCTGCTGTAATGCTCAGCTGTATTGGGCATCTAGCAGGGCATTCCTAAATATAGTGTAAAAATGCTCTACTGCAATACTCAGCTGTCTTGGAAATCTAGCAGAGCATTCCTAGCTTTAGTGAAAAAATGCTCTGCTGGAACGCTCAGCTGGCTAGACAATCTAACAGTGCATTACTAAATATAGTGTTAAAATGCTCTGCTGGAATGCTAAGCTAGCTCGGCAATCTAGCAGAGCATTACTAAATATAGTGAACAAATGCTTTTCTGGAATGCTAAGCTGGCTAGGCAATCTAGCAGGGCATTACTAAATATAGTGTAAAAATGCTCTGCTTGAATGCTAAGCTGGCTAGGCAATCCAGCAGGGCATTGCTAAATATAGTGTAAAAATGCTCTGCTGGAATGCTAAGCTGCTAGGCAATCTAGCAGAGCATTACTAAATATAGTGAACAAATGCTTTTCTGGAATGCTAAGCTGGCTAGGCAATCTAGCAGGGCATTCCTAAATAAAGTGTAAAAATGCTCTGGTGGAATGCTAAGCTGCTAGGCAATCTAGCAGAGCATTACGAAATATAGTGTAAAAATGCTCTGCTGGAATGCTAAGCTGGCTAGGCAATCTAGCAGGGCATTACTAAATAAAGTGTTAAAATACTATGCAGGAATGCTCAGCTGGCTAGGCACTATAGCAGAGCATTCCTAAATATAGTGTAAAAATGCTCTGCTGGGATGCTAAGCTGGCTAGGCAATCTAGCAGAGCATTACTTAATACAGTGTAAAAATGCTCTGCTGGAATGCTAAGCTGGCTAGGCAATCTAGGAGGACATTACTAAATACAGTGTAAAAATGCTCTGCTGGAATGCTAAGCTGGCTAGGCAATCTAGCAGAGCATTGCTAAATATAGTGTAAAAATGCTTTTCTGGAATGCTAAGCTGGCTAGGCAATCTAGCAGGGCATTGCTAAATATAGTGTAAAAATGCTCTGCTGGAATGCTAAGCTGCTAGGCAATCTAGCAGAGCAGTACTAAATATAGTGAACAAATGCTTTTCTGGAATGCTAAGCTGGCTAGGCAATCTAGCAGGGCATTCCTAAATATAGTGTAAAAATGCTCTGCTGGAATGCTAAGCTGCTAGGCAATCTAGCAGAGCATTACGAAATATAGTGTAAAAATGCTCTGCTGGAATGCTCAGCTGGCTAGGCAATCTAGCAGGGCATTACTAAATAAAGTGTTAAAATACTATGCAGGAATGCTCAGCTGGCTAGGCACTATAGCAGAGCATTTTAAATATAGTGTAAAAAATGCTCTGCTGGAATGCTAAGCTGGCTAGGCAATCTAGCAGATCATTACTTAATACAGTGTAAAAATGCTCTGCTGGAATGCTAAGCTGGCTAGGCAATCTAGCAGGACATTACTAAATACAGTGTAAATATGCTCTGCTGGAATGCTAAGCTGGCTAGGCAATCTAGCAGAGCATTGCTAAATATAGTGTAAAAATGCTTTTCTGGAATGCTAAGCTAGCTAGGCAATCTAGCAGGGCATTGCTAAATATAGTGTAAAAATGCTCTGCTGGAATGCTAAGCTGCTAGGCAATCTAGCAGAGCATTACTAAATATAGTGAACAAATGCTTTTCTGGAATGCTAAGCTGGCTAGGCAATCTAGCAGGGCATTCCTAAATATAGTGTAAAAATGCTCTGCTGGAATGCTAAGCTGCTAGGCAATCTAGCAGAGCATTACGAAATATAGTGTAAAAATGCTCCGATGGAATGCTAAGCTGGCTAGGCAATCTAGCAGGGCATTACTAAATAAAGTGTTAAAATACTATGCAGGAATGCTCAGCTGGCTAGGCACTATAGCAGAGCATTCCTAAATATAGTGTAAAAATGCTCTGCTGGATGCTAAGCTGGCTAGGCAATCTAGCAGAGCATTACTTAATACAGTGTAAAAATGCTCTGCTGGAATGCTAAGCTGGCTAGGCAATCTAGCAGGACATTACTAAATACAGTGTAAAAATGCTCTGCTGGAATGCTAAGCTGGCTAGGCAATCTAGCAGAGCATTGCTAAATATAGTGTAAAAATGCTTTTCTGGAATGCTAAGCTGGCTAGGCAATCTAGCAGGGCATTGCTAAATATAGTGTAAAAATGCTCTGCTGGAATGCTAAGCTGCTAGGCAATCTAGCAGAGCATTACGAAATATAGTGTAAAAATGCTCTGCTGGAATGCTAAGCTGGCTAGGCAATCTAGCAGGGCATTACTAAATAAAGTGTTAAAATGCTCTGCAGGAATGCTCAGCTGGCTAGGCACTATAGCAGAGCATTCCTTAATATAGTAAAAAAAATGCTCTGCTCTGCTGGAATGCTCAGCTGGCTAGGCACTATAGCAGAGCATTCCTTAATATAGTGAAAAAATGCTCTGGTGGAATGCTCAGCTGGCTAGGCAATCTAGCAGAGCATTACTAAATACAGTGTAAAAATGCTCTGCTGGAATGCTAAGCTGGCTAGGCAATCTAGCAGAGCATTACTAAATATAGTGAACAAATGCTTTTCTGGAATGCTAAGCTGGCTAGGCAATCTAGCAGGGCATTACTAAATATAGTGTAAAAATGCTTTGCTGGAATGCTAAGCTGGCTAGGCAATCTAGCAGGGCATTGCTAAATATAGTGTAAAAATGCTCTGCTGGAATGCTAAGCTGCTAGGCAATCTAGCAGAGCATTACGAAATATAGTGTAAAAATGCTCTGCTGGAATGCTAAGCTGGCTAGGCAATCTAGCAGGGCATTACTAAATAAAGTGTTAAAATGCTCTGCAGGAATGCTCAGCTGGCTAGGCACTATAGCAGAGCATTCCTTAATATAGTGAAAAAATGCTCTGGTGGAATGCTCAGCTGGCTAGGCAATCTAGCAGGGCATTACTAAATAAAGTGTAAAAATGCTCTGCTGAAATGCTTAACTGGCTAGGCAATCTAGCAGGGCATTCCGAAATATAGTTAAAAATGCTCTGGTGGAATGCTCAGTTGACAGACTAATTCTGAGTTCCAGGATTTATTGTTGCCAAAGTTTTATTGACATTTTCGACTTCTAGGCAATCCTGAGGCACTCGCAGACTTTCAGGTATTTTCGGTGCCAATAGAAATAATGATATTTTTTACTTCTAAGGACCTTTAAGAAACTATTTTATTGTCCTGCGACTTTTTTAAGGACACTCGCAGACTTTCAGGAATTTTGGTGCCAATGCTGATATTGACAATTAAGACTTCTAAGGACCCTCAAGAGTCCATTTTGGTCGTCTGCGAATGATTCTTGGACACTCACAGACTTTCAGGAATGGTTGGTGCCAATGGAAATAATCATATTTTTGACTTCTAGGGACATTTAAGAGTCCATTTCATTGGCCTGCAGCGTATTGTTTGATACTCGCAGACTTTCAGGAAAGTTTGGTGCCAATAGAGATGATGGCAATTTTTACTTCTAGGGACCCGCCAGAGTCCATTTTTATGGTCTGCGACTGATTCTGGGACATTCGCAGAACTTCAGGAATCTCTGGTGCCAATGGAGATAATGACATTTTTGACTTCTAGCGACCCACCAGAGTTCATTTCGCTGGTCTGCGACTGATTTTGGGACACTTGCAGACTTTCAGGAATTTTGATGCCAATGGAGATAATGACATTTTTGACTTTAAGGGAACCGCCAGAGTACATTTCTTGGGTCTGCGACTGATTCCTTGCGACTCGCAGACTTTCAGGATGTTAAGTGCCATTGCAGATCATGACTTTTTTACTTTTAAGGACCCCTTAGTCATAAGCAGAGCATTTTTATCCTAAAATGTCATTATCTGCATTAGCACCAAAAATTCCTGAAAGTCTGCAAGTGCCCAATAATCAGTCGCAGACCAACGAAATAGACTCTGGATGGTCAAAAATGTCATAAATTGTAATTATCTCTATTGGCACCAACAATTCCTGAAAGTCTGTGACTGTCAAAGATTAAGTCGCAGACCAAAAAAATGGACCCTGGATGGTCCCTAGAAGTAAAAAATGTCATTATCTGCCTTGACATCAAAAATTCCTGAAAGTCTGTGAGTGCCTCAGAATCAGTCGCAGACCCAAAAAATGGATTCAGAAAGGTCCCAATAAGTCAGAAATATCATTTTCTGCATTGACACCAAAATTCCTGAAAGTCTGCGAGTGACTCAGAATCAGTCGCAGACCAACGAAATAGACTCAGGAGGGTCCTTTTGAAGTAAAAATGTCATTATCTCCAGTGGCACCGAACATTTCTGAAAGTCTTCGAGTGTTCCAGAAACATTCGCAGACAAACGAAATGGACTCTGGATGGTCCTAAAAATTCACAAATGTCATTATCTGCATTAATACCAAAAATTCCTGAAAGTCTGCGATCGTCCCAGAATCAGTCGGAGACCAAAGAAATAGACACTTAAGGGTCCCGTAGAAGTAAAACATGTCATTATCTGCATTGGCACTAAATATTTTAGAAAGTCTACGAGTGCCAAATAATCAGTTGCAGACCAACGAAATTTATACTTTATCTAAGAATGCCCTGCTTGTTTGCCTAGACAGCTCAGCATTCCGGCAGAACATTTTTACACTAATTTTCAGAATGCTTTGCTGGATTGCCTAGCCAGCTGAGCATTTTTAACACTATATTTAGGAATGCCCTGCTAGATTGCTTAGCTAGCTGAGCATACCAGCAGAGCATTTTTCGCACTATATTTTGGAACGCTCTGCTAGATTGCTTAGCCAGCTGAGCTTGCCAGCAGAGCATTTTTACACTATATTTAGGAATGCTCTGCTGGATTGCCTAGCCAGCTGAGCATTTTTAACACTATATTTAGGAATGCCCTTCTAGATTGCCTAGCCAGCTGAGCAATTCAGCAGAGCATTTTACCACTACATTTTGGAATGTCCCGCTAGATTGCTTAGCCAGCTGAGCATAACAGCTAAGCATTTTTACACTATATTTAGGAATGCCCTGCTAGATTGCCTAGCCAGCTGTGCATACCAGCAGATCATGTTTACACTATATTTTGGAATGCCCCGCTAGATTGCTTACCAAGCTGAGCATAACAGCAGAGCATTTTTACACTAAATTTTGGAATGTCCCGCTAGATTGCTTAGCCAGCTGAGCATAACAGCAGAGCATTTTTACACTATATTTTGGAATGCCCCACTAGATTGCTTAGCCAGCTGAGCATAACAGCAGAGCTTTTTACACTATATTTTGGAATGCCCCGCTAGATTGCTTAGCCAGCTGAGCATACCAGCAGAGCATTTATACACTATATATAAGAATACCCAGCTCGATTGCTGAGCCAGCTGAGCATACCAGCAGAGCATTTTTACATTTTATTTTGGATGCCCCGCTAGATTTCTTAGCCAGCTGAGAATAATAGCAGAGCATTTTAACATTATATTTGGGATGTCTCGCTAGATTGCTTAGCCAGCTGAGCATACTAGCAGAGCATTTTTCGCATTATATTTTGTAATGCCCGTTAGATTGCTTAGCTAGCTGAGCATACCAGCAGAGCATTTATACACTATATATAAGAATACCCAGCTCGATTGCTGAGCCAGCTGAGCATACCAGCAGAGCATTTTTACATTTTATTTTGGATGCCCCGCTAGATTTCTTAGCCAGCTGAGAATAATAGCAGAGCATTTTAACATTATATTTGGGATGTCTCGCTAGATTGCTTAGCCAGCTGAGCATACTAGCAGAGCATTTTTCGCATTATATTTTGTAATGCCCGTTAGATTGCTTTGCCAGCTGAGTATAACAGCAGAGTATTTTTTACACTATATTTAGGAATGTCCTGCTAGATTGCCTAGCCAGCTGAGCATACAACCAGAGCATTTTTACACTATATTTAGTAATGGCCTGCTAGATTGCTTACCCAGCTGAGCATACCAGCAAAGCATTTCTACACTTTATTTTGGAATGCTCTGCTAGATTGTTTACCCAGCTGAGCATAACAGCAGATCATTGATTTCCCTATATAAATCGTAATGCCTTTTTGCTTAGCTCACTGTTAACTGCTAACTTCTCACATACGATATGAATACTGTACTCGGAAAGGCACTGATACTTTATATTTGATACCTGCATTCACAGATGCAATTTGGAAACAAGATGAAAGTTCAACATTTAAAGAATACGACGAACTCTTACTAGAATACCTTGAAAAGCTCGGTTTCATTTCCAAACCTCGGCAACAATCTGATGAAATCGGGGTAAGCAACATGTTTTTTGTTTGGTTTAGTTTTACGGCGCACAAACACATTTTAGGCCATATGGCGCCGAAATTTAATAGATGATTGTGACTAACATTGTGTGTTACAATTTTTAAGCAACACAAGGGATCAAAACCACCTCAAGTTCTGGAGCTAAGAGATGCATAGACTCCAATAATTCGAACCCATTTAGTCGCCTCTTACGATCACGCAGTGTTAAACGGTGGCTGCATTTCGGATGCTTTAGTCCGTAAAGGCAACCCCTCAATCACAAACGGAGGGTCAGACTGATAATTTATCAAAAAGCTTTTTAAAAGTGATGGTCAATTACAGAGCAAAAGGCTGGGTAATATTTAATACAATACAAGTTAATTATCATATAAAACAATATTTGTAACAATGGATGATTATGAAAGTGTGATAATATCAGACAGTGACGTTATAACTTTATATTTGTGTTTAGTTTTATGAAATAGGAGGGATGAAATCGCTGATATTTGATTTCGAATATTTTCAACCAGACTACAAATTTACTGGTTTAATGCAAAGTTAGATAACAGTAATGTTACGGAGATCAGTTTCATTATACAAACTATACAAATATGTTTTAAGAGTTCTTAGTTGCATTGCAGAATTGCAAAAGTTCTTAGTTCAATAGATGCAGTATCTATTGTCACGTTACTTGTGACTTTGAAAACAGGCAATGTCTGCATCGTTTAGTAGATGTGAACTGATGTTTTCGAACTGAATTCCACAAGGCTTTTCAAAAACATGTATTGCCTAATTGCCTACTTTATCACCTCAGCTGTTAAGCGAGTGCACTGCAGTAAATGGTAGTGAAACATTAGACCAATGCGCATAATAGTAATCAAGAAGAATTTTAAAAAGTTATGGTAGTCTTAAATATATTTTAAGATATATATCGTAACGGCAATCATGTCATTTATATCCATATGTATATTTTCTAAAAAAGTTGTCTATTCTAAAAATAACAGATTGGATTTTTTCTCGTTACAGGAGATAAATTACTATTTCGCTCCATGTGTTCTTAAGACTTCCCCTCCTGAAGATCTCCTCGTGTGTTCAGACTGTAAAAACCGGCGGTCCACCAGTGTCCTTTGTTTCACTACCACATCTGGATTCCTGCCCACAGCCGTGTTCAACAAACTCCTTGCAGCATGCATTGATAAATGGCCGATCTCGAAGTTAAACAAAAAGAACTTAGTGTTCTGCGGATGTGGAGTGTTTGATCTCGAAGATAATCATAAACTTTACGTGTATTTCTTTGACCATATCATTAACATTTGGATCACTAAATACAGCACTACGGACGAAGAGCCGAGCACGTGTTTATGTCAACACGTGCATGAATTTGTCTCAGAATTTCTGAAAAATAGAATGCGTATAACTAGTGGTATTGAAGTATTTTTAAGATGCAATCAATCAAATATCCACAACAACGACAACCTTTTTGAATTAGAAAACATGTCTGGAAAACAAGAAGTCGTTTGCAATACTGAACCTGTGCATCATGTGCATAGAACCAATGAGCTCATAAAGTATTGGCTATGTAAGTTATTTTTGAACTTCGAAATGTTTGATATTTTTTCTATTATTACCAAATCATCAAAACTATAGTTATAAAAATAAATTTCAGCTAAACAGTGTTATACGGTCGATTTCAACTGAAAACGTTTTTTAAAGGATAATCATTTAATCATGTAAAATCTTCATTAGAATATCCGTTCCTATTTTTTAAATGTCGTACATTCTTGCAAAGGACTATTCATGTAAAAATATTTATGGATAATGTTAAACTTTATCTCCATCTGAGTAAAATCATATCCGAACCGTCGCTCCGTTACTCTTCTCTAGTTAGGTCGCGAAGAGTAACGGAGCGAAAAAAGATTACCTGATTTAAATGAAATTGTTTAATTTCCAATTGTTTTTCTGTTTTTATTCTGATTTTATGTCTGGATTTTTCTTAAAAATTCCTATTCAAACAAATTGATAATGATAGCAGCTATACATACCAGTAACATTATGGTATTATTTTATAGTTTGCCATATAACGAAATTTCAAACTTAGATTTCTACCATTACATCATTTTGTAATACTATTTTTCAAACACGCTTTTTACCAGTATATGAATATACATTACAATTTCTTATAAATATTTTTGAAAAATATAGATTACCACATTTTTGGCAGCTTTGTTGTTTTAACACTTACTAGAAAATCTTTTTTTTATCGCATTCATAATGAGGGAAATGTATTTAAGAACCGTTATCTTTTATTACAGATTCCGATTCAGATCATCAACTGGATGAACTTACAGAAAAGGAGTTAAATCGTATGGCACTACATATCGGAAAAGAATATCAGTCTTTAGGTATAGAACTAGGTCTATCCAACGCTGAGATTGAACATATCTGTCTGGATTATAAAGCCACGGTTGATAGAATTAGAGGAATCTTACTAAAATGGAAGGATCAGAATGTAGGCAACGCTACTCTAGAAGTGTTGGTGAATGCAATGAACGTTGTTGGCATAGATGCAGTGACTGTTATAGAGACAGCAAAAGAAAAGTAGTTACAAACATTACAAACTTGAAAAGTTATGGAGCAAGAGCAATTAGAATTTAGTAATTACCGGACCATGTTATGGATTACAATATTTGTTGACCCTCGAAGTTTTGGCATTCAGCATTTGATAATTCTAGGCTTGGTGGGTTACCGGCTGAATTTCCCAGTCCTTACATGGGCGGCAATCCACATATGTGCTAGTTTTACAGAGCCGGATCTAAGATCTGTTTCAAAAAAAAAAACATTTTTATAAATAACGGGCATTTTGATAATGAACATTTACAGTTTAAACTTTTTTGTATTATATTCAAACTAAACAAATCTCAATAAACGGGCTTAATCCCTAAAATGTTGACAATTATTATATTAAAAATACTGTACGTCTTTCATATTGAAAGCAAATTGAATTTATTATTGAGCATTTTAATCTAAATCCATCATGAAACTTGTGTCATGATATACATAAATGAAAAGCAAGTCTGATGTGCTCGAATTTCGTAAAATACTTATGAGTCTGTCATATGATAAAGCTTACTAGATATGTCGTGGAAGATCTTAGATTGTACTCGGGTACCTATTACATATCGCACGAGTGTCACCTGAGGTGCATCTTTATCATTAAATCTGGAGGGCCCGCTTTATGGCCATAACATTGTCGGTGCAAGTTTTATCGTTACATGTATATTGACCACATGTTCGTCATAAAGATATGCCCGATATTGCAATTTTGTTGCTATTTGATTTCTGTATGTTTCCAGTTTTTGACAATTTAGAACACTGTTTCTAGAAAGTACAAGTACATGTACACGTATGTCTTTCATTCAAGGTAAGACACCTCTTTTCACATTATTTGACACAAATATCATTTGCATGACACTGCTGTATTCCATCATGATTGTCGATTTTTTTTATTCAAAATGGTTTGTAAAAATAAAAGTCCAAATAATATTATTTCGTGTTTATTATCACTTACTTTATTATAGTTAAGTCGTGTTTCAAAATATCTTCCTAGAATCTTAAGTAACATCATCCACGGTAACCGTGGGTTCCAATGAGGAAGTAAAATATGTTGGTTTTTTTAAAGTTTAAGTGCATGCTCATCAGTTGGTGTCCTCTGTGTTTTACTCAAATGACGTATGTTAGCATGTAATGCTTGTGTGATATTATTGATATGGTATGTTTGAACAAAACTAACTTTGGATCAAAAGTTCCCCTTTAATAGCAAGAATTTATTATCATAATTACCAGCTTAATCCAAGAGAGGGAGCATCATATTCGCTGATTCGATCCAAGGACGAGGCGAAATTTCTCCATGGCATTCGAGTCCAACGTTTACGTGTCTCTCATTCCAGTTCTAAAATCTAATTGGATAAGATCTCGATCGCGTGAGGAGATATTTATAACTATAGGTACTTCATCATGGAAATAATGTCAGGATGACTGGCCGCAAAGACATGAACAACATGTACGCGCAATAAAAAGAACAACATGTTGATCTTTTACCTGATCCGTTTTCCAACAGAAACGGTTTTGCTAACTCAGTTCCTTTACGAAACCTTCTAATCTTAGTCTTAAATGCTTTGCGACAGATCGTGAAAGTGATAAACAGAATATTATAGAAATAGTATAGATCTGAATGAAAATAAGTGACATACTTTAGCGTTTTTATAAATCATAATGGTGGTCGTGTAAAGTAAGCCCGGTATCTGTTGATCTCACGAAATACTTGTATGGCATTACACTTTCCAAAAGCAATTTACTCTGCAAAGTTTTCATCTATATTAAACAGTAAGCAAGTTATCATAATATTATTATGTAAATCACAAACTACCGGTATGTAAATCACAAATAATGCATTTTAAAAAGACAAAATAAAAACACATTATAATCAAGGATAAATGAAATAGCTAATTCTGTATTAGATATAAATCGAGTTAATAATACATAAAACTATCCAACCGTACAAGGATTAATATTAGCCTAATTTAAACTATAAATTTGCTATGCTGTTGTTGACGCTGACATGCTGATAAGAAAGAAAAAAGACAAGTGAATTTCACAAGGTAGAAAAGATTCCAGTTTAAAGCTTTTACATGTTGATGACAACGATCCACCCATGATATCTATGAACGGAAATTATGTTAATTAGAACTCCAGTAAAAACATTAACAGAAATATTGTTTTCAAAGTTTTTCAAACAATTATGAATCTAGAAGCAGAACCTTTTTTCAAAATGACTACCTCCGAACCGATTTCCTTAAAATAAATACTTCTTCGAGTGTAAAAATCTTTCAAAATTCAAAACTCACCTTCCATCAATACTTTATGAATATTTTCATTTAATGTACATGTTGATCTAATTACATAAACGCGCATTGGATGTGAAACAAGGAAACTTGCGATTGATAATAATCATGGCGTAGCAATCTCCCACGCAGTGATCTCTCCTTACATGATATAAAATTTTCGTCTAGATTTTGGACGATATTTTGATGGTTATTTTAAAAAGTAAACACGATTCTGCTAATGTTTTAAGACCGTATGGTATTATGTGTGAAGTAAAATAAAAAATAATTTCGGAAACATAAATATTATGAAAATAATTATTAATATCGCACCGTTTGTTTTCTAAACGAAAAAGAAATCATTCAAGTTATTACTAATTTCGATTTATATACTTTACAAAAAATGATTTTTTTTTTTCAATCATATCGACAGACTTGACCCCAGAGCTCAAGTTATATTGTCGATAAAAATATTTCTTGGGCGTATCCGCCATCTTGACACAATCATGTGATAAGACAATCGTCACGTGATTTGTGTGAAAGGTGCTCTGTATAATACAGTACAGTTTAATTTAAGACTTCAGTCAAACTGCTGAATATAATTTGTGTTAAAGCAAATGAGTGCGAGATAAATATTTCATATATATTTTTTTGAAGATCTTTTGTTAAATTTTGTACACAATTATGCAGAAAATAACTTTTCATTTTGTCCTTAAAACATAACTAAACATATCTTAAAGTGGGGGAGGGCCGATCACTAGTGTTGAAAGCACTTGGGGGGGGGGGGGGCTCAACCCGTTTGCTATAAACTTTATTATTTCGAAAACCTGTAGTTTCTTTGTATATTAACATGTATATATTAGTAATGAAATATGATTAAATCAAATCAAATCTTTTAGTGTATAAAGCAGTATATCTGGTGCAAAAAAGAAAATATTGTTTAAATTTAGAATAAAATGCTACCAAAATGCTTGTACGAAAGAGATATGGTAGTAACTTGTCTTAACATGCACAAAATCATTGCTAAACGGTTAAGAACTTTACTTAAAATAACAGAATAATATTTTGTTCCGGAGCATTTAATGATATTTACGTACAACAATCATATGTTATTTTAAATAACAAAGACATTCTATGTTACAACTCTTTCGGGAATCAACCATAAAAATATGGAAACCATACGATTTTTTGTTGATTATATAATTGTAACAGTTATAAGAATTACAGTTTTACAGTATATAGCTTTATACAATTACCAACTTTTAAAGTACTGAAATTAATGATCCTCGTCTGCAAAATTATCTATTAGTGATGTGTAAAAGAGATTGGTAAAAGACTTCAATAAGCATTAGGTTGCTTCCAGTCGAATCATTTTTTTTTGTAAATGTCATGTAAAAATTGTTTTTGTATATGACGAATAAAATATGTTTCAACGAAATACTGATGTTTAAATGCTATTTTTCTGGGTTTTAGACTTTAGACACGGATATTGTTGAATTTTTTTTTTTTTTTTTTTATTTTTTTTTTTTTTGGGGGGGGGGGTTGTTGTTGTTGTTGATGTTTTCTTGGGGGTGCTTTTTCCTGCTATAAGTCTTGGTTATGCTGGTAATTGAGGATTTTGATGAAATAAAAGACATTAACACAATGACATTAAAATCTGTTCAGCCCTTTTCATCAATATTTAGTTTTTCCCCTGTATAAATTAATTAATTAATAAATTAATTACAATAAAAGATCTTTATATGTCTCCTATCTAGCCTTTAAAAATATCTACATGAAAAGTTCCGGTATAAACATGATATCTTGAAAAATGACGTTGTTGGGAGGGTTGTTGCTAATGTTGTTATAACTTGTAGTCCGTCCCATTTGCACTATATCTCTTTGGTGATATTTCCTTTTGTATTATTCATGTAACCTTACATGTATTTATGTAAATAATAACGATGATAGTTGAAATAAAATATTATTCAACCAAAAATCTTTAGATAAGAGCATTGAACACAAAAGTATAAAAAGTTAGGGCAGTTAAGGCATTTTTGCTCAAAATTGCTCCAAAAACTAAATAATTACATATATATAAACAAATACATGGGATTATTTGAGTTAGTTTATTTCCATGTACAAACAAGTTTTAATTTACTAACTTAATGGATCTATGTTAAAGTAAAAAATACATTGTTTTTGGAAACGGAAATGAGTAGGCCTACCTATTCACAATATTTCGGGATAGGATATAATTGTTTAACGATGAGTAATCTAAAATTGAATGAACAGTGAACTTGTCAATCAGAATACATCTGTTACTCGTTATACAAATATAGCACCCTTATCAAAAGTCACGTGGTACCGTATTGTCTAATAGATAATTATGAATAATCGGCAAGATATTCTAAATGTACAAAATCGAAGGCATTATGACTCAAGAAATATGAAAACCACGGATAAATCCGTGATGAAAACCAAACGCACACAAGGCTTTTAGCCTTATTTAAACACAAAGTAATCCCCTCTCCCACACCCTTTGCTATGTATATCTACATTTTACTTTCACATATGATAAGTTAAACTTTTGTCATATCTTTACACATCAGCCAGCTAAAAATAGCAACACAGCCGTAAAGGTCACCAAACCGTAACTTCATGTATAGGTTAAAGATAAGTGTCTTAATAAAGTGTTGCTTGTTTGTGTAAAATATAAGCTGTGTTGTTGTTGTTATTGTTGTTGTTGTTTTGCACAAAGTGCACATTTGCTTTAAACTTTAATCTATAAACCATTACTTGTGTTTAATGTGTCATAAATAACATATTTGGATAAAGCAAGCCACGGTGTGCGTATAGTTGAGTGTTTAAATGTGTTATTTTGGTTAACACGGATGGTAACAAGTTATAAAGATGGTAAAATTTTGATAATATATATCATAATATATGTTTGTTATACTAAAATATAAAAATAAATATTCTGTTTAAAATGTTGTATATGTTTATTTTTTGTGATTTAGCCCCGTAAGTTGGTTTTGAAGAAGGCCAATTTAGCTTAAAGCTGTATACCAATTGTCAGATATCTATAAAATCACAGTACGGGACAAATATGTGTGTGCGTGTAAATATGTAACAACAGAAAATATGGTTCGTCGATGAGGAAGTTAAAGTTATACAATGTATATGACAACATTTAATTGAAATGTGACAAATTGTATTGTGGGATCATTAAATATATATATGTATATAAAAGAGGAGCTTGAAAAGCTATCAATGAATGAGAAATATAGCCAAATATAGTATGATATATGATAAAAATTATTATTTAGGGGGTATATTTTTTATTGTTTGATAGATTATCAGTTTCTATTTCGTAGTGCTTTTGTAGGTGCTTGTGTGTATAATCAAGTTCAAGTACATCTAGAAGATTTAGATTGGCGTGATGTTTGTAGAGACTTAATGTTATTGTACGGTCATAATGTTGATTTTGATATACATTGTATTATATATTCGTTTCATCGCTCGCTATATTGAATTAACATAAACCAAGTAAAAATCAGAAGATGCTTATTATGCAATCGCAACTGTTCGGCCCTTTCCGTCAGTCTTCGGATAAGTACCTCCAATAAACAGAACGGATATGGTTTTTCGGTCTAGACTAAACATGTAAACAATAGTAATTCAATGCTGGGAGTTGTTGACGACATGTTTATTCCAATATATCGAGTAAACGTCCGCCTAAATTAAGTTAATTTATAGATATATAAATGTAAACAATATCTTATTTATATACTTATTCTTACGGACATAGAAACCGAAAGTACAAAATGTAACAAAGGCAGTCTGTGCGTGGCTTGGATAGTATATATGTACATGACCACGCCCACTTATTTTTATAAATAAAATATTTTTTTATACTAATAAAATATTTTTCACTCGAAATGTTTTTAAAACATCTAATTTTCAATAAAACAACAAAGGAGAGTTGTTTTGAAAAATTTCAAACATAAATACATGTACTACAAATATAGTAAAGGTAGAAAGGTTCACCAGCGAACCTACCACCAGGCCTTATTTTACCTCCCAGATCTTTATTAATTGTCAACCAATTTTCACCAAATCAAGTTCAATCTACGCAGAAATGATTTCTCTTTCGAAAAATGTACAATATTAGTGCACTTTTTGTCTAGGTCGGACATCGCTTGACCGAGCCATAAGAAGACAATTTTGAACATAAATCGATCTTTTTCTTAATAACAAACTAATGTCAGTGTATGCAAACAGTTAAAACAGAAAAAGCAACTATAAAACTATCGCTTACAGGTCCAAAGTTAATCCAAAACGTCTGTATGTAGGCATTTTCAGTACTTATTTGCACTAATTTCTTGAATTTCCCGACATTACATGTATACAAATCCTGATCACGCATGCCCGATTTCCCGCTGTTACCCAGCTACGCTCAATCTTCACTATACGAAACCATGGAATCGGCGTACGCATTAGGTATATTATGTGTTAAACTTTATAGAGGATATTGAATGAGTGTAAGTTCAATACTGAATTTATTGCACTCGTTGAATAAAATAATATTATGCTCGCCAGAAAAATTCAGTAATGAACTTACACGAATTTAATATTCTTTTTATCACATACCAAAAATAAAGACCGTTTAAGGTGAAATAAGAGTCATATTTCATTGACGCGCCAAAGTATAACGCTAACATTTAGCGCGTCTTTACACTATGTTTGTATAACGCTAACGACGTTACGTCAAAATATATGCACGTCCGTGCAATACCATATTTACGGAGTCGCAAAATCGACACGGGTGTGTGATAAATACATATATGTCCTGAACTGTATTATGTGCTGTATTATATTATATGCTTTACTATAGTATGTGCTGTAGTATATTATGTGCGTACTATATTATGTGCTGTATTATATTATGTGCTGTATTATATTATATGCTTTACTATAGTATGTGCTGTAGTATAATTATTATGTGCGTACTATATTATGTGCTGTATTATATTATGTGCTGTATTATATTATGTGCTGTATTATATTATATACGTTACTATAGTGTGTGCTGTATTATACCATGTGCGTACTACTATATTATGTGTGTACACTATTATGTGCAATACTATATTATATGCTTTACAATAGTACGTGCTGTATTATACAGTATTATGTGATTTACTGTTTAATGCATTGTACTATATTATGTGCTGTACTATATCATGTACCTTACTATATTATGTGCTGAACTAGTTCATATGCTTTATTGTATAACGTGCTTTACAATATTATGTAGCCTTACTTTACATGTATTATGTGCTTTACTATGTAATGTGCTGTATTATGTGTTGTACTTTATTATGTGCTGTGTATTGTTGTTTTTGTTTTTGTTGTTGTCATCGTCGCCATCGTTGCCATCGTCGTCTATCTTATTTATGATTTACCATATATTATTTTTCAGTGATTTCCTTTGAACAGGCGGAGAATGGGACAATAAATAAGTTTAAAATTATACTAGACAAAAACAACTTCAAGAAAACTGTATGGCGGAAATGAAACAAAATGGCAGTAGTAAAAAGGCACATAAATTTTCTTTTGGAGCGGTCAAAGCCTATTTCAAGCAAGACAAATCTGCTAAACCAGGGACCACTCACACTGACGAAAAATACACAAAGAAGAAACTTTTACGTAGAAAAGCTGAAGTACCCGTTAGGGCATCAATAAACGAACATAATTGGGAGCGAGAAGGATTAGATCAAAATAACCCAAAGGATCAACCAGAAGCTGGTACAAAAGTTCTGTTTAAATCGAAATTGGTGAATCAACAAGATTACAGTGACCAAGTAGATGGTATAGATGTTTTGAATAGATCTCAAAACGCGCTGGATTCGCAATCCCAGAAACTGTATTTTGGAACGGCGCACCAGAACAAAGAGTTTGATTTTTCAGAAACCATCGCAGCGGTATCAGGCCTCAATGTACCGGAGCTTGTTCGTAAAGCTGAAGATGGTGACCTCCTTTTAGATGAAGAATGTTTGGGAAAACTGAAAGGTGACTTTTCAAAATAAATCTTTTAAGAAATATATTTGTCTTATTTAAAGTAACTCCGCTGAGGTCAAAAAGTTTAAAAAATAATAAAAATTAAATTCTTACAAAGGTCAGCTGGGGCACTTAAAGCAGAAAGATAATATAAATATAATTAAGAAATAATCTCAAGAGAACTAAAATGAAAATAGTATGATTATGTTCTTCTCAGCCCGATTTAAGTGGAAAAAAATCATTAAATGTTTGTTCATTTTGCACAATTAAAATATCAATTATGAAAAAAGGAGTAAGCGAATTATTTAAAATTTTGCGCATAAGTTATTAGTCTGGACCTTTATCAAATGGAACATAAGAGAAAACTCAAATCGCAGTCCCGCCGTGTCAAAAAAACAACCTCGGTGGAGTCCCTTTAATTTAAGCATATTTATTTATTTATTGAAACAGGTTTTTTTTCTTCATCTTATTCAATTACGCTTTCTATACCTAAACAATACTAGTGGCTTTTCAGAAATTCTTGCCATCTATTTTGTTTCGAATTAAGCATTAGATATGTCCGATCATAGTATGCGAGATGGTCGATGTATCGTTCTAACCAGACGCATACAAACTGAGTCTACAATTTTGTTTCTATACAATGTAATTTGTTGTTTTCAGAGATTTCTACGAATCCATCTTACTTAATATCTTTACTCTTTAATACAATTACAATTATATTTTAAATACAACCTCGTTATCATTTCAGACCGGTTTCTATCAATGCCAAGGTTATACAAGAGACAATTTTACCTCTGTGGTGAACGGTATCTCATCCCTGAACAAATGACAAACTGGAGGGAAGAATGCCAAAAATCTGGAAAAGAACGTAATTATTAGATATTAGCAACATTTTAATGAGCTCAATTAAATATGTGGTTCAGCATGAATTTTACGAAACTTAAACGCAGTGGTGTTCCTGTGTTTGATTGGTTTGGGAATTTTTTTTATTAATGTAATGGTGGCTGCATCGAAATAAGTAATCTGGCCTAAAATGGTCTCTTAAAATTAGAAATGAAGTTATTGCTCTCTAAGCTCAAGTATACGTTATCCCCCACACCCCCAAAACAAAGAATTCTCTAAAATTCACAGATATTTTGAAATATATTGGGTTATTATATATAGTTGAGTACAAAACTGATTTACTGTATTTATTGAACTCAGTGAATAAAGTAAAATTATGCTCGCCAGAGGCTCGCATATTACAATGTTGTTTTTGCCTTCGCCGTCTGTCTGTCTGTCTGTCCGTCCGTCCATCCGGTTGTCCGTCCATCAGCATTAAACTTGTCCGGCCTTCACATGTCAAACGACTGGTTGGATTTCAACCAAACTTCACAGGAGTGATCAGTACCATCCTTAGTTGTGCACATCACCGGCATGTTCCGCTTTGCTGCACAAAATGGCCGCCATAGCTAAAAATAGAAAAATCTTGTCCGGCCTTCACAGGTCAAACTACTGGTGGTATTTCAATGAAACTTCACATTAGTGACCATACATACTTTTTGCAGACATATGTTTTTGTGACAAAAACCCTTCTAGTTTTATTCAGTATTGAACCTATATCACTATATTGTTTTTGACATTGTGGCAAAAGGCTAGCCGGAAGTAACAAAACCGGAAGTAACAAAAAAGAATCGTAGTAATTCTTCTATTCTCAGGAAGCAACATTGAGTGTTTAGTGTTTAACCGGGAGATGTGATTCAGTAATAAACTTCAATTTAGGGCAGTGTCGGTCGGGAATTGTAAATTATCATTGTTCTTACGTATGGTATTTTCCATTATCATGATAAATGTCAAGTTCTTATATTTTCAGACTTTAAGCTTCTACCCGGAGATAATGTGTTGAACAGTAAAGTTTCTTTAATACACGGTGATATCATTTCGCTGGAAGTAGATGCTGTCGTCAATGCAGTATCCAATATCTTGACAGAATGGCACAGCGGAGGTTGGTCACGTTATTGTAAAATGTTGTAAACCAGGTTCTAACCTATAAACAGGCTTTGTCCTATTGTAACACCCTGCAGGTTAGATTTTATCCTATTGTCAGATATTCTCAACCAGGTCGTATTGTACAATTTTGTAAACCAAGTTTTGTCCTATTGTAGAATTTTGTAAATCAGGTTTTCGTCCTATTGTAAAGTTTTGTAAACCAGACTTTGTCACCACCAAAAAATCTACATTGTATTACATTGTATATACCACTTTAAATGTCTTAAATGGACTTAACAATGTTTCTCTACAAACAATTTGTACGAAATTTTAGAAACAAATACATGTTGTGACTGAATAGCCAGCCGTGCAGATCCTGGTCAGACGGTATGCCTGATCATGCCACCAGGGCATATTACTAAAATACATGTGTGTCAACCTCATTTGATTTTCGCTTTAAATGTTTCTGTTATCATAGTTTAAGATCATGCGATGTTTGAAGACATTATACTGCAATAAGCGACAGCCTGATATATTTACAAGTGTTTCTATGTTTTTTAAAACTTCTCTGAAGAAAAACAACTGTCATGTTCACTGGTATTTCAATACATTCTTCACTTGTTTTTATACATGTCTCATGTCTTACTAGTATTTCAATACATGCTTCACTGACGTTTTTCAATACATGCTTCACTGGTTTTTCAAAACATGCTTCACTGGTTTTTCAATACATGCTTCATTGGAGTTTCAGTACATGCTTCACTGGTGTTTCAATACATGCTTCACTGGCATTTCAATACATGCTTCACTGGCATTTCAATACATACTTCACTGGTATTTCAAAACATGCTTTTCTGACGTTTCCATACATGTTTCACTGGTTTATTTATACATGAATTATTGACGTTTCAATACATGCTTCACTGTTATTTTAATACATGATTCACAGGTGTTTAAATACATGCTTCAATGGTATTTCAATACATGATCCACTAATGTTTCAATACATGCTTTCACTGGTATTTCAATACATGCTTTACTGGTGTTTATTTATACATGCATTATTGACGTTTCATTAATGGCATTTCAATGCATGCTTCACTGGTGTTTCCATACATGCTTCATTGGTATTTCAATACATGCTTTACTGGAATTTTGATACATGCTTCACTGGTGTTCATTTATACATGCATTATTGACGTTTCAATACATGCTTCACTGGTATTTATCAATACATACTTTACTGGCGTTTCAATACATGCTTCACTGACGTTTCAATACATGCTTCACTGGCGTTTCAATACGTGCTTCACTGGCGTTTCAATACGTGCTTCACTGGCGTTTCAATACATGCTTCAATGGTGTTTATTTATACATTAATTATTGACGTTTCAATGCATGCTTCACTGGTGTTTCAATACATACTTCACTGGCGTTTCAATACACGCTTCACTGGCGTTTCAATACATGCTTCACTGACTTTTCAATACATGCTTCACTGGCGTTTCAATACATGCTTCACTGGCATTTCAATACATGCTTCACTGACGTTTCAATACATGCTTCAATGGTGTTTATTTATACATGAATTATTGACGTTTCAATACATATTTCACTGGTATTTCAGTATCAAAGGGGATACATAGAGCAGCAACAAGTTTGATAAATTACGAACTAGAATCAATTTCTACTGTGGATACAGGAGAAGTGGCTGTAACAGCTGGTATGTTTACGTGTATTTTAGTTTATACTAGTAGCACAAAATTCTCTTGTTGTTTTTTAATGGTTTCATTTCATTGTTTTTTGGGGGAAGTTGTCGTTATTTCACGGGGCGGTATTTTTTTTTTTTAATTTTCTTCATAAATATTTACTGAAACTAAAATAAAATGAAACTCAATATAGATTTCCGATTTTTTTTTCAGGATATTTGCTTCCAGCTAAATGTAAGTGACGTCTTCAATTTACTCCTTATTTCACTATTGTGTATAAGAAGATTATTGTTACGAAAAACATCCTTAAACATGCCTTAATCAAGATGGTAATCGGGAATATAATTATAAACATATAAATATATAAAACGAAGTTTGGGGGGGGGGTATATAGGAGTCACCCGGTGGTCGGTCGGTCGGTTGGTCGGTCGGTCAGTCCAGACGTCCGTTGCATTTTCCTTGTCCGGAGCATAACTTGAAAACTAATGGTTGGAACTCAATATAACTACATACAATGGTCAAGCACATTGAGAGGAAGTGCAGTGCACAAGAACCATAACTCTATCTTGACTAATTACAGAGTTATTGCCCTTTGTTACTTTTCCTTGTCCGGGGCATAACTTGAAAAACTACGGTTTGGAATTCAAAACAACTTCATACAATTGTCAAACACAATAAGGGGAAGTGCAGTGCACAAGAACCATAACTCTATCTAAAGTAATTACAGAGTTATTGCCCTTTGTTGCTTTTCCATTGCTTTTTTTCTTGTCAGTTGCATTTTCCTTGTCCGGAGCATAACTTGAAGACTAATGGTTGGAATTCAATATAACTACATACAATGGCCAAGCACATTGACAGGAAGTGCAGTGCGTAAGAAACATAACTCTATCTTGACTAATTACATAGTTATTGCCCTTTGTTACTTTTCCTTGTCCGTGGCATAACTTGAAAACTACTTGTTGGAATTCAAAACAACTTCATACAGTTGTCAAACACAATTAGGGGAAGTGCAGTGCACAAGAACCATAACTCTATCTAAAGTAATTACAGAGTTATTGCCCTTTATTGCTTTTCCATTGCCTTCTTTTTTTTGTCCGGACCATAACTTGAAGACTAATGGTTGGAATTCAATATAACTACATACAATGGTCAAGCACATTGAGAGGAAGTGCAGTGCATAAGAACCATAACTCTATCTAAAGTAATTACAGAGTTATTGCTCTTTATTACTTTTCCATTGCTTTCTTTTGTCCGGACCATAACTTGAAGACTAATTGTTGAAATTCATTATAACTTCATACAATGGTCCAGCACATTGAGAGGAAGTGCAGTGCACAAGAACCATTACTCCATCTTGACTTATTACAGAGTTACTGCCTTTTGTTTCTTTTCCTTGTCCAGAGCATGACTTTAAAACTACTGGTTGGAATTCAAAACAACTTCATACAATGGTCAAGCACAATAAGGGGAAGTGCAGTGCACAAGAACCATAACTCCATCTTGACTAATTACAGAGTTATTGCCCTTTGTTTCTTTTCCATTGCTTTCTTTTTTCCGGACCATAACTTGAAGACTTATTGTTGGAATTCATTATAACTTCATACAATGGTCAAGCACATTAAGAGGAAGTGCAGTGCATAAGAACCATAACTCCATCTTAACTAATTACAGAGTTACTGCCCTTTGTTACTTTTCCTTGTCTAGAGCATGACTTGAAAACTACTTGTTGGAATTCAAAACAACTTCATACAATGGTCAAGCACAATAAGGGGAAGTGCAGTGAACAAGAACCATAACTCCATCTTTACTAATTACAGAGTTATTGCCCTTTGTTACTTTTCCTTGTCCAGAGCATAACTTGAAAACTACTGTTTGGAATTCAGTACAACTTCATACAGTTGTCAAGGACATTAAAAGGAAGTGCAGTGCACAAGAGCCATAACTCCATTTTGACAAAATACAGAGTTACTGCCCTTTGATACTTTTCCTTGTCCGGAGCATAACTTAAAACGTACTGGTTGGAATTCAAAACAACTTCATACAATGGTCAAGCACAATAAGAGGAAGTGCAGTGCACAAGAACTATAACTCTATCTTCAGTATTTATAGAGTTATTGCCCTTTGTTCTTTTTCTTTGTCTTTCTGGACTTATTACAGAGTAATTCAATTAAACTTCATCAATGGCCAACCACATTGAAAGGAAATGCAACATACATGAACCACAATTATCTTTAATTGCCCACAACCATAACTCTATGTTTCAATTCTTTTACAATGTATTCTGTTACTAGTAACATCTTCATTTCCGAAGCAGACTTGTGGGGGTATCAATCACATTTAGTGATAGTTCTAGTTTTTTTATAAAAAAATATATAGTAAAAACCAAAATTAATTGGCGAACAAAGTAGCATGTCAGCATCTTCTTCTTTGTGTGTGTGTGTGTGCGCGCGCGCGCGTGCGTGCGTGCGTGCGTGTGTGTGTGCGTGCGTGCGTGCGTGCGTGCGTGTGTACCATGACCTGCAATTACAAGCTTCCTGTCACTGTACCTTTCCTTGAAACCAATTAATTTTATTTCAACTTGTGCCTTTTTTGTGGGACGTAGATTTGTTTATATGCACTGTGTTGATGTGCGATCTGTTAATGTGCGCTCTATAAGAAATAAGACACCGTGTACATAAGAAGCAAAGAAAATAGGCTTATATTACATACGATATGGATTAGAAAATAAAATGGCGAATTTAAACGATTTGTTGATTGGCTGAATGCGCGATCGTATATTACCGTATTGTCCTGATCAGTTAAAAAACCGACCTTGAGTTTCTTTTACTGTGTTTTATTTTACAGATATAGACAAATATATGTCCTAATGCCTGGTCTATAACGAACTTTAAGGGTTTTTTTTTTTATTTTATCTTTTTTTATGTACAGATGTATTTCATGCTGTCGGTCCGTCGGCTGGGGAATTTAATATTGAAGAAATGCTTAGACGTTGCTATAGAAACTGTTTAAACAAGATGGTGGAGATGGAATTACGTACATTGGTAGATATAATTCCTTTTTTTCAAATTTTACAATCATAATTTAGGGTGTTGATAACCAATCGTAGTTCACGTTCATCATTGCGCAGTTGGAGCATCACACTAAATGTCGTATTCCGGTACTTACCGGACAAGGCGCTTGAATGATTAATTGCTAAAATCTCGGCATTTCACCCGCAGAAATGCAATTTAAGACGTCTCAAATTTATCTCTTCACACCGATTTATATACGATCATGAATGAAAATTGAAATAATCTGCTTTGTGATCATGATTTCTGCAAGCGTCTGGAGGTACTGCTCCAATATGAAGTTTGTTAAATCCTTCATATTTCTGATAACTACAAGTGCATGCTTTGACTAGATTGCTCTATTTTTATCTCCCCGAAAAAATTCGGGGGAGCATATAGTCGCCGGGTTGTCCGTCCGTCAGTCTGTCAGTCCGTCTGTATGTACGTACGTCCGTACCGAATTCGTGTTCGGCTCATAACTTCGTTATTTGAAGTCGGATATTACAACTATTTCACAGACATGATCACTATATTGAGACGACGTGTCGCGCGCAAATTTGGATCGCTACCTTCAAGGTCAAGGTCACAGCATGACCTTGCAGAAAAATCGTGTTCGGCCCATAACTTCGTTATTTGAAGTCAGATTTTACAATTATTTCACAGAATAATCACCATATTGAGACGATGTGTCGCGCGCAACATTTGGGTTGCTACCTTGAAAGTCAAGGTCACAGCATGACCTTGCAGAAAAATCGTGTCTAGCCCATAACTTCGTTAAATGAAGTTGGACTTTACAACTATTTCACAATCTGCTTTGTGATCATGATTTCTGCAAGCGTCTGGGGTTACTGCTCCAATATGTTGTTTGTTAAATCCTTCATATTTCTGATAACTACAAGTGCATGCTTTGACTAGATTGCTCTTTTTTTATCTCCCCGAAAAAAATCGGGGGGGGGGGGCATATAGTCGCCGGGTTGTCCGTCCGTCAGTCCGTCTGTACGTACGTCCGTACCGAATTCGTGTTCGGCTCATAACTTCGTTATTTGAAGTCGGATATTACAACTATTTCACAGACATGATCACTATATTGAGACGACGTGTCGCGCGCAAATTTGGATCGCTACCTTGAAGGTCAAGGTCACAGCATGACCTTGCAGAAAAATTGTGTCCAGCCCATAACTTCGTTAAATGAAGTTGGACTTTACAACTATTTCACAATCTGCTTTGTGATCATGATTTCTGCAAGCGTCTGGAGGTACTGCTCCAATATGTAGTTTGTTAAATCCTTCATATTTCTGATAACTACAAGTGCATGCTTTGACTAGATTGCTCTATTTTTATCTCCCCGAAAAATTCGGGGGAGCATATAGTCGCCGGGTTGTCCGTCCGTCAGTCTGTCAGTCCGTCTGTATGTACGTACGTACCGAATTCGTGTTCGGCTCATTACTTCGTTATTTGGTATGCGGATATTACAACTATTTCACAGACATGATCACCATATTGAGACGATATGTCGCGCAACATTTGGGTTGCTACCTTGAAGGTCAAGGTTACAGCATGACCTTACAGCAAAATCGTGACTGGCCCATTACTTCGTTATTTGAAGTCGGATTTTAAAACTATTTCACAGAAATGATCACCATATTGAGACGACGTGTCGTGCGCAACATTTGGGTCGCTATCTTGTTTTTACGCTTCGAACTTTGTCTGTGACATAACTCTGACACTACAAGAGGTATACCTTCCTGTGTCCAAAACCTATTCGGGGAGCATCACCCGGTTCAACCGGCTCTTGTTTTCATGTTATTACGTGCCATGTTACGTTATCAAAAAATCAATACATATGTTGCTGTTCTTTTTTCACCGAAGATTTACAGCAATAGCATGTATAGCAATATTGATCAATCCTTTTCTTAATGCATGTAGTTTTATGCTACAAAATTTTATTTCAGGCATTTTGCTGTATTTCTACAGGAGCAAAGAGTAAGTACCATTTCAAAAATCTGTATCAATAGCACAGTAGAAAAAAAATAATTGCGTACTAAGTATTTGAGTTAAAGAGAAATCGAAAAAATGGTCGATCTATTATGAATGCTGCGTCGTCGACGTCGTCAGTGTCGTCGTTGATGTCCTCGTGCAAAAAAAACTTTATTGTATCCCATTATTTAAACATTTAAAAAGGTATCGACATCAACCTTTGAATACTTGCTTATCAGGAGAAGGTGCTATTGGTAGACAAGGGCCATAATTCTGAAAGCTATACTTTTCTTAGTTATGTCCCCTTTTTCACATAGAATTTACAACAGACGAGCGTTATCACAGCATGAGATGCTCATGTTCACTAGACAATTTGTGCATTACCAAGGCATTATTTTAATTATAATGAATTGAATGAATTATACACCTTTTATTTTAAGGAATGGTGCTTTAATAATATTTTTAAGATATTAATGAAATTGATGGACTGAAGGTTTTAATAAATTTGTTTTATATTTTCCCCCGCAGAAATCGACTTAAATCATGCCGCAAGGATTGCATTGACAACAGTCAAACAATGGCTACAGGTCAACATGCATAAAGTAAGACCTTAGTAATAATAACCTATTTACTATATGTTAGAAATCGACGTTAAAGGCCCATTTTGCCCGATAAATGCTTTTATTCTTATTTCACAAAAACGTTTTATTTTTAGTGTCTTGTTATAGTTTTGAGAAAGTTACTTATTTGCCAATTACCTGCACAAGCATTTGCTTCTAGTGACTTTTGGAAATTAGTACAATTAAAGTGATTTAATTAACAAATAAAACAGGGCATTGAGGGCAATATGCAAGTTTACGAGGTCTGACCAACCAGTCCGCCCCAAAAGGCCATGTTTTATTTGTTATATTTAATCGAATCGAAACATCTAGAATACAAGAATGTGGGGGAAAAAAGAATTCTATAGCAGCATCGTAAAATAGAATTTAGAATTATAAGATAAAACTGTGAAGCTAAAAAGGGTAAAATAAAAGGTTTTCATCGTCGTGAAAGTCGTCTTTAAACAGTATGAACTGGGTAGCCGGTCTGTATTCGATTTATGGACTGGATAACGTCATATTAAATATAGCAGGGCGTATGCAAATGAGGTATAATATTATTTTGTATGGATGTCAAATTACTACATCTACTATGTTTTATGAAAACGTAACTTTACAAGTGACTTTCCATTTTGATCAATTTGTAGAAATGAGTACCTTTTTGATGTAAGATGTTTTTGATAATTTATATTTTAATCATTGATTAATTTTAGGTTGATAAAATCGTTTTTTGTGTGTACGACATCGGTAATTGGGCCTGCTACCAGCGGTTAATGCCGGAAGTGTTCCTACCTGGAAACGAGGAAAATTCGCCTGATTGTACGAAAGTTATATATTTCATGATCATAAGACATTTTTTAAACGTTTACTAAAAAGTAATCAGAATCACTAATCTCGTGGCTTATCTCAGCACATTATATATGAGCCGTGTCACGACAAAACCAACATAATGGGTTTGCGACCAGCATGGATCCAGACCAGCCTACGCATCTGCGCAGTCTGATCAGGATCCATGCTGTTCGCTTACCAACTCTATTACAAGTAGAGAAACTGATAGCGAACAGCATGGATCCTGATCAGACTGCGCGGATGCGTAGGCTGGTCTGGATCCATGCTGGTCGCAAACCCATTATGTTGGTTTTGTCATGGCGCGGCTCATATATGCACTTTATATCATCAATATTAAACTCAATATTTCATTTATAAGTAGAGTTCTACATGTATATAATAAAATAGAGAGAAAAAAATCACTAAAGAAATTTTAAAACGGCAGAATTGAAAATGCTGACGGCTCGGTTTGATTGAACATGTTCATGAAAGTTTATTTATCCATTGCATATATATTTTTCAAGCCACTGGACAGGACAGTTTGATCCCTGTGGAAATCCTTAGAATGGATAAGCATTCAATAGAATTATACAAACGAGCATTAAGTGAGGGCAAAGAAGCTGTTTACAATATTCGAGTAATGGTTGTCGGCCATTACGGTGTTGGCAAGACGACGCTAACAAAGCGTCTATTTGATGAAGATGTGGATATAAACAAACGAGAGAGTACAAATGGTATTGATGTTCACGTGAAAAGATGTAAAGTGTCCCTGCAAACTGGACAATGGAACACAATAGCTAAAGGTATGCCAACATGCATTTGGATATACATGTATCTAAATGAGTGATTTGTAGATATGTTCATTTGCTGTATGTCTGTCTTAGTTTATACAAATTTATTTTAGTTCGATTGTGCTGGAAACTATATGCTTATTGAAACACTCTCGAATCCGTTCCTGGAACCAGCCAGTACTACGCAATGAATGTAAAGTTTCTTGCTCAAAGAAACAAAGACTTGCCGCTGACAGGGTTTGAATCCACCCGGACTGTATTGTGAGCCTATACAATTCAATGAGTACCATGACTTGTATCTACGAGCACCTCAAAAGTTACCACGCTAGTTTGCACCTTAATGAAAATCATAAAAAATGTACCTCACTGTGCCTTTCTTGGGAGCCTATATATTTTAACTCTCGCCTATCTTGCAAAAACATGATGTAGACTTGTTATAACACTGTGTATATGTCGGAAACTGATAGTCAAACATTTTAATAGCCCTGCTTGTTATTTGTTTCTGTTTCTTTGTTGTTGTTGTTGTTGTTGTTTTCATTTATGCACAATAAAAATGATAGGAGTTCTGATACTTACACAACGTGTAAAATTATTACAAAGTCACACAGCAGTGAAATAAATTACTTTCGTTTCTTTTTAGATCAGAAAGTTGACACAGTCTGTCATCGGCTGGTTAATTTGTTGAAAATGCCACTAAACACGGATCAGGAAGTTGATGAAATGGATAACAATAGTACAGAAGGAGACATTATTGAAGAGTTTGATGTTGTAGATGGGATTGCATCAATGGAGAGCATCAGTGAAAATATGACAGAAAAGAATAAAGGTAATGCTGATTTTACAATGAATGAAAGAAAAATACATTTGAAACTTATTGTCACCAAGTATCTAAGAAATGTCAAAATAACAAAATAGAGAAAATGGGAATCACTAAAGAACGTGCAAAAACGACAAAATTGAAAAATGTTGCAGGCTAGGTTTGATTGAGCCTATTCATGAAAGGTAATAGAAATTGCAAGTTACTGTTTTTTTAAATTGTTAACAAAATTGCGGAACAACATTTTTTGTATACAGGTATATGTAAGTCGGTGCATTAAGCGAAAAACTGAATTTGAAAATTGTGGTACACTTTGATGTTTTTAAATGAAAAATTAAGACCATTGTATTTAATGCGGAACATCATATGACATGGTGAATGTTCCATATATGTACATGATTGTATGTCGGTTCATTTACAGGGGAAAAAATATAAATAATGAAAACAACAGGATACTTATTATTATTTTTTATGAATAATTAAGACCATAGATAGAGTATCATTGTGACACCTAGGTGTAGAAAAGATACTTTCAGAAACAAAGCCAAATCTAACGGCTAATCAACGACCTTGACCACAATATTATTTATCAGTTATTAACATACAAATAAGCCGCGCCATGACAAAACCAACATAGTGCGTTTGCGACCAGCATGGATCCAGACCAGCCTGCGCATCCGCGCAGTCTGATCAGGATCCATGCTGTTCGCTTACAAACCCTATTACAAGTAGAGAAAGTGATAGCAAACAGCAAGGATCCTGATCAGACTGCGCGGATGCGCAGGCTGGTCTGGATCCATGCTGGTCGCAAACCCATTATGTTGGTTTTGTCATGATGCGGCTCAAATATATCAATGTAAATAAGATTAATACTGTGAAATATAGGTGCAGAGATTTTGTTTACAGATCCAGAACCAAAGCCTAAAATAACTTTGCCACCACTGGAAGTAGAAAACGTCACCGATGTGAACTTCTCAACACTACAAGACGCCAAAGAAGAAAATATACTCTATCACTTGAAGGTAAGGACATAGGAGTGTGGTTGTATTGTGACAGAATTCCTTAGGTCTTTCTATGATCAGGTGTTTCCTTATGGTAGGTAAAAACCATCGACCGTCCGTTAGCTAGCCGGGTAGATTCCTTCTCTAAAAGAATATTATTGTTTGTTTGTTTGTTTCATTTTACGCCTTTTCCCAACAGTATTTCAGTCATATAGGCGGGTAGTTTCCTAACCATCGTTCCTGGAGAGTTACACCAGTACTAGACTACCTTCCTCCGTGCTAAATTTATTTTATACTTATGAATGAAATATTGAGAAATATTGATGATATAAAATGCATATTTTCATTTTTCCGTATTTTCCTTATAAAATATTAATGCAGTGAAACGTATTTTCCGTATTTTTACTGGTGTCTTGCTGGACTACTTTCTAATAAAATAACACAAAATTAAAGGGGTAGTCTGTCAAATTAAAATGTCAAAAAAGAGAAGAATGTATATAATAACATTAAATTCAAGTTTTTTTTTCTATGAATTCAAGGTTTATTTTCATCATATTATATGAAAAATATCATATTTCACTCCAGGCTACAGCCACCCGATGAAAATAAATCCTGTATTTATATAAAAAAAAAAATAACCTCTATAACTGATTATTTATTTATTTATTTATTTATTTACTTATTTATTTATTATTTTTATTTGTTTATTCTTACAACCATTTGTCACCGTTTCTTATTTTATTCAATTTATAAATTTTGATTGTTAGCTTTCGTTGAAGGCATTTTGAAATAACTTTCCTGTTTGTTTGTTTGTTTGTTTGTTTATATTAAATTATCTATTCTTACAACGATTTTATATTGTTTATTCTTTTATTTAATTATAAATTTTAATTGTAAGATATACCCAACGCTTTCGTTAAAAGGATTTAAAACAAAATTCCTCTAAATGCTGTCTGCTATCTTTCAGGACTTGATAGAAGACGTTCAACATTCAGGGGCTACAGATGATTCCAACATGGCGGATGTCTCGATTTGGGATTTTGCGGGGCAATATGTATTCTATGCCACTCACCAGGTGTTCTTGTCAAGGAGAGCGGTGTATTTGTTAGTCACAGACATATCTCAACACGTGGAGGACACAGTAAAAGATGACGACTGTTTCTTAGATAGCAAAGGTGTTAAACATTGGAAAATTTCAGGTATGCCGTTTGTAAATAAATAAGGTGTAATAGAAACTGGATTGTATTGTTTAACCTATTGATAAAAAATACATTTGATAAGCACCTTAACGTTTAAAACATAATTTCAAAGCCAGTACAGGAAAACATGTTCTGTAGTGTAGTTTTAATAGTATATAAATCGAAAAAAAGAGAAAAGAAATATATGTTTGGTTTTGCAAAGCTTTAAACGAAAACTACATTTATCGACAAAACAAATAAAAACATATCATTTAAATACACCAATAACAAATCCATTTTATTGAAACACTTAGAATCATATAATAACGTTAAAACTTCTTTTGTCAATTTATTTGTGTAAAACAAGTAAGAAGTGAAGCTGTTTTTATTACAAACAATGTATGTATTTCAATGTTTGTATTGCCAGAATTTGTTGACTTTTGGTTGAACTCTATCCATGAGTTTTGCAGTTCAACGGAAGTTGATGGTCCACCCGTCGTCCTTGTTGGAACATTTGCAGACAAAGTTAAACAGGTAACAAATCATGCCTTATATTTAAATTAAAGGCCCATTTTGTCCCAGAAATGTTTTTATGTTTAGTTCTCAAAAGCTTCCTGTAACAGTTTTTAAAATGTTACTCAATTGCCAATTATTGCTCCTTATTTTTGTCTGTTTTCTTTTGCTTAGTACTCACTTGAAAATTGTCTTATTAAGTTGCATTCCTAATTTCTTTTTCCTTTTTTTTTCATTTTTTATGTTTAAACTAAATCTTGCAATATTCTTACTTAATAATTTAAATGAATTAGCTATCCTGCCATATATGTTTGTGTAAATATCATTTGTTATCTAGGGAGAGGAACTATATAAGTTTTCTTTCGTTCTAATCCCTTTCAATTTATTTAACAATTATTCACATATAAAATGTAAAATATGTAAAATATTGAAATAAATATGTTTAAACTAATTATTGCTCCTGATGCTTTTTTTGTTATTAGTACATCTATAGTGATGTAGTATTTTGTACGGTAATGAAAATACTACTTTGTTTAAATTTTGCTACTTTCATGACAAATTATTACATATTCAGAGCTGTTTCCTTCCGGTGATAAGGATCTAGTATGTCCATAAACCATTATTTAAACGTTATAAAACTCATGTTTGCCTTTTCTCACGAAAAAAAAAAAAGTTTCTGAGGCATAACGTGCCGTTAATTAAAGTTTTTTAGTGTATTGGTTTGCTTCATGGCATTAACTTTCAAAGACAGATTCAAATCAACTTTATGAATACATATTATATTACTTAATCAGTATGGATTAGATTATTTTTGCCAGTTTTATTATACCTATTATATTATAATACAAAGTACAGCAAAAACACAAACGAGACTCCTGTTAAAGATTTTTGATAAAATGCATGCTTACGCTATTCGTGTTTGCTTTCATATCTAAGAAAAGAAATTTTAGAACAATAGAATATTATTGAAAGTATTTGTTTCATTTATTATAAAACGTATTGTTAAAGAATTGAGGTGGTATAGGATAATAATAAAATAGTCAACTTGAACCCTAAATGTGTTCAACGGTACAGTTTGAATGCTGGAACCAACCAAGGAGATAAACAGCTGGAATTTAATTGAACTGAAATATCAGGAACACAATAAAAATATTGTAAAATATGACTTCAAAGATAGGTTATTTCACATAAAAAACAACAGTGTAATCGTTATTCGCAGTATTCAAGACAAAACAGAACATAATTTGAGCCGTGCCACGACAAAACCAACATAATGGGTTTGCGATCAGCATGGATCAAGACCAGCCTGCGCATCCGCGCTGTCTGATCAGGATCCATGCTGTTCGCTATCAGTTTCTCTACTTGTTATAGGGTTTGTAAGCGAACAACATGGATCCTGATCAGACTGCGCGGATGTGCAGGCTGGTCTTGATCCATGCTGGTCGCAAACGCACTATGTTGGTTTTGTCGTGACGCGGCTCATTTTATTTTAGATTTGTACATAGTATATCATCATTTGTACATATTACATCATTACTACAATATAAATACACAAACTGTTAATAATATTGTTGTTCGCAGGAGTCAAGACAAGAAACTTCTGATGCATTCTACTACGCACTGCGAAGTTCCCTTCTTGATAAGGCCACGAACTGTCACCTGACAGATAACGATTTTGTTATTGACAATTCTGTAAAAGATGATAACATAGAATTACTGAAACAGCATATTGTAAAGATAGCATCCGCTCAACCGCACTGGGGTGAACTTATACCGGCCAAATGGATCACGTTAGAAAACATCTTGGTCAAATTAAAAGACGAAGGATTAAAGGTAACTCTTTTATAACGCTTCGGACTAGTAATCTAATGATCGCTAGCCGCATGGGTTCAAACCCTGACAGGGGCAAATCTTTGTTTCCATCAGCAAGAAACTTAACAATCATTGCTCTGTACTGGTTGGTTCAAGGAACAGATTCAAAAGTGCGTTTTTAAGCTTATATCTTCCTGCACAATCGAACTAAGATAATTTTATACTTGAGAAGGAATTTTACTGTTGACTTGATTGTAAGAATGAGTAAGTATTAATTAATTTAAACCGAAAACGACGAGCCTTGCTTACATATTGTAACCAGTTTTAAAAAATATTTTCTAATTGTATACAATTAGATACATGGTAAAATTATATAATTGTAATTACTATGCTTAATATTAGTCTCAGTCGGATGAATGAATGAAAAAAATGTAACTTTTACATTAAAGAATATATTTTTTTATTTTTGTTTGTACATGTACAAAAGGTTTTGAAATTTTGTATAGATCTAAAAGTTTGTTTTTGTTTGTTATTGTTAAATCAGAAGGTTGTACTACAGAAAATAAGTATACACGTTTTCTTAATGCGTAAACTTTTTATGTTACCTTCTATAAGTAAAGATTATTATAATTATTATTTCAGTCAAATCGTATCAGATAATTGTATAATATGTCTATACATTATGTTCAATTAAGAAGAAGAACGTTTATTTACAAGTTTCTGTGATTAATATATATACAAGCATACACATATAATGGCATGAAAAATACAATGTCATGAAAGTAAAGTAATTTATCAGTTGCAAATTTGCAGGTCATTTACAAGGACAAGCTACTTGATCTTAATAGCACGTTACCTGTACCAATAGAGACAGAAGCAGAACTGGAATTGTTCTTGAGATTCCACCACGAATCCGGAAATATTCTTTATTACAGGTACATTGTGTATTTATAAGTGTGACTGACAAAGATATTCCTTTTTATAAAAAAAGACCTAAATTAAGAAAAATATTACATATTGTTTTAGTGTAGACAAATTAAATTGACTAAATTTATTTACATTATGACACCTATTATAGAAACCAACTCAAGATTCCATATGATTGAATTGAAAACTATTTTGTTAATATCTTTTGTAAAATCAAATTAATTACTTAAAGGCACATCATGCCTCAGAAATACATATTTTTTAATTGTTAATAAATGTCAAACATATGTTTTAATTTACAACATACGTGTTTTAAATAACCAACATTTCATCTATGCAATGAAGTGTAGTAAACTACAGCGTTACTCTATGATTTTCCTTTTCTGGACAAGATTTAATTAGTTTTATAACTAATAATATTTTATTTGGTGAGCGGAAGGCCGTCAGGTGACAGTTCGGAGCTTTATAAAGTCTTTAAATTGTGAGGAATCTTACATCATTCTCGTATTTGATAGTGAAAAAGTAGGAGAACGGGTTCTTGAATATTATATTTAATCAATTTGTAATGTAATGGTGCATATTGGATTTTTATTATCCAATAAAGATGAGTTCAAAGCAGTTTTACAGTTTCATAAATAATACATTATTGTTTGTATTTTAGTGATGACAAGTTAAGTGACACAATTGTCCTCGACCCACAGTGGTTGATAGACGCCTTCAAGAGCCTAATCACCGCCAAAATGTTCTGCTGCAGACAACCGAATATATTCAAGAAATGGATTCAGTTTGACCAGTCAGCAATATTGACCAGAAAGCTTGTTGGTATGAATGAATAATCCAACAAATTACATACAGATAGTACAATGAAAGATTAAGAAAAATGAATACCAAATACTTGTAACAGATGTACTACAGAATACAGTTGCTCATGTAATAAAGGCCAAGAACCATATCAAATCATTTTTGTCAAAGTATATTAAGTTAAATGCTCTCTAGGACATATTTACATCCCGACAAATGTTGGTAAAATTAAAACATATTTAATCGAACTGTTGACAATTATTACTTTTTGTCAGTGTTTTATTTTATGGTTGAATAGTTCAGACTAAACTTGTTAGTTATGTTTTAATATGATATGAATACTGTACTCGGAAAGGCACTGATACTTTATATTTGATACCTGCATTCACAGATGCAATTTGGAAACAAGATGAAAGTGCTGCATTTCAAGAATACGACGAACTATTACTAGAATACCTTGAAAAGCTTGGTTTCATTTCCAAACCTCGGCAACAATCTGATGAAATCGGGGTAAGCAACTTGTTTTTTGTTTGGTTTAACGGCGCACAAACACAGTTTAGGCAACATGGCACCGAAACAGGATAACGATTGTGGCTAACCTCGTGTGTTACAATTTTCAAGCAACACCAGGGGTCAAAACCATATCACGTTCTGGAGCTTACAGATGCAGCATAGAATCCAATAATTCGAACCCATTTAGTCGCCTCTTACGATCACACAGTGTTAAACGTTGGCTGCATTTCTGATGCCTTTGTCCTTTAAGGCCACCCCTCAATCACAAACGGAGGGTCAGGCTGATAATTTATCAAAAAGCTTTTTAAAAGTGATGGTCAATTACAGAGCAAAATGCTGGGTAATGTACAATACAATACAATACAAATTTATTAGCATATAAAACAATATTTGTAACAATGGATCATTATGCAAGTGTGATAATATCAGACAGTGACGTTAGGTTAATAATAACTTTATTTATTATATACTTTGAAATGAAATATTGAGAAATATTGATGAAATAAAATGCGTATTTTCATTTTCCGTATTTTCACTGTAAAAATTTATTTTTCACTGCAGTGAAAAATATTTTCCGTATTTTCACTGGTGTCTTGCCGGACTACTTTCTTTTAAATTCTGCCAGTACTCAAAATTTAAGGGAAAGTCTTGCAAATTTTAATGTCCAGAAAGAGAAAAAAGTATATAATAAACAGAAAATTCAAGTTTTTTCTATAAATACATGATTTATTTTCATCTTGTGGCATGAAAATTACCATATTTCACTCGTGGCTACCGCCACTCATGAAATATTTATTTTCATACCACTCGATGAAAATAAATCATGTATTTATAGAAAAAACTTGAATATCCTCTATATGCATGTATAGTTTTTTTTAAATAAGAGGGATAACATCGCGGATATATTCAGTTCGAATATTTTCAACCAGACCTCAAGTTTACTGGTTTAATGCAAAGTTAGATATGTTTCAGGGGGGACAAACAGTGTACTGTTTTCTGTAATGTTACGGAGATCAGTTTAATTATACAAGTTATACAAATATATTTTTAAGAGTTTTTAGTTACAATGCAGAATTGCAAAAGTTTTTTGTTCAATAAATGCAGTATCTATTGTCACGTTATTGTGACTTTGAAAACATTGTATGTAAACAGGCAATGTCTGCTTCGTTTAGTAGATGTGAAATGTTGTTTTCGATCTGTATTCCACAAGGCTTTTCAAAAACATGCATTGCCTAACTTGTCACCTCAGCAGTTAAGCGCGTACACTGTAGTGAATGGTAGTGAAACATTAGACCAATGCGCATAATAGTAATCAAGAAGAATTTTAAAAAGTTATGGTAGTCATAAGTATATTTTAAGATATATATCGTAACGGCAATCATGTCATTTATATCCATATGTATATTTTCTAAAAAAAGTTGTCTATTCTAAAAATAACAGATGGGATTTTTTTTTCTCGTTACAGGAGATAAATTACTATTTCGCTCCATGTGTTCTTAAGATTTCCCCTCCTGAAGATCTCCTCGTGTGTTCAGACTGTAAACACCGGCGGTCCACCAGTGTCCTTTGTTTCACAACCACATCTGGATTCCTACCCACAGCCGTGTTCAACAAACTTCTTGCAGCATGCATTGACAAATGGCCGATCTCGAAGTTAAACAAAAAGAACTTAGTGTTCTGCGGATGTGGAGTGTTTGATCTCGAAGATAATCATAAACTTTATGTGTATTTCTTTGACCATATCATTAACATTTGGATCACTAAATACAGCACTACGGACGAAGAGCCGAGCACGTGTTTATGTAAACACGTGCATGAATTCGTTTCAGAATTTCTACGGAATAGAATGCGTATAACTAGTGGTATTGAAGTATTTTTGAGATGCAATCAATTAGATATCCACAACAACGACAATCTTTTTGAATTAGAAAATATGTCTGCAAAACAAGAAGTCGTTTGCAACTCTGAACCTGTGCATCATGTGCATAGAACCAATGAGCTCATGAAATATTGGCTATGTAAGTTATTATTGATATTCTGATATTTTTTTCTTATATCATTAACAAATCATCAAAACTATAGCTATAAAAATAAATTTCAACTAATCTCTTTTATACGGTCAATTTTAACTTAAAACGCCCATGGCATATCTTTTTTAAAGTTAAATAAAATCTGCATTAGCATATTCTTTCTTAGCTAGAAATCTGTGCATGTAGAATCTCTATGGATAATGTTAAACTTTATAATACCCAATCTCATTAAAGTCATATCCGAACCGTCGCTCCGTTACTCTTCTCTAGTTAGGTCGCGAAGAGTAACGGAGCGAAAACGACGATCTGATTTTAATGAAATTGTTTAATTCCCAATTGTTTTTCTGTTTTTTTATTCTGATTTTATGTTTTGATTTTTTTATAAATTCCTATTCAATCAAATTGCTTATTATAGCAGCTATAAACTACAGTCATATTATGAAATTATTTTTAAAGTTTGCCATATAACGAAATTTTAAACTTAGATGTGTACCATTTTGTAACACTATTTTTCAACATGCTTTTTACTAGTATGTGAATATACATGTATATGTAATAAGTATTTTTGAAGAATCTAGATTACCACATTTTGGCCGCTTTGTTGTATTAACACTTATTGGAAATGCATATGAGCCGTGTCATGACAAAACCAACATAATGAGTTTGCGACCAGCATGGATCCAGACCAGCCTGCGCATCCGCGCAGTCTGATCAGGATCCATGCTGTTCGCTTACCAACTCTATTACAAGTCGAGAAACTGATAGCGAACAGCATGGATCCTGATCAGACTGCACGGATGCGCAGGCTGGTCTGGATCCATGCTAGTCGCAAACCCATTGTGTTGGTTTTGTCATGACGAGGCTCGTTAATGTTTATCGCATTGATATTGTGGGGAAAGTGGTGTTTTAAGAACCCTTATCTTTTATTACAGATTCCGAATCAGATCATCAACTGGATGAACTTACAGAAAAGGAGTTAAATCGTATGGCACTACATATCGGGAAAGAATATCAGTCTTTAGGTATAGAACTAGGTCTATCCAACGCCGAGATTGAACATATCTGTCTGGATTATAAAACCACGGTTGATAGAATTAGAGGAATCTTACTAAAATGGAAGGATCAGAATGTAGGGAACGCTACTCTAGAAGTATTGGTGAATGCAATGAACGTTGTTGGCATAGATGCAGTAACTGTTATAGAGAGTACAAAAGAAAAATAGTTACAAACATTACAAACTTGAAAAGTTATGGAGCAAGAGCAATAAGAATTTAGTTATTACCGGACCATGTTATGGATTACAATAATTGTTGACCCTCGAAGTTTTGGCATTCAGCATTTGATAATTCTAGGCTTGGTGGGTTGCCGGCTGAATTTCCCAGTCCTTACATGGGCGGCAATCCACATATGTGCTAGTTTTACAGAGCCGGATCTAAGATCTGTTTCAAAAAAAAAAAAACATTTTTATAAATAACGGGCATTTTGATAATGAACATTTACAGTTTAAACTTTTTTGTATTATATTCAAACTAAACAAATCTCAATAAACGGGCTTAATCCCTAAAATGTTGACAATTATTATATTAAAAATACTGTACGTCTTTCATATTGAAAGCAAATTGAATTTATTATTGAGCATTTTAATCTAAATCCATCATGAAACTTGTGTCATGATATACATAAATGAAAAGCAAGTCTGATGTGCTCGAATCTCGTAAAATACTTATGAGTCTGTCATATGATAAAGCTTACTAGATATGTCGTGGAAGATCTTAGATTGTACTCGGGTACCTATTACATATCGCACGAGTGTCACCTGAGGTGCATCTTTATCATTAAATCTGGAGGGCCCGCTTTATGGCCATAACATTGTCGGTGCAAGTTTAATCGTTACATGTATATTGACCACATGTTCGTCATAAAGATATGCCCGATATTGCAATTTTGTTGCTATTTCTGTATGTTTCCAGTTTTTGACAATTTAGAACACTGTTTCTAGAAAGTACAAGTACATGTACACGTATGTCTTTCATTCAAGGTAAGACAACTCTTTTCACATTATTTGACACAAATTTCATTTGCATGACACTGCTGTATTCCATCATGATTGTCGATTTTTTTTATTCAAAATGGTTTGTAAAAATAAAAGTCCAAATAATATTATTTCGTGTTTATTATCACTTACTTTATGATAGTTAAGTCGTGTTTCAAAATATCTTCCTAGAATCTTAAGTAACATCATCCACGGTAACCGTGGGTTCCAATGAAGAAGTAAAATATGTTTTTTTAAAGTTTAAGTGCATGCTCATCAGTTGGTGTCCTCTGTATTTTACTCAAACGACGTATGTTAGCATGTAATGCTTTTGTGATATTATTGATATGGTATGTTTGAACAAAACTAACTTTGGATCAAAAGTTCCCCTTTAATAGCAAGAATTTATTATCATAATTACCAGCTTAATCCAAGAGAGGGAGCATCAGATTCGCTGATTCGATCCAAGGACGAGGCGAAATTTCTCCATGGCATTCGAGTCCAACGTTTACCTGTCTCTCATTCCAGTTCTAAAATCTAATTGGATAAGATCTCGATCGCGTGAGGAGATATTTATAACTATAGGTACGTCATCATGGAAATAATGTCGGGTTGACTGGCCGCCAAGACATGAACAACATGTATTTAAAACGCGCAATAAAAAGAACAACATCATCATAAATCATAATGGTGGTCATGTAAAGTGAGCCCGGTATCTATATATTGATCTCACGAAATACTTGTATTGCAAAGCAATTTATTCTACAATTTTTTCATCTATATTAAACAGTTTACAGTAAGCAAGTTATCATATGTAAATCACAAACTATAAGTCGAATACGATAACGTTTACATTAATCGGTCAAACCATTATGATATAATGGGTTGTGCAAATTACTCAGATATTACATTTTGCACTTTTGCTGCAATAAAGAAGAAATAAATTGGATATAGACACGTAAATCTGAGTAGCGTAGTGGTTAGGGAGCATGTATGAAGAGTTCATGTTAAGAAAATGCTTTTTTTATCGAGTTCAAATCTGGAATTGTGCATTTTTTTTGTCTGTATGGTTTTTACTTTCAGAAAACACTTTCATATTCTTTTTATAAACCTGTGATTAATTTAATATTTTGTACAATTTAAAGTTAAACTTATAACGATTTAGCAAAATTGAATGCATTTGATTTTAACAGTCATCAAACAGATTGAAAAGTATTGTCAATTGAATTCTGTTTAAAATTCTGAATTCAGTATAATAGTATGTGTGAAATAAATTCACGAGTTCTTTGAAAAATATCTAAAAACAAAAAATAAAAGAAAAGAAAAAATGCCTTTTCCAAGAATCGAACCACGGTCTGTACACTGACGAAGCCAACACTCAACCACTACGCTATTACGCTGAAGGGTTAAAACGAGTAATTGTTTAGGCAGTTAAACAGTGTTAAAGATTTCTAAAGGCGAAAAATAATATGCTTTTATATAAGAATTATTGACACCCCTTTTTGTCATTATTGATGTAAACATATAATGAAAGGAATAGCGAATTCGAGCTGTACCGGTATGTAAATCACAAATTATGCATGTAAAAAGACAAAATAAAAACACAATGTAATCATGATTTAATGAAATAGCTAAGTCTGCATAAGATATAAATCGAGTTATAGTCAATACAAGGATTAATATTAATTTTGACACAATCACGTGATAAGACAATCGTCACTTGATTTGTGTGAAAGCCGTAGCTGTAGAATACAGTACAGTTTAATTTAAGTCTTCAGTCAAATTGCTGATTATCAATTGTGTAAAAGCAAATGAGTCCGAGATAAATATTTCATATATATTTTTTTAAAGATCTTTTGTTAAATTTCACTGCGGTATACCGTACCCCGGATATTGCTCGATATTATGAGGACTTTCATCCCATTTCGCGACTTTGAACGAGGAAAGAAGGTATGTTAGTGACGATATTTAGTCATTTTGAATTGGTTAGATATAAATTTTGTAGAAAAACAAATACTTCGATAATTTCTCTAGTTACTGAAACCCCAAAAATGTTCAGAAATAGCTTTGAAATGTAATTAGGAGGTAAAATTCGTCTCTTTGCTCACGTGATAAATGAGCTCGGATCAGTCAAATTTGATGTTTTTGTGCATATACATCCTTAAAAGAAAAACTTGAATCGAGTGAAATGTGATAACGATGATAATGTTTATGTTGTATATGTTCAATCAACAATAGAACCTCAGATGACAGTGCATTTGAGAATAAATACACATGTCAGTGTACCGAGTATTGCTTTGGAGTTGCCCGCCGGTGTCACGAGTATTGCTTTTTAGTGTAACGAGTATTGGTTATCAATAAAGAGTAAATGCAAGTAGTAAACACAAAGTATTTACCACATTTAATTTTAAAATATTTCTTACTGTGTATACTTATTTACACTATATGTGCAGAATATGCAGAATTCGAGGTACTTTACTGGAAACATCTGCGAATAATCCAGATTTTCATTCCTGCTCGTGAACAATCTCAGTTTTTCTGTGTTTAAAATGTTCTCGTTGCTATCGAAGGATCAACCTTTCCAGAATTTGTTAATAATTATTGCATATCTTACTTTAAATAGTAAAAAAATGCATCCAAAGTGCGTCAAATTAATACTGCCTCAAGATTGTCAATATTAGACGGTATTAAGCAAGTGTGCCACCGACTTCCTACTATGCCAAAAATCCATATAAAAGTAACTTTCGGGCATTTTGCCCCTGCACTCTAGCAACGGCAGACCGTCTGCACGTGAAATTTTGTTACGCCTTATCAATGAGTTACCGTATGACTGCCGAGCGGGTACAGCTCAAAAAAACCGAGTAATGGATTTTGATAAGATTATGATAAAGGGCAGCAGATGCAATAAAAAAGGTTATGTTCTTTATAACCTTTTACCTCATTAAGGCGTGTTTTGAAGGCTTTACACCCCACCCCTTTTGAGGCCTCAAATAGTGTAAAATATGCGCTATTTAGGCCCAAACACTGTTTTTTCGTTTGAGAAATGTTGTTTAAAAGAGTGTTCACTTTTTCGGCGCCACCCCATTAAAAAGGTACATCAAGGGGGTTATACAGGGGGGATGTGCCCCCTTCTGTTTGGGGGTTTAAAGTGGGGCAGTAGCCCCTCAAATCGTCGAGAAGACTTGGGACTTGTGGGGGCTAAATGGCCTCAGGTCGATTTAAAGGTACCGTATAATCAACGCCGAAAACCTTAGACTTTATCTCAATCAATTGAGAAGTTTGGTGCACATTGAAATCAGTTTTGATAGGAAAAAACAACGCAAAATAGAGATTTTTGGCAATTTTGAGACGCCCCCCCCTCGTTGCCATGGTAACTGGAAATTTAAAATTGAGCATGCTATTCCACAGGCTATCTAGCTTACATTTGTGCCCAGTTTGATCAGTATTAAAGCATTTTTATAGTTTTATAGCAGTTTGAACTTGTAACAAGAGGCTTAATTATAATTCAATGAAAACAGCCATTTTTCGCATTATGCTCATGTAGTAAAAGGTAAAGACGATACCGGCATGCTTGGACGGCATAAGCCCTCGGGCCAATAGTTTTATGAAGTGCGTCGATATGTTTCTTAAGGCAAACTTGCCCTGTAAAAACCTATTATTAATGTCATCTAAATATGTTTTTTTATTCTTGTCCTTTTCAGAGATGCATGTGTCTCCTTGATCAAAGTTTCTTGGGACATGTATTTAAAGTTTTTTTATCGTCAATTTTGATGGTTCTACCCTGCTTCCGACCCTGCACACACTTTATTTCATCCATAGTGTGATTTTCAATCAAATGGGAAATTAAATCTCTGTATTTGCCCGTAGGAAAAGAAACAGTACTTAATAACACTGAGAATGCATTGTTGAATCTGAAATATTTGAATAAATATCATATAAACAGTACATTATCAGAAAAATGAAATTGAATCGATAAACAGACGTGAAAATTAGACAAAAATATAGATTTTCCATACTAATGTGCTCATTCTGTTTTGCAATACTCTGTACACTAAAGTTGGGCTATTTTGCAATACTCTGTACACTTAAAATCATACTCGGTACACTTTCTTGTATCTTTTTTGGCCTGTATCTTTTTGTACTTTCACACTTTTTGCCTGAAATTTGGACAAGGCATACTTGGATTGAGAATAAAAAAATTGCTCGATTCATTTTTTTTTATATTGGTAATGTAATAATTTCTAATGATTCTACAGTATCGCGGTCAGTATTTTCTAGTGAGCAGCGGATCGTTTAGGGGTAGTTTTATCAATTTTACAAATACCTGTAATACTTTTACGTCTTTTAGAGCTACAACAATACCTCTAGATATATAAAACCCGTTGAGATAAATAAAATAGCCATTAGTTTGGAAAATATCGTCGCTGAACTTACCTTCGTTCCCCGTTCAAAGTCGCGAAATGGGAAGAAAGTCCTCATAATATCGAGCAATATCCGGGGTACGGTATACCACAGTGAATTTTGTACACAATTATGCAGAAAATAACTTTTCATTTTGTCCTTAAAACATAACTAAACATATCTTAAAGTGGGGGAGGGCCGATCACTAGTGTTGAAAGCACTTGGGGGGGGGGCCAACCCGTTTGCTATAAACTTTATTAGTTCAAACACCTGTTGTTTCTTTGTATATTAACATGTATATATTAGTAATGAAATATGATTAAATCAAATCAAATCTTTTAGTGTATAAAGCATAATATCTGGTGCAAAAAATATTGTTTAAATTTAGAAAAAAATGCTACGAAAGAGATATGGTAGTAAATTGTCTTAACATGCACAAAATCGTTGCTAAACGGTTAAAAACTTTACTTAGAATAACAGAATAATATTTTGTTCCAGAGCATTTAATTCTGTTTACGTACAATAATCATGTGTATTAAATAACAAAGACATTCTATGTAACAACTCTTTCGGCAATCAACCATAAAAATATGGAAACCATACGATTTTTTGTTGATTATTTCATTGTAACAGTTATAAGAATTACAGTTTTACAGTATATAGCTTTATATATAATTACCAACAGTTAAAGTACTGAAATTATTGATCCTCGTCTGCAAAATTATCTATTAGTGATGTGTAAAAGAGATTGGTAAAAGACTTCAATAAGCATTAGGTTGCTTCCAGTCGAATCATTTTTTTATTGTAAATATCATGTAAAATTGTTTTTTGTATATGACGAATAAAATATATTTCAACCAAATAGTGATGTTTAAATACTATTTTTCTGGGTCTTAGACTTTAGACACTAATATTGTTGGTTTAGTTTGTTTTTCTTTTTGATTTTTTGTTGTTGGGGGGTGTTGTTGTTGTTGTTTTCTTGGGGGTGCTTTTTCTTGCTATTGGTTTTGGTTGTGCTGGTAATTGAGGATTTTGATGAAATAAAAGACATAAAAACAATGACATTAAAATCTTTTCAGCCCTTTTCATCAATATTTAGTTTTCCCCTGTATAAAATATTAATTAATTAATTACAATAAAAGATCTTTATATTTTTCTCTTATCTAGCCTTTAAAAAATATCTACATGAAAAGTACCAGAATAAATATGATATCTTGAAAAATGACGTTGTTGGGAGTGCTGTTGCTATTGTTATTAAAACTTGTAGCCCGACTCATTTGCATTTTATATATGTTCATGAATATTTGTTTTTGTATTATTCATGTAACCTTATATGTATTTATGTAAATGATAACGATGAAAGTTGCAATAAAATATTATTAAACTAAACAATTTTAGATAAAAGTATAAACACAGTTAGGGCAGTTAAAGCATTTTTGCACTAAATCGCTCTAAAACTAAATAAATACCTATATAAACAAATACATATAGTATACAAATGATGGGATTAATTAAGTTTATTTCCATTTACCGTGTACAAACTTTATGGATCTATGTAAATGTAAAAAGTACATGATTTTGGAACGGAAATGAATACCTATTCACAATTTTCGGGATAGGATGTATTTGGGTTACAATGAGTAATCTAAATTGAACGAACATGTCAAACATAACTGTCATATCAGTAAAGAAACACACTTTAGGTTTGAATACATTAGTTACTCGTTATACAAATAAAACACCCTTACCAAAAGTCACGTGGTACCGTATTGTCTAAAAGATTATTATGAATAATCGGCAAGATATTCTGATTGTACAAAATCGAAGGCCTTATGACTAAAGAAATGTGAAAACCAAACGCGCACAAGGCTGATAAACAAAGTAATCCCCTCACCCACACCCTTCGCTATGTATTACTACATTTTACTTTCACATAATTATGATAAGTAAACTTTTGTCATATCTTTACACATCAGCCAGCTAAAAATAGTAACACAGCTGTAAAGGTCACCAAACCGTAACTCCATATAAGTGTCTTGATAAATTGTTGCTTGTTTGTGTAACATAAGCTGTGTTGTTGTTTTTTTGTTGTTTTTGTTTTGCACGAAGTGCACATTTGCTTTAAACTTTAATATATCAACCATTACTTGTGTTTAATGTGTCATAAATCACATATTTGGATAAAGCAAGCCAAGGTGTGCGTATAGTTGAGTGTTTAAATGTGTTATTGTTCAATTGTTGGATTAATTATTGGGAAACACGGATGGTAACAAGCTAAAGATGGTAAAATTTTGATAATATGTATCATAATATATTGTTTGTGATACTAAAATATTAAAGCAAATATTCTGTATAAAATGCTGTATATGTTTATTTTTGTGATTTAGAAGAAGACCAATTTAGCTTAAGCTGTATACTTTACTACGATTTATAAAGTTTGTATGCATCAGATATCATATAAAATCACAGTACGGGACAAATTAAGCGCTTTAGGCAGACTTGTCTTGCCTTTTGCAGACATCTATGAAATATCAGATTATAAAATCGGTCTGTCTTGTAGTCGAAATATTGAGACTATATTTATACAAGGACAAATATGTGTGTGCGTGTAAATATTTAACAACAGCAAATACATGGTTGGTCGATGAGGAAGTTAAAGTTATACAATTTATATGATAACGTTTAATTGAAATGTGACAAATTGTATTGTAGAAATCGTATATATATATATAAGAGAGGAGCTTGAATGAGAAATATAGTCAAATACAGTATAGTATTATAGTACGATATATGATAAATATTTATTATTTAGGGGGTATATTTTTATTTATTGATAGATTATCAGTTTCTATTATGTAGTGCTTTTGTAGGTACTTGTGTGTAGTATCAAGTTCAAGTACATTTTAAAGATTTAGATTAGACTTAATGTTATTGTACGGTCATAATGTTGATTTTGATATATTATATGCTTCACTTTATTCGTTTCATCGCTCGATATAACCCACAGGCACGAGTATCGGACCTGGGAAGAAAAAATATGACCAGGTTGATCAAAAAATCCTGTGTTCATCTTAAAAGTGTCAAAAACCAAAAAAAAAATGTAAATAATGACCCCCTTTAAAAATATACTATAAGTTAAGTATATTTTTAAAGGGGGTCATTATTTACATTTTTTTTTTTTTGTTTTTTTTTTTGTAAAAATCAGAACAATCGCAACTGTTCGGCCCATACCGTCAGTCTTCGGATAAAGACCTTGAACTAAACAGAACGGATATGGCTTACGCTAAGAAACTAAACATGTAAACAAATAGTAGTTGTTGACAATATGTTTATTCCAATATATCAGTAAACGTCCACCTAAATTAAGTTAATTGATAGATATATAAATGTAAACAGTATCTTATTTATATACTTATTCTTATGGATATAGAAACCGAAAGTACAAAATGTAACAAAGGCTTGGATAGTATATATGTACATGACCACGCCCACTTATTTTTATAAATAAAATATTTTTTTACTTATAAAATATTTTTCACTCGAAATGTTTTTAAAACATCTTATTTTCAATAAAACAACAAAGGAGAGTTGTTTTCAAAAATTTCATCCATATATACTATAGATATAGTAAAGGTAGAAGGTTCGCCAGCGAACCTACCACCAGGCCTTATTTTACCTCCCAGATCTTTATTAATTGTCAACCAATTTTCACCAAATCAAGTTCAATCTACGCAGAAATAATTTCTCTTTCGAAAAATGTACAATATTAGTGCACTTTTTGTCTAGGTCGGACATCGCTTGACCGAGCCATAAGAAGACAATTTTGAACATAAATCGATCTTTTTCTTAATAACAAACTAATGTCAGTGTATGCAAACAGTTAAAACAGTAAAAGCAACTATAAAACTATCGCTTACAGGTCCAAAGTTAATCCAAAACGTCTGTATGTAGGCATTTTCAGTACTTATTTGCACTAATTTCTTGAATTTCCCGACATTACATGTACACAAATCCTGATCACGCATGCCCGATTTCCCGCTGTTACCCAGCTACGCTCAATCTTCACTATACGAAACCATGGAATCGGGGTACGCATTAGGTATATTATGTGTTGAACTTTATACATATATGTCCTGAACTGTATAATGTGCTGTATTATATTATATGCTTTACTATAGTATGTGCTGTAGTATATTATGTGCTGTATTATATTATATGCTTTACTATAGTATGTGCTGTAGTATATTATGTGCTGTATTATATTATATGCTTTACTTTAGTCTGTGCTGTAGTATATTATGTGCTGTATTATATTATATGCTTAACTATAGTATGTGCTGTAGTTTATTATGTGCGTACTATATTATGTGCTGTATTATATTATGTGTTGTATTATAGTATGTGCTGTAGTATATTATATGCTTTACTATAGTATGTGCTGTATTATATTATGTGCTGTATTATATTATGTGCTGTATTATATTATATACGTTACTATAGTATGTGCTGTAGTATATTATGTGCGTACTATATTATGTGCTGTATTATATTATGTGCTGTATTATATTATATGCTTTACTATAGTATGTGCTGTAGTATATTATGTGCGTACTATATTATGTGCTGTATTATATTATGTGCTGTATTATATTATATATGTTACTAGAGTATGTGCTGTAGTGTATTATGTGCGTACTATATTATGTGCTGTATTATATTGTGTGCTGTATTATATTATGTGCTGTATTATATTATATGCTTTACTATAGTATGTGCTGTAGTATATTATGTGCTGTATTATATTATGTGCTGTATTATATTATGTGCTGTATTATATTATGTGCTGTATTATATTATGTGCTGTATTATATTATATGCTTTACTATAGTATGTGCTGTAGTATATTATGTGCGTATTATATTATGTGCTGTATTATATTATGTGCTGTATTATATTATATACGTTACTAAAGTATGTGCTGTAGTATATTATGTGCGTACTATATTATGTGCGTACTATATTATATGCTGTATTATATTATGTGCTGTATTATATTATATACGTTACTTGAGTATGTGCTGTAGTATATTATGTGCTGTATTATATTATGTGCTGTATTATATTATGTGCTGTATTATATTATATACGTTACTAGAGTATGTGCTGTACTATACCATGTGCGTACTATATTATGTGTGTACACTATTATGTGCTGTAATATATTATATACTTTACAATAGTATGTGCTGTATTATACAGTATTATGTGATTTACTGTTTAATGCATTGTACAATATTATGTGCTGTACTATATCATGTACTTTACTATATTATGTGCTGAAGTAGTTCATATGCTTTATTGTATAACGTGCTTTACAATATTATGTAGCCTTACTTTACATGTATTATGTGCTTTACTATGCAATGTGCTGTATTATGTGTTGTACTTTATTATGTGCTGTGTATTGTTGTTTTTGTTTTTGTTGTTGTCATCGTCGCCATCGTTGCCATCGTCGTCTATCTTATTTATGATTTTACCATATATTATTTTTCAGTGATTTCCTTTGAACAGGCGGAGAATGGGACAATAAATAAAGTTTAAAAATTATACTAGACAAAAACAACTTCAAGAAATGAAGTATGGCGGAAAATGAAACAAAATGGCAGTAGTAAAAAGGCACATAAATTTTCTTTTGGGGCGGTCAAAAGCCTATTTCAAGCAAGGACAAGTCTGTGAAACCAGGTACCAACTCACAGTGTCGCAAAAGACATAAAGGAGAAAATTTTCACGTAGAAAAGCTGAAGTACCCGTTAGGAGATCGATAAACGAAACATAATTGGGGAGCGAGAAGGATTAGATCAAAATAACCCAAAGGATCAACCAGAAGCTGGTACAAAAGTTCTTTTTAAATCGAAATTGGTGAATCAACAAGATTACAGTGACCAAGTGGATGGTATAGATGGTTTGAATAGAGCTCAAAACGCGCCGGATTCGCAATCCAAGAAACTGTATTTTGGAACGGCGTACCAGAACAAAGAGTTTGATTTTTCAGAAACCATCGCAGCGGTATCAGGCCTCAATGTACCGGAGCTTGTTCGTAAAGCTGAAGATGGTGACCTCCTTTTAGATGAAGAATGTTTGAAAAAACTGAAAGGTGACTTTTCACAATAAATATTTTGAGAAGAAATTTGTCTTATTTAAAAGGAACTCCACTGAGGTCAAAAAGTTTAAAATTTAAATTCTTACAAAGGTCAGCTGGGGCACTTGAAACAGAAAGATAATATACATATAATTAAGAAATAATCTCAAGAGAACTAAAATGAAAATAGTATGATTATGTTCTTCTTAGCCCCGATTTAAGTGAAAAAAATCATTAAATGTTTGTTCATTTTGCACAATTAAAATATCAATCATGGAAAAAAACAGAGTGAGCGAATTATTTAAAATTTTGCGCATAAGTTATTAGTCTTGACCTTTATCAAATGAAACATAAAAGAAAACACAAATCGCAGTCCCGCCGTGTCAAACAAAACCCCTCGGTGGAGTCCCTTTAATTTAAACATATTTATTTATTTATTGAAACAGGTATTTTTCTTCATCTTATTCAATTACGCTTTCTAGACCTTAACAATACTAGTGTCTTTTCAGAAATTCTTGCCATATATTGTTGTTGTTTTTTTTTGTTTTTTTTTTGTTGTTGTTTTTTTTGGGGGGTGGGGGTCGAATTAAAGATATGTCCGAGCATAGTATGCGAGATGATCGATGTATTGTTCTAACCAGACGCATACAAACTGAGTCTACAATTGTGTTTGTATACAATGTAATTTGTTGTTTTCAGATATTTCTACGAATCCATCTTACTTAATATCTTTACTTTTTAATACAATTACAATTATATTTGAGCCGCGTCATGACTAAACCAACGTAATGCGTTTGTGACCAGCATGGATCCAGACCAGCCTGCGCATCCGCGCAGTCTGATCAGGATCCATGCTGTTCGCTTACAAACCCTATAGCAAGTAGAGAGACTGATAGCGAACAGCATGGATCCTGATCAGGCTGCGCGATGTGCAGGCTGTTTTGGATCCATGCTGGTCGCAAACACACTATGTTGGTTTTGTCGTGACGCGGCTCAATTATATTTTAAATACAACCTCGTTATCATTTCAGAACGGTTTCTATCAATGCCAAGGTTATACAAGAGACAATTTTACCTCTGTGGTGAACGGTACCTCATCCCTGAACAAATGACAAACTGGAGGGAAGAATGCAAAAAATCTGGAAAAGAACGTAATAATTAGATATTACTAACATTTTAATGAGCTCAATTAAATATGTGGTTCAGCATGAATTTTACGAAATTCCAACGCAGTGATGTTCCTGTGTTTGATTGGTTTGGGATTTTTTTTTATTAATGTAATGGTGGCTGCATCGAAATAAGTAATCTGGCCTAAAATGGTCTCTTAAAATTAGAAATGAAGTTATTGCTCTCTAAGCTCAAGTATACGTTATCCCCCACACCCCCAAAACAAAGAATTCTCTAAAATTCACAGATATTTTGAAATATATTGGGTTATTATATATAGTTGAGTACAAAACTGATTTTTCTGACGAGTTTATGGATGTCAAAACTATATTGGACGAGGCGCTAATTAACCGAGTCTAATAATAGTTTTTCTCCAATATGTAAGAAACCAATAGAATGAGTATAATACTGAACTATGTATAATAATTCCATATAATCTTGTAATATAGCCGTGTCGCTTTTGCTGCTCCTTAAAAATGGTATTGCACGGTCGTGCAATACGCCATTACGTTATACAAACATAGCGTAAAGACCCGTTACATATTAGCTTTATATTCTAGGCGTGTCAATGAAAAATGGTTCTTTTTCACTTTAAACAGTCTTTGTTTTGGGCATGTGATAAATAGAATACTATATTCGTGAAGATTCATTATTAAATTTATTGAACTCAATGAATAAAGTAATATTATGCTCGCCAGAGGCTCGCATATTATAAATTTATTCGGTATTGAACCTATACTCATTCAATATCCTCTATTTATTTCACACCACCTGATTTTTTGGCATTGTGGCAGAAGTTTGTTGCATCGAGTACTGTAAGGATTTGATATTAATTTGGACATCTGAAAACGAAAACGGGGCTAGCCGGAAGTAACAAAACCGGAAGTAACAAAACCGGAAGTAACAAAAAAGAATCGTAGTAATTCTTCTATTCTCAGGAAGCAACATTGAGTGTTTAGTGGTTTACCGGGAGATGTGATTCAGTAATAAACTTCAATTTATGGCAGTTTCAGTAGGGAATTGTAAATTATCATTGTTCTTACGTATGGTATTGCCCATTATCATGCTAAATGTCAAGTTCTTATATTTTCAGACTTTGAGCTTCTACCCGGAGATAATGTGTTGAACAGTAAAGTTTCTTTAATACACGGTGATATCATAACCCTGGAAGTAGATGCTGTCGTCAATACAGTACCCGGTATCATGTCAGAATGGCGCCAAGGAGGTTGGTCACGTTATTGCAAAAATCTATAAATCAGGTTTTGTTTTATTGTAAAATTCTGTAAATCAGCTTTTCTCCTATTGTAAAATTCTGTAAATCAGGTTTTGTCCTATTGTAAAATTCTGTAAATCAGGTTTTGTCCTATTGTAAAATTCTGTAAATCAGGTTTTGTCCTATTGTAAAATCCTGTAAATCAGGTTTTGTCCTATTGTAAAATCCTGTAAATCAGGTTTTGTCCTATTGTAAAATTCTGTAAACCAGGTTTTGTCCTATTGTAAAATTTTGTAAACCAGGTTTTGTCACGCTTCACTGGTGTTTCATAACATGCTCCACTGATGTTTCAATACATGCTCCACTGGTATTTAAATGTATGCTTTACTGGTGTTTCAATACATGCTCCACTGGTTTTTCAATACATGTTTCACTGGTGTTTCAATACAGGCTTCACTGGTATTTCAATACATGCTTCACTGGTATTTCAATACATGCTTCACTTGTATTTCAATACATGCTTCACTGGTATTTTAATACATGCTCCACTGGTGTTTCAGTACATGCTTCACTGGTGTTTCAATACATTTTTCACAGGTATTTCAATACATGCCCTCCTGGTGTTTCAATACATGTTTCACTGGTGTTTACATACATGTTTCACTGGTGTTTCAATAAATGTTTCACTAGTGTTTTATTACATGCTCTACTGGTATTTCAATACATGCTTCACTGGTGTTTAAATACATGCTTCACTGGTGTTTTAATACATGTTTCACTGGTGTTTAAATACATGCTTCACTTGTGTTTCAATACGTGTTTCACTGGTATTTCAATACATGCTTCACTGGTGTTTCAATACATGCTTCACTGGTGTTTCAATACATGATTCACTGGTGTTTCAATAAATGCTTCACTGGTGATTCAATACATGCTTCACTGGTGTTTCAATGCATGCTTCACTGGTGTTTCAATACATGCTTCACTGATATTTCAATGCATGCTTCACTGGTGTTTCATTACATGTTTCACTGGTGTTTCAATGCATGCTCCACTGGTATTTCAATACATGCTTCACGGGTGTTTCATTACATGCTTCACTGGTGTTTCAATACATCCTTCACTGGTGTTTCAATACATCCTTCACTGGTATTTCAATGCATGCTTCACTGGTGTTTTATACATGCTTCACTGGTGTTTCAATACTTGCTTCACTTGTATTTCAGTTTCAAAGGGGATACATAGAGCAGCAACCAGTTTAATAAATTACGAACTAGAATCAATTTCTATTGTACGTACAGGAGAAGTGGCTGTAACAGCAGGTATTTTTACATGTATATTTATTTATATTTGTAGGACAATATACTCTTCTTTTGTTTTTCTTTTAATGTTTCTTTCTCGTGAATAATGCATTGTGATCCTTTATGATATATGATTAAGCTCTTTTAAGTTTGATTTTTAAGAAAATTCGTCTGTTTTATTTTTGTTGTTGTTGTTGTTGTTTTATTATTTTATTATTATCTTTTATTTATTTATATCTATTTATATTTATTATTTATATACATTTGAGGAAGTGGAGGTTATTTGTTTGTTGTTTTGGTTTGTTTGGTTGTTTTTTGGGGGACTTTTTTTTTTAATTTTCTTCATAATTATTTACTGAAAATGAATAAAATAAGATTTAATCTAGAATTCCGATTTTTTTCAGGATATTTGCTTCCAGCTAAATGTAAGTGACTTCTTCAATTTACTCCTTATTTCGCCACTGTGTTAGGCTTTTCTTATAAGAAGATTATTGTTATGAAAAACATCCTAAAACATGCGTAAATAAAGACGGTCATCGAGAATATAAATTTTAATAGGAAAAATATATGAGCATCTTCTTTGTGTTTGTGCCATGTCCTGCAATTACAAGCTTCCGGTCACTGTACCTTTCCTTGGAACTTAGCTTACTTGAAACCAATTGATTTTATTTTAACTTGTGCCTTTTTCGCGGGAAGTAGATTTGTTTGTATGCACTGTGTTAAATGTGCGCTCTGTTCATGTGCGCTCTTTAATGCAAATGTGCGCTCTATAATGTTTATGTGCGCTCTGTTCACGTGCACTCTTTAATGTTAATGTGCGCTCTGTGTAATGTTAATATGCGCTCTATTAGAAATAAGGTACTGAGTATTCAAGTAGCAAAAAAATAGACTATTTCATTACATACGTGTACCTTTATATCATATGGATTAAAAAATAAAATGGCGGATTCAAGGTAGTTGCTGATTGGCTGAATGCACGATCGGATATGACCGTATTGGTCTGATCAGTTGAAAACCGACCTTGAGTTGTTTTACTGGTTTTATTTTACAGATATAGACAAATATTTGTCATAATGCCTGGTCTATAACAATCTTTAGGGGTTTATTTTCTTTTATCTTTTTTTTCTGAACAGATGTATTTCATACTGTCGGTCCGTCGGGTGGGGATGGTGATATTCAAGAAATGCTGAGACGTTGCTATAGAAACTGTTTAGACAAGATGGTGGAGATGGAATTACGTACATTGGTAGATATTCCTTTTTTATATGCCCGAAACAATTTGGGGCATATTATGTTATACCCCCTGGCGTCCGTCTGTCCGTCCGTCCGTCCGTTAGTAATTTGGTTTCCGGAGCATAACTTAAGTTCCATTTGGCCCACAGTATTCAATTTTCATAGGATGATTGCCCATATTGGGTAGAAGACCCCTAATGATTTTGGGGTCACAAGGTCAAAGGTCAATGTCACTATTACCCTAAAACTGAAAATGGTTTCCGGAGCATAACTTAAGTTCCATTTGGCCCACAGTTTTCAAACTTCATAGGATGATTGTCCATATTGGGTAGAAGACCCCTATTGATTTTGGGTCACAAAGTCAAAGGACAGGGTCACCATTACCCTAAAACTGAAAATGGTTTCCGGAGCATAACTAAAGTTCCATTAGGTCCACAGTATTCAAACTTCATAGCATGATTGTCCATATTGGGTAGAAGACTCCTATTGATTTTTGGGTCACACGGTCAAAGGTCAACGTCACTATTACCGTAAAACTGAAAATGGTATCTGGAGCATAACTTAAGTTCCATTTGGCCCACAGTATTTAAACTTCATAGGATGATTGCCCATATTGGGTAGAAGACTATTATTGATTTTGGGGTCACAAGGTCAAAGGTCAAGGTCACTTTAAGCTTAATACTGAAAATGGTTTCCGGAGCATAACTTAAGTTCCATTTGGCCCACAGTAATTAAACCTCATAGGATGATTGTCCATATTGGGTAGAAGACCCCTATTGATGTTGGGGTCACAGGGTCACAGATCAAGGTTACTATCACCTTTAAACTGGAAACAGTTTTCGCTCAATAACTCGAGCATTAATCAACCTACAGCTGTAAAATTTTATAGGATTAACAGCTTTATACCCCTGACGTCTTTTCGTCCATCCGTTGCAGCATTTTTACTTACAAGATAACAACTTGATGGTGGTGCTTTGAAAACAGCAACTGTATATATACATGAATGTTCTTCAGCTATAAAGGAGGATTGCTTTTTGAAGGAGGTAATACTTTATTTAATTCCCATGTCTTACAAATGCTTCATCCTTACTAAAAGAAAAAGTACTATCGGGCATATAATGCTCCGCCTACCGGTGCTCTTGTTAATTTTTCAATCATAACTTTTGGTATTGATAAGCGATTTTAGTTCACTTTCATCATTGCGTGAGCTGGAGCACCACGCTAAATGTCGTACTCCGGTACATACCGGACAAGGCGCTTGAATGATTCAATACTAAAATCTCACAATTTCACCTGCAAAAATGCAATTTAAGAAGTCTTAAATTCATCTCTTCACACCGATTTATATACGATCATGAATAAAAAAAATGTAAGAATCAGCGAAAACAATCTGCTTTGTGATCATGATTTCTGCAAGCGTCTGCTCCAACACTGTAGTTTGTTAAATCCCTCATTTTTCTGATATCTACAAGTGCATGCTTTGACTAGATTGCTCTATCTTTTCATGTTATTCTGTGCCATGTAACGTTATCAAAAAAAATCAATACATATGTTGCTGTTCTTTTTTTTAGCGAAGATTCAAAGCATTAGCATGTATAGCAATATTGATCAATATAATTGATAACATCTTAAATGAACAAGCTTTTCTTAATACAAGTAGTTTTATATTATAAAATTTTTATTTCAGGCATTTTGCTGTATTTCTACGGGAGCAAAGAGTAAGTACCATTTCTTAAATATGTACCAATAGCACAGTGGTTAAACCATGTCTTGCAAGCTTATACAATACAATGTGTACCCCTGTGTTGCGATTGCAAAAACATGTTACTTCCGGTTAAAGTACTTTTTTGGGAGCCTTTACATTTCAACTTTGACCTCTTCTTGTGATAACGTAATATATAAGAAAAAGCTTAAATTGAGTAGTTGTGTTGAAGAGAAATCGAAAAATAAGTCGAAGGAAAAGTCAAGCCATCATGAATGCTATGTCGACACCGTCGGTGTCGTCGTTATTTTGTTCTTGCAGTCAATCCATCATTTAAACATTTTAAAAGATATCGACATCAACCTTTGAATACTTGCTTATCAGGAGAAGGTGCTATTGGTAGACAAGGGCCATAATTCTGAAAGCTATACTTTTCTTAGTTATTTCCCCTTTTTCACTTAGAATTTACAACAGTCGAGCGTTATCACCGCATGGGGTGCTCTTGTTCACAAGGCAATATGTGCATTACCAAGGCATTATTTTAATTATAATGAATCACCTTTAATTTAAAGGAATGGTGCTTTAATAATATATTTAAGATATTAATGAAATTGATGGGCTGAAAGTTCTAATAAATTTGTTTTATATTTTTCCCCGCAGAAATCGACTTAAATCATGCCGCAAGGATTGCATTGACAACAGTTAAACAATGGCTACAGGTCAACATGCATAAAGTAAGACCTTAGTAATAATAACCTATTTACTATATGTTAGAAATCGAGGTTAAAGGCCCATTTTGCCCGATAAATGCTTTTATTCTTATTTCACAAAAACGTTTTATTTTTAGTGTCTTGTTATAGTGTTGAGAAAGTTACTTACTTGCCAATTACCTGCACAAACATTTGCTTCTAGAGACTTTTGGCAAATCGTACAATTAAAGTGATTTAATTAACAAATAAAAAAAAGGGCATTGAGGGCAAAATGCAAGTTTACGGACTGGTTGGTCAGACTGAGGAAGGTACATGCGCTGAGGGCCATATACCTTCGTCAGTCTGGCCAACCAGTCCGTAAACTTACATTTTTGTCATTTTTACTATGAAATTACCATGTCATGATATTCGCACGTCGTGAAAGTCGCGTTTAAACAGTCTTGACTGGGTAGCCGGTCTGTATGCAATTTATGGACTGGATGACGTCATATTAAATATAGAAGGGCGTATGCAAATGGGGTATAATATTATTTTGTATGGAAGTCAAATTACTACATCTACAATGTTTTATGAAAACTTAAGTTTACAAGTGATTTTCCATTTTGATCAATTTGTAGATACGAGTACCTTTTTTGATGTAAGATATTTTGATTATTTATATTTCAATCATTCATAATTTTAGGTTGATAAAATCGTTTTTTGTGTGTACGACATCGGTAATTGGGCGTGCTACCAGCGGTTAATGCCGGCAGTGTTCCTACCTGGAAACGAGGAAAATTCATCTGATTGTACGAAAGTTATATATTTCATGATCATGAGACATTTTTTAAACGTTTACTAAAAAGTAATCAGAATCACCTATCTCGTGGCTTATCTCAGCACATTACATATGAGCCGTGTCACGACAAAACCAACATAATGGGTTTGCGACCAGCATGGATCCAGATCAGCCTGCGCATCCGCGCAGTCTGATCAGGATCCATGCTGTTCGCTTACCAACTCTATTACAAGTAGAGAAACAGATAGCGAACTGCATGGATCCTGATCAGACTGCGCGGATGCGCAGGCTGGTCTTGATCCATGCTGGTCGCAAACCCATTATGTTGGTTTTGTCATGGCGCGGCTCATATATGCACTTTATATCATCAATGTTAAACTCAATATTTCATTTATAAGTAGAGTTCTACGTGTATATAATAAAAAAAAAAAAACGTTGGAAAAATAAAAAATGATATTATACGTGTTATTGCTGTGACTTTATTATTTTAACGTGTATATAATAAAATAGAGGGAAAAAGAATCACTAAAGAAATTTTAGAACGGCAAAATTGAAAATGCTGACGGCTCGGTTTGATTGAGCATGTTCATGAAAGTTTATTTATCCATTGCATACATATTTTTCAAGCCGCTGGACAGGACAGTTTGATCCCTGTGGAAATCCTAAGAATGGATAAGCACTCAATAGAATTATACAAACGAGCATTAAGTGAGGGCAAAGAAGCTGTTTACAATATTCGAGTTATGGTTGTCGGCCATTACGGTGTTGGCAAGACAACGCTAACAAAGCGTCTATTTGATGAAGATGTGGATATAAACAAACGAGAGAGTACAAATGGTATTGACGTACACGTGAAAAGATGCAAGGTGTCCCTGAAAACTGGACAATGGAACACAATAGCTAAAGGTATGCCAACATGCATTTGGATATATCTAAATGAGTGATTTGTAGATTTGTTCGTTTGCTGTATGTCTGTCTTAGTTTATACAAATTTATTTTAGTTCGATTGTGTTGGAAGCTATAAGCTTATTGAAACACTCTCGAATCCATTCCTGGAACCAGCCAGTACTACGCAATGAATGTTAAGATTCTTGCTCAAAGAAACAAAGGCTTGCCCCTGACAGGGTTTGAACCCGCCTGTTCTGTCTTGTGTGTCTATAGAATTCAATGAGTACCATGACTAGTAACTACAAGCACCTCAAAAGTTACCACGCTTGTTTGCACCTTAATGAAATTATAAAAAATGTTCCTCATTGTGCCTTTCTTGGGAGCTTTACCTGTCTTGCGATAGCAGGATGTAGACTTGTTTTAACACTGTGTATATGTCGTAAACTTGTAGTCAAACATATGCGTTTTCATAGCCCTGTTTGTTTGTTTGTTTGTTTGTTTGTTTGTTTTTGTTTCTTTCTTTCTTTCTATTTCTTTTTTGATTGCTTTCTTTTATTTTTGTTGTTGTTGTTATTTTCAATTTACAAGAAAAAAAAGATGGTAGATCTAGTACCAACACAACGTGTAAAATTAATACAATTAAGCAAGAAATCAATCATATAAATTACTTATGTTTGTTTGTAGATCAGAAAGTTGACACAGTCTGTCATCGGCTGGTTAATTTGTTGAAAATGCCACTGAATACGGATCAGAAAGTTGATGTAACGGATAACGAGAGTACAGTAGGAGACATTATTGAAGAGTTTGATGATGTAGATGGTATTGCATCAATGGAGAGCATCAGTGAAGATTTGACAGAAATGAATAAAGGTAATGCTGATCTTACAATGAATGAAAGAAAAATAAGCCGCGTCACGACAAAACCAACGTAATGGGTTTGCGACCAGCATGGATCCAGACCATCCGCGCAGTCTGATCAGGATCCATGCTGTTCGTTATCAGTTTCTCTACTTGTAATAGAGTTGGTAAGCGAACAGCATGGCTCCTGATCAGACTGCGGGGATGCGCAGGCTGGTCTGGATCCAATTGCTGGTCGCAAACGCACTATGTTGGTTTTGTCGTGACGCGGCTCATTAATACATTTGAAACTCATCGTCACCAAGGATTTTTAAGAAAAATGTCACAATAACAAAGTAGAGAAAAGGGAATTACTAAAGAACGTGAAAAAACGACAAAATTGTAAAATGTTGCAGGCTAGGTTTGATTGAGCCTATTCATGAACGGTAATAGAAATTGCAAGTTACTGTTTTTAGCTCGACTATTCGATAAGAATAAGTAGAGCTATTGTAGTCACCCGAGCGTCGGCGTCGGCGTCGGCGTTGGTGTCCGCGTCGGCATAACCACTTATGTTAAAGTTTTTGTAATAGTTCAAATATTTTCAAAGTCCATTGACATATGGCTTTGAAACTTTGCACACTTGTTCACCATCATGACCCCAACCCGTAGACAGGAGGAGGTAACTGTATCAAGCATTTTGACAGAATTATGCCCCTTTTTCGACTAAGAATTTACGTTAAAGTTTTTGTAATAGTTCAAATATTTTCAAAGTCCATTGACATATGGCTTTGAAACTTTGAACACTTGTTCACCATCATGACCCCAATCTGTAAACAGGAGGAGGTAACTGTATCAAGCATTTTGACAGAATTATGCCCCTTTTTCGACTTAGAATTTACGTTAAAGTTTTTGTAATAGTTCAAATATTTTCAAAGTCCATTGACATATGGCTTTGAAACTTTGCACACTTGTTCACCATCATGACCCCAACCTGTGAACAGGAGGAGGTAATTGTATCAAGCATTTTTTTTTTCTATCAAGCACTAAGAATAGTCGAGCGTTGCTGTCCTACCGACAGCTCTTGTTTGAATTGTAATAAAAAAATGCGGAGCAACATTTTCTGTATACAGGTATATGTAAGTCGGTGCATTGTAACACCGCACTTTGGGGTCAAACGCACTTTGGGGTCCAACCCCAAAGTGCGTTACGTACTTTGGGGTCCGACCCCAGAGTGCGTTACGCACTTTGGGGTCCAATTTCGACCCCAAAGTGCGTTAAACAGGTACATATGTATTTTTTAACATCAGGCAAACGACCGCACTTTGGGGTCATAGAAAATTATTGTTTATTATGTTTTAAATAATATATTGTTGTCAAAGCGAATGGTAAACAAAAATCAAGGTATAAAAAAGACGCAAAACATGTGCCCTGGATTATAGTAGAATCAATAGGGATTTAAATGGTCTTGATAAGTAAGTGAAGAACTTTCACCAAATAAATCACCTAATAAAGAATTTGTATCAAATTAAGCTTAAAATATTTTTTTCTCAAATTTTCCATTTATTTTAAAAGAATGTACACCTTTAATTAACTCCATTGTTTTTAGCTAAATGGATTATTTTCCCGTTTTTATTTGTTTGAGTCGTCAGACCAAACAAATAATGGTAGCGAAATTTCAGAGTCTAATGCTGTTAATTGCAAATGCCGAAAGTAGTCCACTTTTTTGAAGCGGTTACTTCCCTTTATATGTACACTAACGCCGAAAAATTCAGGGGAAATCACTGCGTAAAGATGGTCAAAGACAGACGCATTAATTTTCAAGCAAAATAATTCCCGAATGGTCGAAGGTTTCTAATATTGTTTTATTGTATTTTCTGATCGAAAATAAGTAAATACAAAGCGGACATTCAATCTCTGACACAGAAGTTTCACGAAAAACCTAACAACAAGTAGTTCTCAAAACAGCTTAAAACTAGCGATTTAAAAGAAAGAAATACTTTTATTTTGTTACAAGTATCCAACAAATTACAACGCATTCAAAGTTTAAAAATAGCGTTGGCTTATAGAATTGTCAATAAATGCACAAACACAAATTACGCGGATGAATATGATTTTATCAATGAAAATACTATGTTTAGCGATGTCGATTACCGAATACTACACAAACGGAGTAGTGGAATATATAGATTCTACATGTCGGACTGTTTAGGCGAGAAGGTTTTCGCTAAATTATTTACTTCAATATTAAACAACAGGTTTATCCAGAACAAAATACCTCGTAATTAATAAGGATTACAAACCAAAATGCAATGGAAGTTCTAAATTTAGAATGAATTGATGTTATTCAGACTGTTTGTATAACTTCTCCGTGGTGCAGGGGTAACGCGCTCGCTTAGTGAGTGAGAGGTCTGGAGTTCAAATCCCAGTCGAGGAAACTTTTTTTTTTTAAATTCTTTTTTAAGTGTCTTTGTTAAGGAAGTAGTCATGATATGCAAAGATAAAGTGTGGCTGTCGTAAAAAATGAACATAAATGATTTTTTGATGCAACTCTAGTTATGCAAAATTCCGTATGTATCAAACTCTGGTGCCTTGCGAGATGAATTATAGTACATAAAAATAAACTTATACAGGAAAATACATACAGATATACAGTACGATTTAGATTGCAAAGATCAGAAAATACCACAGAACTTGCAGCCCTTTGATTCTTTATAAATATACATGCTTATAGTAAGCTCCAGGATTATTTACATCTGTGTTAAACAACAGTTAAAGTCGTTACAAGCCCTAATTTAGAATAATATGGTTTTCTTCAGGCCGTTCACATATAAATTCACCGTGTCTGAGGGGTTTTCGCACTCGCTTAGGAAGCGAGAGGTCTGGAGTCCAAATCCCAGTAAAGGAAAACTCTTTTTTTTCAAATTGTTTAAGTCAAATAAACATTGGATTGAATATCAGTGTTGCAATAAGTCTTATAGCCAATTTACTACAATTAAAACGCTGGAAAGCATTGGTGTCACTATAATCTCACAACCTGTACTTTTCTTACATTCTGAGACCCAAACAAATTCAGCGCCTTCTGTGCTTTGATTTAGTCTTCTAGCTAGTGTTCCCGTTCCCCTACGACGCGTTGCTGTATTCAAGATACGCGCTATCTAATCAAATCAATTCATTGGTCTTTTTCTCTTTAAAAGCATATTAAATACGGCAGTATATTATGATAATTATATATAAATCTTTGCGTGTTAGAATTTATATTTAGCGGTTACTGATATTTTCACTTCAAATGACTTTGATTATTTTAAATAATGGTTTGCTAGTAAAATTATTGCCTTTTTGACACCAACTTTGTTATCATTTTTCATTTTATGATAACATTTAGCTATGGATCAGTAAGTAAATAAGAACAATCAATTTTTTATAATTACCTATTATATTTCACGCTAATTGTGAGACGAACCCTAAATGACGTCTATATGGGCGCCGCCATTTTGAAATGGACGTCACGTCAGGTTACAACGTAGGTCAACGGGAAAAATATTATTTTAACATTTTGACCGTATTACTAAATTTATGAAAAAAATGAAAAACATGCCTAGAGATATTGACGTCAGGGTTAACATGACATTAATTTAAATGATTTTACTATTATATTAAATAAAAAATGGTATATTCAAATTTGATGGGACAGACTATAGTGTAATATCGTCTAGTGTAATACGTTTTTATTAAATGGCTTTATTACACTCCTGCGCCGCGGTTTATGTGATAACATGATTTTATTCAACACGTTCAATAAATTTAGTATTAAACCTACACTCATTCAATATCCTCTATTTATCTAACTATAAACAAGCTATTACAAGGTCAAAACACGTCATAATTCTGTATATGATTTTTTCGGATTGGTCGCCAACATAAAATATTTTTAGTACACGGTGTAATAAATAGAAAAAAAAACAAAGAAAAAAACATAAAATAAAGCAAAATAACAACAAAATTGCAACATTAAAGCAGCATACCTCCAGATTTATGCTAATTTTCATGAAAATTTTGAAAATTATTATTAAAATGTAAAATATTGCGAAGTGAGCAAAGTAAATAATTTTCAGATTGCAAACATCACCTACAACCCATGTAAATTAACAAAAAGGAAAAAAGAGTTATAAATATCCCTAAGCAGTAGAAAAATGGTGAAAATACTGCAAAATTGGCCATAAATCGCACAGAACATGGATTTGTTTTTTCCCTTTATCTGGAATCTTTTCCCTTTATTTAAAATCTCAGTACAAAATGTACTTTTTTTCTGAATTTTGATTATTTTTAAAATATTTTGGTTCATTTTTTGGAGGCATGCAGCTTTAAATGTGACACACCTACATAATTAATTCAGAAAGATTACAAATAATTAGAAACATCGACGAGATGAAGACTAAAAAACTAAGTGGGCATGTTAATTTGGCCGATAAAGTATGCAATGCTTTAAGTTAAATGATCACACTTCACATGTATTAATCAAACAGAAATATGAATTGAAAATTATCAATTACCAATGTTAACAATAGCGTGCACACGAGATAGCAAGGCATGCCTGTTATTTGAAATGATTTTTACCAAAACAATGAACATTCTTTCATCACAGAACTATTATGATAACAAAGTTTGATAGTATCATGCCAAGTCAATGGTATTTCTGATTATCCCCCAAGTATAGTTCATGTCTTAGACAACGTGTAGACGCGTAAATCGTTTGAACTGCTTCCAACTAACAGCCGCGAACTCCTCTTGTCAAAAGCCAATGCAAGCGGTTTGTTTAGTTGTTCAGAAGCTCCCAACAGTTCACTGATCTTTTCACCTTTCTTGTTAACCTGCAGTACAGTGTTTGAGCTAAGTCCACCGACTAAGATTATGTCTCCTGGCAGGATACAGACTCCCCATGGTCTCTTCAATCCTGGATCACTAAATGTCCAAACTACTTCACCATCTTTTGTCAATGCGTTCACATTATTTCCGGTGTCATTTGAAACAACCATGAGCTGATTATTCATGTTCATTGCTACTTGTCTTGCTTTTGTAAATAGCTGGTCACCATTTTTATTCTTCTCATATATTTTTATTAAGTTACCGGACTTGTTATATACTGATATTTTATCACCGTCACATAACATGATAGCGTCAAGCGTTGTATCATAACAAACACCAACAGGATCACTACAGTTGCTGATATTTATTGTCGATGTCAACTGCATAGTTTTTCCGAGCGAAAAAAGCTGTATCCGACGTTTACCACATATGTACGTTGCAACCTCGTTTTGCCCTACTCTGCATACTGAGTATGGATTTCCACCTACTTCAACAAAATCTGTTACCATCATATTTTCATTCAGTCACTTCAGTTTTAAATGTGTGAAATCGGCAATGACAAATGAACCATCATCCATGGCACATATACCAGTTATTTGACAACCATTCGGATCGATATTATATGTTTCAGAAAGTGTTGCTTTATATTCCTTCACATCAATGTCAACAACAAAACTCTCAATGTCATTTAGTTGATCTTTCAGATTGTTATTCGCCATCAATCCCAAAATCTCGTTTACTTTACCTGTTGATAATTCACCCAAAAACGTTTCGACATCCTTGATAGAAACTTTACTTGCTTTGAGATTTACAAACAATTGGGATTCATTTTTTTCTGACAGTTTCCGGAGATCTGTGGTTGTCGTTGTTAAAATAGTATTTAAAGCGTCTAGATCTGACTGGATATGTTTATTTATTTCTCCATATTTTAATGATACTTGTTGTTTCGAAGTTTCTACCAGCTCTTCAACCTTCATCAGAATTTCCGTTTTCAACTTTTCTATCTCTTCAAATAACTGCTCCTTTTCTTTTTGAAGTATTTTGAGATTATCTGTTTTAGCTTGTATCACACCTCTTAATTCAATGAGAACATCCTCGAGTGATGATTTAGTTTTTCCATACTCAGCACTGTTCTTTATACCCTGGGCAACGTCGGGTAGATAATCAACATTTATACATGACCTGAAATATTGATATATTTTGATAACACAATCTACTGTTTACAGATTAAGTATTAATTGTATCAGGTTTATAAGTACCGACATAAAGTTAGCATATTATTTCAAGCGAGGAAAATTATTGTTTGCCTCAACTACTAAATGACATTGTGAATGGTGACTAGCCAAAAGAAACAAAAAAGTGCACCATACCACGTTTCACATTTAACTTTAGAATTGTGATGAGTATATCATATTTATATTTAAATTAAAGATTAGTCAATGATTTATACATTCAACAATAAAGTTAAAAACTGTATCACATTGAAATATTGGATTTTAATACATTATATCAATTGTATCATTTACCTTATTGATTTTAAATACAGTAATTAACAAGTTATTTACCTGTGTTTTATAGCAATACATGCTGCGCAACACACTTCATCATGGTCTTTACAAAACATGTCCACTAACTTGCCATGGTGAACTGCGCACCTTTCTGTTGGTAGTCCGGGTCCTGTTTCAATATTTCCATCTGATATAATTTTATCTGATTTGTCTAATATCTGGTGTGATCTTAGAGCTGGAAATTTATTGTGATGTTGAAGACATTTAGAACAGAAATACGACCCACAATCCACACAAAACTTAACTGCTTCTATTAGTTTTCCGGATTCCGAGCACGGTGAGCAATTTGTATCAAAAACCTCCTCTGAACTAGCAACAACAGACGACTTAATGTCCTTGTCTGTCGCCATTTTGTGGGAGAGGTTTAACTTTAATCCTTTCAATGTAACTATAATTTGACCTCCCAAGTACTACTTCCTGGTTATGCTAAGGTGCAGGATATTTATCTCTCTTTGTTAGGATGACGATTAATTACTATCGAATGTTGCCAAACGTTCATACATATACTGTAAACATGTAAGGTTATACGTAAATTATTTGAAGTCAATATAAACTATATATGTTTGAAGGGTGTACACCACCAAATACAATGTAACTATCTATATTTATCAGTTTATAAAATGGGATAAGATATTTCATGAATCCGTGATGTGATAAATGTATTATACCATGTACACTTTGTATTATACATATATATGCTTAAGTTTGGTTTTACGTTTTATCATACACATAATCGGATTTCAGGCTGTGTGCATTTACAACACACATTAAACAAACGCTATATATATAGTAAATTATTCTATTTCCTTTTCAAAGAACAAAATACAAGATATCTTTAAGAAATATAAACTCCTATACATTTATATCTAACTTACGGAGGAATTACGCGGGCATTTTACATTGTATTTGTTCATAAACCACATATATATGAATCCATAAAAGTAAATACAACTTAAGATACATTAATTTCATTAATTTAGAAACGTCCGCATAATTATTTTTATGTAAACAAAAGAATATGATGTTCCAGCCACTAGAACGCAATACTGACACTGGATTTCTGTCGGGAAAAATCCTTCTTGTCAAAGATTTGCAAAAACTGAAAAAAATGCATTTATTTAATAAGCCTACTAGACAGACATATTTTAAAGCTCGACCTTTTCAAAGCTAGAGGCTATCTTACTCAACCTGGCGTCGGCGTCAACGTTAAAGTGTACAAACTCTGATGATATTGACCTGTTATTTTTTTTACAAAAGGTTACTTCTAAGTCAATCAGCGAAAAGGCATTTCAATGCTATTTATAGATGATATAATCATATTATATATCTCATCATTCACATATTTAGATTATTATTATTTATAGATTATTTGCTAATCAGAATTGGAGGTCACTATCGCAAGCTCATATTTCTGTTACAGATTTTGAATGAGTAATGCCCTTTTTTGTAAGAAAATTCTTGGTTTTGCATGCAACATCAGTCTTCGAAAGTACTGAAGGTATTCACTTACAACTTAATACATGTCTTCGTAACCATTATTGGAGGCCAACAACTCAAATATGGCGCGAAGCTAATCGTTCAAAAACCTATTGATAGTATTTACATGAAACCTATATCATATTTTACAATTACAATTTAGGGTCACTTTCCAAGACCCCTTATTCTGACATGGATTTTGAATGTAATATGCCCTTTTAAGACAAAAAAAGTTTTTGTCAATGCCAAAGACTTATAGGTATGCCATTTGTTGTCAACAAAATATTCCTCTTTGTTAATTATTACATTTTTACCAACAAGCCCAGAGAATAGTCGAGCCCTCTTTTCTACTGACAGCTCTTGTGATGCCATACAACAATTGCTGATAGAAAACTTAACAGGATATTTAAACCTATCAATCTAATTTTAAACAACAGAAAATACAAACTTAATACGCCCTGGAAATATTAACTAATAAACACATACGATACATTCACCTTCATTCGCTTTACACTTATTTTCAATCACATGACCATTATAATGTTATCTTTTTCTATTAGAGCATGAAATCATAGCTTTAAGTACAGTCCTTTAGACACCGGTACATACATGTATTAGTTAAACATATATTTGAATTATGCATCACAGTCACTTTTTGCACCTTCTATTTCTGTAATTTAAAAAAAGATTGTGGAGATTTCGATAAAACAATGTTTGTTTTACAGTTTTTACAGTATACAGTCAATTCGAAACGCTTAATATTTTATTGGTATACATATTAGAAATAAATATAGTTTAATATATGTATGTCGCCAGATTTTCAATTATTTTACAATGTCTGTTATCTCATAAATGAGATATTCACTGTGATTGTCGAATATGTTTAATTTAATCTGAAAAAAAGCAACTAAACATTGATTAAATTAACGTTCATATTAATAAATGTGTTATAAAGGACAACTGAACAATCACGAAAATAACATTCCAGGTAACGAACATGAGATCGTTACAAAGTCTCTTACAGGAACAATTAAGAAACTACCTACAAATTTTCAATTATATGATCTGATTTTGATACAATGAGTATGATAGATCTTAAAATATGTTTATATAAACTGAAACTTAATCTTCATTTGATTTATCAAATCAAAACTGTCTGTTACTAAAATGTTCTTTTCCAATTTTCAAATATCAATAATAATGTTTAACTCAAAAAATATTATGACTTAAGGTTGTCTAAACATTGTGTTATAAGCATAATATATTTTATGGTAACGATCATTTTGTGTTTGCTGGAAGCTTTTAAGGCAGCTTGGTAAAAGGGTTAACAGTTAACATTTCTTAATTTACGGAAACATATATTGATAAAGTTCATCAAAAAATGATTTATATTCATGTAATAACTTTGTATTCATACCCTAACTGAAGAATGATTTATTTAACTTCAATTTCACCGAATTTTGACAGAAATCTAGTAAACCGGTAGAATGACGTGTTAAGCAAATGTAAGTTCACAATAACTCTCATTCTCATTGTTGTTCAGTGCAATTAATATATTCTTATTTTTTCTGTAGTTCATGTGTATTTAATTCATGAATTATTTTATAAGATTTTGTTACCTGACATATACATAAACTGTTTTTCATTCGTTGTCTATGCATTTAAAAATTAAAGTTATGTAAATTTATTCTAGTTTTATGGTGACAGAGGACTAATGATAATAATAAATTATTGAGTTACAGAGAAAGTGTTGGCAGTAATATACCATTTGATATGAATGCTTTGTGTTTTATAACAAAGATGTAGGGCACATTATATGTTTTATACATATATTGTTTTGCCTCATATTGAAGCACCATCTGTGAGAATAGAGAGATTAGAGTATATTGTATATTTAACTATGTAACTGGTATATTAATCTCCAGTATGTTAATGACCTTTGACCTTTTCTTTTTTAAACTAACCCGAAATCGAATTTTTTTTTTTTATTTAGGAACTAGAAACTATTTTAATATCATTTTTGGACTGATACCAGATTTATTGTTTGGGTCGTCAGACCCAAACAAATAATGGTAGCGAAATTTCAGAGTCTAATGCTGTTAATTGCAAATGCCGAAAGTAGTCCACTTTTTTGAAGCGGTTACTTCCCTTTATATGTACACTAACGCCGAAAATTCAGGGGAAATCACTGCGTAAAGATGGTCAAAGACAGACGCATTAATTTTCAAGCAAAATAATTCCCGAATGGTCGAAGATTTCTAATATTGTTTTATTGTATTTTCTGATCGAAAATAAGTAAATACAAAGCGGACATTCAATCTCTGACACAGAAGTTTCACGAAAAACCTAACAACAAGTAGTTCTCAAAACAGCTTAAAACTAGCGATTTAAAAGAAAGAAATAGAATCTACTTTTATTTTGTTACAAGTATCCAACAAATTACAACGCATTCAAAGATTAAAAATAGCGTTGGCTTATAGAATTGTCAATAAATGCACAAACACAAATTACGCGGATGAATATGATTTTATCAATGAAATTACTATGTTTAGCGATGTCGATTACCGAATACTACACAAACGGAGTAGTGGAATATATAGATTCTACATGTCGGACTGTTTAGGCGAGAAGGTTTTCGCTAAATTATTTACGTCAATTTTAAACAACAGGTTTATCCAGAACAAAATACCTCGTAATTAATAAGGATTACAAACCGAAATGCAATGGAAGTTCTAAATTTAGAATGACTTGATGTTATTCAGACTGTTTGTATAACATCTCCGTGGTGCAGGGGTAACGCGCTCGCTTAGTGAGTGAGAGGTCTGGAGTTCAAATCCCAGTGGAGGAAACTTTTTTTTTTTAAATTCTTTTTTAAGTGTTTTAAGGAAGTAGTCATGATATGCAAGGATAAAGTGTGGCTGTCGTAAAAAATGAACATAAATGATTTTTTGATGCAACTCTAGTTATGCAAAATTCCGTATGTATCAAACTCTGGTGCCTTGCGAGATGAATTATAGTACATAAAAATAAACTTATACAGGAAAATACATACAGATATACAGTACGATTTAGATTGCAAAGATCAGAAAATACCACAGAACTTGCAGCCCTTTGATTCTTTATAAATAAACATGCTTATAGTAAGCTCCAGGATTATTTACATCTGTGTTAAACAACAGTTAAAGTCGTTACAAGCCCTAATTTAGAATAATATGGTTTTCTTCAGGCCGTTCACATATAAATTCACCGTGGCTGAGGGGTTTTCGCACTCGCTTAGGAAGCGAGAGGTCTGGAGTCCAAATCCCAGTAAAGGAAAACTCTTTTTTTTCAAATTGTTTAAGTCAAATAAACATTGGATTGAATATCAGTGTTGCAATAAGTCTTAAAGCCAATTTACTACAATTAAAACGCTGGAAAGCATTGGTGGCACTATAATCTCACAACCTGTACTTTTCTTACATTCTGAGACCCAAACAAATTCAGCGCCTTCTGTGCTTTGATTTATTTACACATTTTATAGAAATATGATAGTCTTAGCATAGGCAAAGGTATAAATTCTGGGCAATTTTAGTAAGACATTTCAGTAAAAAAATGTGCCTGATAATATGTTGAAAGAGCCATTTATTTAGCTAAATGTAACATATAAGAAACTTGACTATAGGTGTAGATGCGGCTTTAGGTAGTAGTCCTAAAAATATCACCTATTTAAGTAGTCGCACATTAAGAGCGGAGCTTCAGAATAATGTAAAATTCTCACTGGGGGTATAGAGGGGATTGTGGGGTATCGAGGGTTAAAAATAACGTTTTAAAGGCCCATTATGCTTTTATTTGTTTTTCTTAAACTTTTTTATTTTGATGTTCTTCTATATTATCCAAAAAATACACATTGGCCAATTACCTGAACCAACTTTTTCATCTGTTGCTTTTTGGCAATGATGAGTAGAGTTATAGTGAATTAGTATTTATATGGAAGTCAAATACTACATTGTTTTGACTACTTTTATGACAAATAATCTCACATTTATTTACTTTATTCAGGTAACAAGCATCTTACATTTCTCTGATACCATTATTTTAACATTATAAAATTCGTGTTTGCTCTTTCTAACGAAGTATGTAAGATTTCCCATTAAAAAAGCATCTGGCGAACGAGTGTAGGACATAAGCCCCCCCCCCCCCCCGGACGAAAGAGGGGGAGGCTTTCGTCCGGGGGGGGGCGCTTTTGTCCGTATCCCCTGGCGAACGGTTGTTACGGAGCTTACAAAAACCCTTAAGTTTGTTGATAAGCTTAATAATGTATTTGTAAAAATCACTATTTATAGTCCGATCGAAAAACATAATGTTTCACCAGAACATTGCAATAGAGTATATTTATAGTTCTTTGGAAAAAAATAACTGCATTTTAGTTCATTCCCGACATATTTAAAATGGGGCTCAATATGGCACCAAAAGTTATCAAGTAAATGACTGACAGAACGGGACATTTTTCGCAGCATCTTTTAGTTTTAGGAATACACAATTTCTGTACTAGAGTATTTTGAAAGGTGGCATAAAAGTGACATTTGCATTTCTTTTATACTTTTTTTTGTTTTTCGTACATATTTTTTTTTGTTTGTCGTACATATTTTTTTAAGTTTTGAATACATACTTTTGTTTAGTTTTGCATACATATTCTTTTTTAATTTTGCATACATATTTTATTTTAGTTTTTTGTACATATTTTATTTTTGTTTTTTTAGTACATATTTTTACATGACGCAATTTGCAAAGTAGAGGTTTGGATAATTACGCCATTTGTAAAACGCCATTTTTAAACACTTCGCCATCTGTAAATTACAGTACCCCATTTGCAAATGCTTTCATTTTGGAGGTATAAAAAAATAACAACACTTATAGTATACATATAGTCCGCGGTAACCCAAAGAAAGGTTCTGCATATTGTCTCGATGTGGTTAGCATTTTACACAAAGTGCCTGAAAATCCTTTATGGGGTTTTGGAGATAAGGAGCGGAGATGAAACCCAAATCTTAATCCTTTGACCTGTAGGTGTGTCCCCCGACCTTGAGCCGGCACACCTGGCATATAAGTTCTGCACATAATCTGGATGTGCAAAAGAATTGACCCAATTTTCATAAAAATCCTTCAAAGCTTAGCTTTAAGCATTTTTTTTTCTAAAATCAGTGGAATATAATGACCTTTTTAGATTTTTTGTTGTGCATTATTGTAATACACCAGTCATTTGTAACCACCTCTCTTGCCCCGGGAGGAGTACGGGTTAAAAAAGAATCGTGCTTTGATGTTTGCACCGTCCGGGGCATGAGGCAGGAATGTTGTTATCTGAGTATCCTCCGCAGGGCGAAGATTTTACCAGTGGTCGGCTTGGTTTAAAGTCAATGCCCCCCCCCCCCCCCATTATTCTCAGGGCGTGGGGTTGAGTGGTGCATATTCATAATAATAACTAATCACCAATCTTCAGCCCTTACCAAATAGACACTAATATAATAGTATATAATAATAAAAAAACAATAATTATATAAAAAACATATAATTTAAAAAATAGGCCGAAAAAGGTCGGCCGAAACCAGACTTGCCCGGCCGTAAACGACTGGGCCGATTCCAAAAATGGGTCGAAATGTGACCAAACCACTGTGCTAGTTTTATACTCAACTATGGGCTGTTATGAGGTGTGAAGGCTGTTTTGATTGGCTAAAATATGTACGAAAAACAAAAATAAAATATGTACGAAAGACTAAAATAAAATATGAATGCAAAACTAAAAAAAAAATATGTATGCAAAACTAAAAAATAATATGTATGCAAAACTAAAAAAAATGCAAATGTCACTTTTATGCCACCGCAATTTTGTTATATGAACACAATTTTTAGATATTTCAATTGGTAAAATTAATGAAAGTTTTATCACTTAAGCATCATCAATGTATTGACCGCCATCTTGAACTCCACCTCCGCAGATCGAAAATAAGTCAGTACTCAGTATTTAAGCAGATCTCAGATGACACCTTTAGATCTCTGGAACCCAAAGTGCGTTGATATGTAGAATATTAACGCACTTTGGGGTCAATTTCTCGATTTTGACCCCAAAGTGCGTTTGACCCCTAAGTGCGGTGCGAAGTTTAACGCACTTTGGGGTCGGACCCCAAAGTGCGTTTGACACCAAAGTGCGGTGTTACAGAGCATTAAGCGAAAAGTTAATTTGAAAAATGTGGTACACTTTGATGTTTTTAAATGAAATATTAAGACCGTTGTCTTTAATGCGGAACATCATAATTATGACATGGTAAATGTTCCATATAAGTATATGTCGGTACATTTACAGGGGAAAAATATGAATTATGAAAACAGCAGGATACTTATAATTATTTTAAATGAATAATTAAGACCATAAATAGAGTATTATTGTGACACCTAGGTGTAGAAAAGATACTTTCAGAAACAAAGCCAAATCTAACGGCTAATCAACGACCTTGACCACAATATTATTTATCAGTTATTAACATACAAATAAGCCGCGCCATGACAAAACCAACATAGTGCGTTTGCGACCAGCATGGATCCAGACCAGCCTGCGCATCCGCGCAGTCTGATCAGGATCCATGCTGTTCGCTTACAAACCCTATTACAAGTAGAGAAAGTGATAGCAAACAGCAAGGATCCTGATCAGACTGCGTGGATGCGCAGGCTGGTCTGGATCCATGCTGGTCGCAAACCCATTATGTTGGTTTTGTCATGATGCGGCTCAAATATATCAATGTAAATAAGATTAATACTGTGAAATATAGGTGCAGAGATTTTGTTTACAGAGACAGAACCAAAGCCTAAAATAACTTTGCCACCACTAGAAGTAGAAAACGTCACCGATGTGAACTTCTCAACACTACAAGACGCCAAAGAAGAAAATATACTGTATCACTTGAAGGTAGGGACATTGGAGTGTGGTTTTATTGTGACAGAATTCCTTAGGTCTTTCTATCATCAGGTGTTTCCTTATGGTAGGTAAAAACCATCGACCGTACGTTAGCTAGCCGGGTAGATTCCTTCTCTAAAAGAATATTATTGTTTGTTTTTTTTTGTTTCATTTTACGCCTTTTCCCAACAGTATTTCAATCATATAGGCGGGTAGTTTCCTAACCATCGTTCCTGGAGAGTTACACCAGTACTAGACTACCTTCCTCCGTGCTAAATTTATTTTATACTTATGAATGAAATATTGAGAAATATTGATGAAATAAAATGCAAATTTTCATTTTTCCGTATTTTCCTTATAAAATATTAATGCAGTGAAACATATTTTCCGTATTTTTACTGGTGTCTTGCTGGACTACTTTCTAATAAAATAACACAAAATTAAAGGGATAGTCTGTCAAATTAAAATGTCAAAAAAGAGAAGAATGTATATATTAACATTAAATTCAAGTTTTCTTTTCTATGAATTCAAGGTTTATTTTCATCATATTATATGAAAAATATCATATTTCATTCCAGGCTACAGCCACCCGATGAAAATAAATCCTGTATTTATAAAAAAAAAATAACCTGTATAACTTATTATTTATTTATTTATTTACTTATTTTTTTATTTGTTTATTCTTACAACCATTTGTCACCGTTTCTTATTTTATTCAATTTATAAATTTTGATTGTTAGCTTTCGTTGAAGGCATTTTGAAATAACTTTCCTGTTTGTTTGTTTGTTTGTTTGTTTGTTTGTTTGTTTGTTTATATTAATTTATCTATTCTTACAACCATTTTATATTGTTTATTCTTTTATTTAATTATATAAATTTTAATTGTAAGATATACCCAACGCTTTCGTTAAAAGGATTTAAAACAAAATTCCTCTAAATGCTGTCTGCTATCTTTCAGGACTTGATAGAAGACCTTCAACATTCAGGGTCTGCAGACGATTCCAACATGGCGGATGTCTCGTTTTGGGATTTTGCGGGACAATATGTATTTTATGCCACTCACCAGGTGTTCTTGTCAAGGAGAGCGGTGTATTTGTTAGTCACAGATATATCTAAACACGTGGAGGACACAGTTAAAGATGATGACTGTTTCTTAGATAGCAAAGGTGTCAAACATTGGAAAATTTCAGGTATGCTATGATGATAAAATATATATTATAAAATTTAAATTTTTTGTCGCTTGTCGATGTGTTATTTGCAGACAAAAAGTACTGAAATGTTGAATATATGATATAATTGAGCCGCGTCACAACAAAACCAACATAATGGGTTTGCGACCAGCATGGATCCAGACCAGCCTGCGCGTCCGTGCAGTCTGATCAGGATCCATGCTGTTCGCTATCAATTTCTCTACTTGTTATAGGGTTTGTAAGAGAACAGCATGGATCCTGATCAGACTGCGCGGATGCGCAGGCTGGTCTGGATCCATGCTGGTCGCAAACCCATTATATTGGTTTTGTCGTGACGCGGCTCAATTATGATGCGAGAAAACAAGAACATTTGGACTATCTCAAATCACTTAATGTTTGGTGTGAACGAATTATGTAAAAACTTGTAAGAAGTTTATAAACAAAACCGTAACAAAACATTTTAAAGACGTATATACTTATGTTATTGGGATTTAGAATGGCTATTTAACTGATGAAAAATATTTTGTTCTGGGGCACTTTATTATCTGTTGTATATAGGACTTGCCAACAACCTCCATTTATAATTATTCCGTGGCTTGTTTTTACGTCTAATACTAAATTTTATCAACGTAATACATTGTATTACAGACCTTACAGTATAGATCAATGTATTCTAAATGTTTATTATATCATACCTTTAAATATGATAACTTTCAGAATTTGTTGATTTCTGGTTAAATTCCATCCACGAGTTTTGTGGTTCGTCGGATGACGGGGGCCCACCGGTCCTGCTGGTTGGAACTTTTGCAGATAAGATAAAACAAGTGATGTGATATTCTTTATATTATACCATATGTTTTAATGATATTTAAAAAAATTATATCTGTCTTAGTGTTTATCGGCTTTTTTATACCATTTTGAAATTTTAATACGTAAGAATTGATCGGGAAGGATTGCTAAGAAAACCTTTATACAATTATATTATTTATACTCCAAGGATCAAAAATGACACCACCATAATTGTGATTAAGTTATAAATTTATAGAAAAAAGCCTTAAAAAGTCTTCTTATTCTACAATGCCTACAGCTAGATATTTTGAATGTAGACACAAAATTGGCTCCCCCGATGGGTAACATAGTTTAAAAAGACTTTTATCAAAAACACATTTCAATATTTTGGAAAATTACAATGCACAGGGCTTAGACATTTGGCAAGTTATATTTACTTGCGGACCTATGTCATTTCCAATATATAGTATCTAATTACTATGTAATGCATTGAACAAGTGTGACCAATTGTAGCATTGGCTCTCAGGTGAGCGATCTGAGGCCACATTCACCTTCTTGTCACGTACTGTTACTTTTCTTGCAGAGCAAACGTCATTATGAAAATTGCTTATCGTTTGTTATTTTATAAAAATGTTAATGTTATCTATGTAGTTTAATAATTGTATTATTTTTAATAAAAGTTTTATTCCATAGGAATCAAAACAAGAGACAATAGACGATTTTTTCTATACATTGAGGAGGTCGCTGGTTGACAAGGTAACCAGTAGTCATCTTATAGAGGAAGACTTTGCAATTGATAATACTATCAAAGACGGCAACATAGATTCACTGAAACAACAAATTGTAAAAACTGCTTCGACACAACCATATTGGGGGGAGCTTATTCCCGCGAAGTGGATAACATTGGAAAACAGCATTTCCAGCCTGAAAAATAAGGGTTCCAAGGTAGCAGTATGATTTATACAATTTCTGTAATCAAAAAGAATGAAAGCGATTGTATAATTTATTCTTGAAATGTCTTTGAAGAATGAAAGTTAATTATATTCCCGTGAAAGTTATACAAGTAGTTGGAGTTATCCAATTATAATTGTATGGCAAATTAGGCTGAGGAGTTGCCTTTAAGAACTGGGGCATCATAATTGCAGCCACCGTTTATCCCTGCGTGATCGTTAGAAGCGACGAAATAGGTTCGAATTATTGGAATTTATGCATCTCTTAGCTCCAGCACGTGAGGTGGTTTCGACTGTTGATGTTGATTTAAGTTTGGTACACACGGGGTAAGCTTAATTCATCTTTCCAGTATCAGCGCCATATGAATTGAATTGTGTTGGTGTGCCGTAAAGCCAAACAAAACAAAACAAAAACATGGTATGCATAAATTGGTGCGATATTAGAGTAGTCATATTCGATTAAATCTGATCAAATGCACTCTGTGAAGAATACAGAATATCGAAAAATGACGTCACATGATCAGTGTTGCCATTGTTACCGGACTACTGATATCATACCAGTTACTTGATTACACTTAACGCGAATGAAAAGCATATTTGATTATGATTTTCTGCTTTCAAATAATTTAAGATGTAAAAATAATAGTGATTACAGAAATATGTCTGTTCTTTCTTTGTGTTAGTTATTTTTGCAGTGTCATTTTTGTGTCGCCTCTACAGAGTAGCGGCGATATATAGGGATCACTTCTTCGGCGTTTGTCTGTCTGTCTGTCCGTCCGTCACAAAATTTGTTCAAACTACTTCTTAGAAACTGCTAATACAATTATATCCAATAGTTACAGGAATGATTAGTATAGTTGTGCATATCGTCGGCATTTTCTGGATCATTTATTTTGTCAGTTATGGTACAGATCTATAAACTTATATTTAGCTTCATGGTTATGGCCTTTTGATGATTTTCTTAAGTTTTGTTTCGGACTACCCGTATACCACTTATGCAATTTAAATTAAACTTTACAGGATTGACAAGTACTTGCATATATTAAATGGGTTTTCGGTGGAGTACTTTTTTGCTGAGTTATAGCCCTTGAAAAAAATGCGTTTTTGTGTCTCCTGCTACACAATAGCTGCAACATGCAAATGATTATCATGAGGTGACAAATACGATCACTGATCGCTCTTGTCTTGCACACAGAATGATTTTTGATAAACTTTATGTTTTAATATACTGTAGATTCTACATAAAGACATGCTGCGACGTTTGAACAACACATTGCCTGTTCCCATAGAAACAGATGATGAGCTGGAATTGTTTTTAAGGTTTCATCATGAATCTGGAACTATTCTATATTACAGGTATAGTATCACTTTGCGGATGTTTCGAAATTCAAAATTTCACCATTTTTATGTTTGAATGTTGAATTCTGCTGAAGCCGGTGCTAGAAGGCGTGGACGGTAGTTTGCACTTGACAGTACCGTCCATGAACAGGCTCAATCAAACCGAGCCTGCAACATTTTCAATTTTGCAGTTTTGGACTTTCTTTAGGGATTCTTACTTTCTCTATTTTGTAACCCCGTCAGATTTCTTCCATGATCTATAGTAAGTTGTCACCTCAGAGGATAGTTGCCCTATGTTCCATTTTGTTTCATTTTGAGGAAATCGCTCTGAAAGTTTAAGAAGCTCGTGTTTCAATCATTTCTGAACGAAAAAAAAAGAGAAAATAAGAATTCCCGAAGAAAGTCCATAAAAGGCAAATTGTAATTGTTGCAAGCTCGGTTTGATTGAGCGAAATATTACCAGGGATATTCATTGATGAGTCAATTCGCAAACTGTTATATTACATACTAGTATAGAGGAAGTCGAGAAGAATACAGTGAAAACTTTATATTAAAATGTCAATTTTTTGAAGCTAAGGCACTGTAAAAATTGGGCGACAAAAATTAATTGTTATTTTTGATGATTTTTTTTTATTTTCTTGAATTTCTTTCATTTCCAAAAATGTGATTTCACGGTACGTTATTGTACATTTAAAAGTGATTTGCTCGAATGATTTATGATTAATTTGCGCTCACTTTTTCATTCATCAATGTTAAAAGAAATATACGTTTAATCTTTTGGGTGACTGATCTAAGGGATGATTCGGATTAAAACAAACAGTCGTATTGCCAAGTGAAATGTGTACGTTTGCAATTTTTGATTAATAAATTTGGGGCTTTTTTCAGCGATGATAAGTTAAGTGACACAATTGTCCTTGACCCGCAATGGTTGATAGACGCTTTCAAAAGCCTTATTACCGCCAAAATGTTCTGCTGCAGAAAACCGAATATATTCAAGAAATGGATTCAGTTTGGGACCAGACCCTGCAATTTTTTTGGGGCTAGAAGAACTTATTTGGGTGAAGTGTAATATTCAAAGTACTTTGTGAATGTCAAGGGTCTTTCTATTTGGGAAAGACCTGTTGTGTGTTTCCCGCCAAAAATTTTTCTAACATCGGTAAATATCGGGTAGCAATATCGGCTATTTCCGGATCGTTATTTTTTCAAAATATTTGGCATAAGAATATTTACAATCACTCATCCTTTATCGCAATGCACTAAGTTCCGGTTACAAACAGTTAAGAATTATTGAATACCGAAAATAGTGAAATATAATGCTCCAGAAATGACCGATTTAGAACGACATCGGCCGATGTTAGAGATTTTTTGGCGGGAAAGTATTGCAGTAAGACTACCTTGAAAAGACTTTGCTGATATTTTTTGTATATGTCATTTATATATAGGATTTAATTTTTCAGAAACAGGTACAAAGGTTTCAAAAGGTATTACAATGTTTACTCCGAATATAAGATTTAATTGGCCAAAAGATAAAATAGAAACTCAACGGGGCACACTTGTAAATATTGCAAATTGCAAGCTCGGTTTGGTGAACGATTAGTGTTCAAGAAATCTATCATTCCCTCCAGCACCGACTAAAGCATAATTCGCAATTTACACAAGCGTAATTTACGTTTGAAAATGGTAAAAATCCAATATTATTGCAGAAGCGTTCAATGCTTGTAATTTCAAAAATAAAGTAATGCGCATGCGTGCACTATGCAAGAAAGCATTCGTTGGCAGAGGGAGATACCAAAAGTGTATTTGCTTCAAGGGAAAATTATTAGAGAAATAATAATCGACATTTCCATGTGACTTTACAAATGCCCAAATATTAAACTTGATTTATTGTCTAACAATTAAACAATTAATGAAGAGTTTTGGTTTTATTTGTTTATAGATGCAATTTGGGAGCAGAAAGAGAATAGTGCGTTCTATGAACTCAAGGACCTTTTACTAAATTATTTGGAGAAACTTGGATTCATCGCTAAACCACAGCAGCTTCCCGATGTTACTGATGTAAGATTAAATTCATTGATTCGTCACGTTTTTGTGCATGCATGGGTCCGGAAAAGGAGAAAAATATGTCTTGTACCGATGTTTCCATACATTTCATTGTCAATTTTTAATGTATAAATTATGCTTTGAATGATATTTGTATAGGTTGGAATAAACAATTATGAACTATTCAAAATACTATGTCAAAAGAGCTTGAAGAAGGTTTCAAAATATACCGTATTGGGATTCGAGTCCACAGCGGTAAATATTCTATAATCTTTACAGGTAATCAGTAAATCAATATTTTATGTTACACTATTACAGGACACAGATTACTACTTTGCACCGTGTGTCCTGAAACATCCACCACCAGATGACTTGTTAATACAACAAGACAACACGGACAACAGGTCCACCAGTAAACTGTGTTTGACAACCGAATTAAGATTTCTACCCACAGCTGTCTTCAACAAACTCCTAGCCGCTTGTATCAACAAATGGCCACTGTCCAAATCAAATTCAAAACATTTAATTTTCTGCGGGTGTGCGGTCTTTGATCTCGAAGGAAATCATACACTTTATTTGTACTTTTTCGATCATGTAATTCAGATTTGGATTACAAAATTTAGCACCCAGAACGAAGAGCCATCCAAACGTTTATGTTCCCAAGTTTACGCATTTGTCTTAGACACTCTCGCCAACAGCTTGCACCTTTCGGATCATCTCAAGGTGTTCTTCAAATGCCGGTCTTCTCAGCATAATTCAAATGAAGACATGTTTTCAGAAGATGAACTTTCTGAAGATAAAGAAGTTGTATGTAACTGCAGGACAAAAAAGCACGTGTTACAAACTAATGAGCTAACCAGTTACTGGCATTGTAAGTAAATGTATTAGTTTTTATTTAGACTTTTATCAATTTAGCTTAGAACATTTTTTGTTCATTACAGAAAACCAAGTTTTCAAATAACCTTTGTTTCTCCCCAAGCCACCGACTACTAATCCCATATGATGTTCGAATCGAGACAAATGACATTAGACTTAATGTCAGAGGTCAATTGTTACGGAAACATATAGCCTCGCCCAATGATTGAACTAGCGACCTCTGGATTCCTAAACTGATGTTCTCCCTTATGAACTAAGCGGACTGAACTGATAAGTTCGCCTTTGCAAATGTAAAATCTATATACGAATTCCAAACAAACGCTTCTCTGTATCTTTCGACGTTTTGTCTTCTACAGAAAAAAATTGACGTTTATTTAAGAAATAATATCGGTCTTATCGGTGTTTATCTTTCAACATATTATCATAAATCCTAAAAGTTTTCATACCATATCTAAAAGTGTTTCTTATGTTCTTTAGGTACAGAGGAAGATCCTTCTGAAGAAATGTTAACAGATAAAGACATCCATCGCATTGCTCAAAACATTGGTAAAGAATACGAGACGCTCGCGTTAGAACTTGGTTTATCCCAAGCCGAGATGGATCACATTAGCCTTGATTCCAACACTGCCATAGACAGAATAAGACGTATGCTTCTTCGATGGAGAGATAAGATGAAAGGGGAAGCTACTCTGGACACTTTAACAGAAGCTATGAAAGCTGTTGGAATTGACTCTAGTACAGTTTAAGAAAGTGCAAAAAGTACAATGTAGATGTAGCAGGATGAGAAAAATGTGCAGCCTGGCCGGGCCTTAAACCCGGGATCCTTGAAATGCCGTTCCGCGGCTCTACCGACTGATTACACATCTTTTCCCCTAAATAGTGAACAGTCCTTAACCGTGACATAGATACCAAAATGGAAAAGGTTTAAAATGAATGAAATGCTTTTCTAGTTGCAAAAGTAGAATTTATCCGAATATTATTTGCATTTGTGATTGATTAAAGGTGTGCGGGACAAAATATATATATTGTGCTTCAAAATTATGTTTTAAAACCGTTTTGTAGTCCAGTGTTCCTTGGTATGCATTCTAAAACCGATTACTTTCCTTCCTGATTTGTTTAACAGTAAATCCAAATTCTTAGAAGAAATCAAAGATCCTGGATAATATGGTCAGTTAATCGGTTTTTGCATATACTCGCTGTATGTAAATGCTTGATTTTGGATACGGTTGAAACATACTATCATATTGTCAATTGTGTTCGTTCTAAATCTACAATAATCTAATAACTGATACGGTCAGAGACACATATCAGTATTGATTTTCCCATAGACTTTCATTATGAGAAATGGTCCCTAATCCTAGCTTAAAATTAAGTTTTCAAGTTAAAGAGGTGATTTTTCTTTGAGAATGAAACGCCTAACACATAAAAACGATCTTCTGATATAGGGGTAGCCAACCAAATATTTTGCAAAATGACTTCAAAGAGGATTATCCGCTTTTCATTGAAATTTTCTGCTGATCACAGGACTGACACACACTTTTTGGGTCGCTGCGCTTGCGCAAAGCGAGCCAAAGTTATAAGCTACATCTCAGGCTTACTGCGAACCGAATTTCGGCTGAATTATACATGCACGTAGTAAATAGTTCCATATTGTCGGTAACAAGTTAGAAAATCCGTACCTTCATTCATTACAGGAGGGTTATCATACATTTTGAAATGTATTATGATAACGAAAATTACAGTAAATTTGTGCTGTGTACAGAAAAAATATCAATGCGCGATTGAATCACGTGACAGGTCACCGAGGTCAGCCATGCTTCTTCCACAGCTTGATTCGACTTTCGTTATTTGATACAGACATCCAGGATATTTTGAAGAAATTGTAAGTTCTTGAATAATTTTGACAGTTTACCTCGAATTAAATAAGAAAGATTTTATGAAACTGAACCACCCGTGAGATTAATTTTTGAAGATTAATTTGTTTATAAATAAAAATTGTCGTAACAGGGTAACGATTCGCCACAGTGACGATTCGTCCGAATTTAGTGACGATTCGCCCACCTAAAATTAACAAATTTTTTTAAAATACATTTGGACTGAAAAATATTTATGGTTTGGGTATTTTTGGAATTGTTTGGTATATCCTTTATATTTAATAGATAACAGATAAAGGTTTAACAGAACTAACAGTATAATAATAAATTATTGAATTAATCTGGATTCTCATTTGTATCAATAATATATTATGATATTTAATATAACTTTCAGAGTTTTAATAAATAAACTAGATAATAGATTGATGTAATAGATAAGTATGATAATATATTGATTTTATTTACTCATAGATATTCGTTTCTACAAGCAGATTGTCATACATTGTATTTCTCTATAGTTCTATTGACCATGGTATTTGTCGCATGACATTATATAATGGCAGATTGGTGAATCAAAAATTATTGTTTATGTTTACAATGCATATCATAGAGGAAAAATAGAATCCCTTAAGAACACCCAAAATGACACAATTGAAAATGTTGCAGGTTCGGTTTGTTTGAGGCTAAACAGTACTGGAAAATGAAAGTTACTGTCCTTGCCCCCTAGCACATACTGGCTTTAAGGCCCATTATGCCCCAGAAATGATTTTAATTTATTTCTCAAAAGCCTGTTATTGGTGGCTGTTATAACTTCCAAAAAGTTACTCAATGGGCAATTATCTGAACCAACTTTTGCCTCAGCTGTTGCTTTTTAGCAATCAGTATAGTTAAAGTGATTTAGTATTTTGTATGGAAGTCAAAAACTACTTTGTTTACATGCAAACAGTAAGGCCTTACATGTAGTAATTAAGTCTGTCCTAGAGGAGGTGTCTGATTATTCTTTAGGCTTCAGTTCTCACACTGACACTAACTGAGTTCAAATATTTTGCAAATTCAGTTTTTATAGTCTAAATTACTCTAATTATTGAAACTATCTAAACCAAAGTTTTTGAAAAAACGCAGAAAAAAATACACAGAATCTTGAAGAACAGTATCCTTTTTTGTTCAGTTCCCCATTCTTTTTTTCATTAAGGGAACACACATTGTATTCTTTGGGAATCATACGCCACTTTTCATGGAATGGCACTAACATGTCACATTGGAGGTTCCATGATCACTGCCATAAAAATACACCTGCTAATGTTTCTAATTTAAAAAATTTACCATTACATGTTTAAATGTTGAATACTGCTTAACCTAATGCTATTGGGTGTGAACAGTAGCATGCACTTTCCAGTACTATCCATAAACTGGCTCAATCAAACTGAGTCTGCAGCATTTTCAATATTGCTATTTTGGACTTTTTTTTAGAATTTCTGTTTCTCTTTATGTACATAATTACCTAGTATTAAGCTTTAAATGAGCGAATAAAGAGACCACTTAGGACAAACACAACATGCAAACAACTGGATTTTATTTATTTTGCTCAAGCCCTGTCACTCAGTCATATTTACCTGTATTTAAAGAAAGATTCTACAACTAGATTTTTTAGAAAGGTAATTCCTGATCAGAAGTGTTCTCCCACAAACAAGTGCGTGGTTCCCCATTCTGCTCTATGCTAGTGCATACAAAAACGGACGATAGTACTTAGACTGTGTATCATATAAACACTTTATTTACATGATGATTAGGGGATTTTCTAATAATATGAAAAAATTGTTGATATAAGAAAAATATATATATATGAAATTAAATTGATAACGTCATGGGATTTGACTGATTAATTTCACAAATATAATCATTGTATATTATAAACATGAATGATATTGTCTGAATGGTTAAGGTCAACATTTTACTTGCTTCTGATTTGTCCAATAGTTTGATGCATTGACCTGTTTTGAGTTGGTATATATAACATGTACATGATGTAGCTGATTTGACTATTAAGCCAAATGATTTAGATAACTTTAAGTTGGGAATGCTTTATTGTTGATATGAAAATCATATGAATGTTAAATAAGAAATGGCATTTATTTCAGGTGTGTGATATAATAAACTGTTGTGTGAGGTTTTAAATGTGACATGGTCAAGACATACTATGATAGTATTGTTCAGTGTAAGTTCTCTTTAAATGTTTGTTTATAAGAAAAACCCACATTTATTTTATTGAGCTCTGGAAAATTTGAAACACATATTTGACTTAGTAGTCAAATTTAAGAACAACACTACTGTCATGGAAGTATTTCCTGTACAAAAGCAGTATACCAGCTTTTTTTGCAATAAATGCTGTTGTTTTTTCCTTGTGTCCAGAATGATATGCACATACTATTAAGAAATATATTCAGAAATACATTGAAAATTGTATATTTGTGCTATTCTAATTCTATTCTTCCCAATACATGTATGAATCAAAAGCACTGTTCATTTTTGGGACATTTTACACTATTCAAGTAATCATTCTGGGAAAACAGAGCGAGTGCATGATCTGAAATTTTTTGCATATAGGTTTTTTGCCAAGATCTACATTCAAATAGAATATCAAATTATCAATCTTGAAATATTATTTCCATTCTGGTCATGTCAAAAGCCTCAGTGGAATCCCTTTAAGTAATTCATATATGACATTTACCTTTAGATGACTGACCATCATGGTCAAATACTGAATTTAACTTATTGTCATATTGTTAATATTTATTTGTTTTGTGTTCGCATATTAATTTATAAGAAGAATTCCTTGAAAAATATTTACCTCATTTTGACTGGAAAAGTACATATATTATAACAACCTTAGCTAAAGGTAGTAATAAGAGTATGAGTCTGAAGTTTACAATATTTATGATTTCTCTTTGGTTACAGAGAGAAACAGTTTTTTCTTTTTGTATCTTATTAATTTATATTGAAAAATGTATAATTTGCTGTCAAGTTGTGTGTTACTAAATGTGTAGTACATTTTACATTATCTTCTGTTCTTAGTAATTAATCTATAGAGTAAGTGTATAGGTAAAAGAATCTCTGGTAAAAAATATTGAAAATCTTAAAAGCACATATAATGTGTCAAAGATAAATAATTTTGTAATTCTTTAGAAAGGTCAAATATGTGTTCAATTATGTTTTAATGATGTATTTAGAGCATTTTAAATGTTTAACAACTGAAAAGAGTAACACTGAACAAACAGTCATGTGTTTGTAAAGGTAGCAAAATGTGAGCAAAGTATTATTTTGACTTACATACAAAATACTGAATTAATGTAATTATACCAATTGCCAGATAACTTATCTACATGTACATGGTCAATGAGTACATGTAACTATTTGAGAACTGCAACAAGATATGTAAAAGGAAAGTTTGAAAAATAAAAATGTTATCTTTTCTAAGGCTTAATGGACCTTTAAAAAGTTATTATTTAATATATATTTAATGCAGATATCATATGTGCAGAAAAAATTGTGGTAAAATGATATAACTTGCTTGTTTAATACTGATTACTTGTGCATGATCTTTAATATATTATAAGACATTAAATTTTGTTTTGCTTTTTTTTAGGTGACTTCTGTCATGTTACTGTTTGATAACAGTGAAGGTACAGTACATGTAGGTTCAGACAAGTTATATACATGTATACAGGACAAGATAGCTCAAACTGGTAGTTTGTTATAGCAAAAAGTGATGAAGTTTCAGCCATGAAGTCTTCATCGTGATGATGATCATCATGATCCTATTTATAGATTCTTTGCAATTATCTGTAAGGAAGAGGTTTCTGCTGCAGAGAAGAAAAAAATTCATACAGGTTTGTCATTTTTTCAATAATAAATTTAGGTCTGTTGTTGATTGCATGTACATTAAAGGTCTTTCCTTATCATAAGGTTCTAAGGTTTGTCATCTTGTGGTAATTACTGATCCCTTAGTAATTAATTACAGTCATCAAACTTTTTAAACATGTTTACTGTAATCACTTGTTGCATGGTGCATATGCCTGAAGCCTAGGATTTTGTGACAAATATCATCATGTTTTACTATTAGATTATGTGGAAAAATGATTAATAAATGAATTATAGTTTAAGGGTTTTTCCAAATTTTCAACTTGCACCGATGTTGTTGTATATCAGGGTTTTACTTTCTAATGTTTGACTGATATCATTGCAGACCTTTACTAATTCAAAATCATGACAAAGTATTTAAAATTAAAATTTTCCTTTCCAGAATTACATTAATTCATTGTAGGACTAGTAATCATACAAAAAAATATATATTACTGTAAACATGTTACACTAGAAAATTAAAAAATTGAAATGTATGCTCATAGTGAAATGATCCATTCAAAAGTTAAATTTTCAATTATTTTTCTGAAAAACAATAACAGATTATGCCCTGCTTCTAGTTTCTTGTATTTGAACAAATTATGCTGTTTAATTGTTTTACTAAACCTTGTTCCCACTTTGCAGTAAGAAGTTGCCCACTCTGTTCAAATGAAGCTGTCTGAAGTACCAAGTAGAACAATGTTATTATTCTGGAACAACTTAATTGAAGTGAAGCTTACTATGTGAAGGAGTTATTTCTGTATTCAAAAGGAAACTTCAGCATACAGAATACCAATTTAGGTATAGTACACTTTAAATTTTTTACTGTTATCCATCTAAAGAAAGCATGAGATACAAAAATAAGCGATAATAATTATTTTCCTGACACCAGAATACACTATGGTTCTGCTTGCAGTTAGAAGTGATGTTCTATTCTTGTACAGCAGCATTAATTGAAACCAATATTTGTCCTATCATTTAATTGAAAGAAATTGACAATATTCTTGTTTGTTTTTCAGCAGCATTTGTAAAGTTAATTAAGTCTGTATATCACACCATCCATTGCTTTTGATTTTCTTGTGACCAGAAACTAGCATTTTACATAGTGGTGTAAGCTTACTATGATAATTCATGCAAAGATATGATAAAGATATATATATATATAATATATATAAGAAATATGTCTTCGATTTTACTGGTAAATTGTTATGTATGGAGCACATTGTCTTTATGATGTTGAATATATTCAGTGCCAGATAAACAATTACTTGCAACATGACAAATATATTTTATTTTCAGATATTTGTAGCTTCAGTTATGGGAGTACACAAGATTAATTGAACTGGAATCCCTTCAGACGTTGACATAGCTAAATTTCGCAGTTTCAACTATAAATGGACATTAAATTAATATACATTGGTTTTTATTTTATACATGTATTTGTTAATATTTTTGTTTTCCATTATTTCCCAATATTGTTAATTTTGGATAATATAATGCCACAGAAAACTTGTCGGTCTTGGAGTATGGCTGTTTAACAAAAACACTACAGAGTGTTCGTCAGAACAATGAAATTACAGTTTTGCTTGTTAATGAACTAATTTACATAAATATATAATTTTTGTAAGTATGAAGAAATTTGGAACATATCATATAATGGGTATTTTGTTTCTTTTGCATGCAAGATCCAAATATATTTCATAGAGTGAACAGCAGATTTAATATTTTCATGAATGGCATTGAAAAAACATATACAATGTATAACTTTGGCACAATGTTGGTAAATGGAGGCTGCTATTTTACTGTGACTGAAAGTAGTTCAGATATGACACCTTATTATGTCCGAGGTCTATAGCCCATCATACAAGCCAAAGAGAGCAGATTTTTTTTTCTGTGTAGAATCATTAATTTTCAATGTTCAGATTTGAAAGTGATTCTGTCATATTTCCTGAATTTGTTTAATTTCCTTCATGATTTGCAAATATTAATTATCTACTTTTTTATTTATCACATTTTTCTGAGAAATAAATGTATTTCCCACAAAATTTCTGTTTGTTTATAGGCTTTTCATCCTCATTCAAATAAGGGTCTGGCTACTTTTGAAATTATACTTTATTGTGAAATAATCTAAAAGTAATGTCATTTTTTACTGAAAGCATGTTATAAGTTATGGTGTTCAATTGATTTCTGCAGGACAACTTATGAAGGAAATGAAGTGAGTTGATACTTGCCATGTTAGTATCAAAAGGCAGATTTAGTTTCAATAAATTATTTTTGATGCTGTTATGCCCCTTTTTAGCTCGACTTTTTCTTTTTAAAAAATAGAGGTATTGTTACAGTCATGGCATTGCCGAGGTCATCCACAAACTTATACTTTGATCATTACTTTTTAGCTCACCTGAGCACAACGTGCTCATGGTGAACTATTGTGATCCCCCACCATCAGTTGTCGTGGGTCGTCAAAAATTTCTTTAAACAAATCTCCTCCGAAACCAAAGACTGCACAGTAATAAAACTTTGCAGGAATGACCCTACAGTTAGTGCCCTTAATTACTTTTGTCCAGTGCATAACTTGAAAACTAGTACATGTAGTTTGAATTCAATACAAATTCATACAATGGTCAAGCGAAATGAGAGAAAGTGCAGTGTACAATAACCATTACTCAATCTGCAGTATTTATAGAGTTATTGATCTTTTTCCTTGTCTTTCTGGACTTATTATAGAGTAATTCAATAAAACTTCATCAATGGTCAACCACATTGAAAGGAAATGCAACATACAAGAACCACAACTTACTATCTTTAATTGCCCACAAACATAACTCTATTTCAATTCTTTTACAAGGTATTCTGTTACATCCTAATGTCCAAAGCAGTCTTGTGGGGGTATTAATCACATTTAGTGATAGTTCTAGTTTTAACTAATCATACTTTACTTATTGTTTTGTGAGAATTTCATGAATCTCTCTGGATGAAATTGTGACTTTGATAAGTCATGTATTCACAATCACTGAAAGTTTATCCCTGATGGAACACTTATTACTAGTATGCATAGAAACAAAGATTTTTCAACCATTTTCTTTTCGAGTTGTTTGAACACTATCCAGTCTATATGCACATGGGTTGATGATAACTTGAATATCAGATTGATAATAACTATAATCACCAAGAATGAGCATGTTTTTCATATGCCTTTAAGTAGATGAAATTATCAATGCTTAGTCATTGTTAATAGAGGACTTGGTTATCTACTTCCAGCTTCTGCTTCTGTCAGTAGTGTACTCTTAAAATTTATCCAATTTAAAGTATTATTTTGAGGATATAAAGCAATTTGGTTTTTCGATCTCAACTGAACCACTTGAGAAAAAGTACTGGTTTTTAGTACTTTTGATAAACCGTGTTGTAATTGTTGGATGTCAATGATAAATCTCCCTGAATAAAATCATATGGCAAAATATTGCACTTTCCTTTGTACTCAGTCATTTCCACTTGAATATGACTTGACCCTATAAAAAAGTTGCAAAAGGACAGGAAATTTGGCCTTTCAAGTGATCACCAGCAATATAATGTCATATAAATTTGTCAGCGCAAGCGACCCTCCAGTGCTTTCAGTGCTTTGATTATAAATGCAAATATCCAAATCACAAATTATCATAGTGACTTCTTTAGAAAAAATATAGTGTAAGTTTCTCAATTAGTTTTCATATAAATCTCATTTTCATCCAATCACCTCATGTGCCATTGAATCTTACGGTTTTCCCTGCACCTTTTCAGCCAATCACTGGCCATGTTTCAATAAGAAAAGTCTCGCTATAATTCGAGTAAATGTAACCGACTGTGTAAATCATATGTAAAAAAGTAGACAGGTTGTAAGTTTTACAGCTAAATTCAGTACTTTCGGTTTAAAAGACTTAAGTTTATATTGATCATTGGTGTAAGTATTTTGAAAATCGGACAATAGATTGCAATAAACTAGCAGTTTAAATACGGCGTTATATGTATTGTTTTAGCATTAAAGGACCGAATTTACTCACAATTCAACTCTTTTCATGTTAAGTCGATATTATTATGTCGAATAAAAGTATATATTGTTCGCTACACATCTTAATCTAAAATGATCTGCCAAATTCTAGACAAACAACAATGCACATTAACGAAAACTATTGTTTCGTGGGTAAGATGATTGCCTCACAAACGCAGGGATCGTGGATTCACACCATAATTTGTCCAAGACCTTATTTCCTTCCAAGGACTTGTTAGTTCTGGGAACGTGACACAAGACAATAAAGTTCGTACAAGCTTTCTTCAAACTTTTACCAGATCACCGGCAGGGTAAGAGATACCTTTGATACAGGTATAACTAATAACCAATTAAATAACGAAAAAACCATGTAATTGTTTGTGCATCTTGCATCTTTAATGTTCTATTAACAAAGTTAAATATTGTGAATTATCTAAAAGTTATAGAACATTAATTGAAGGCACATCCCCAGAAGTCTGAACATTCTCTGTTGGTTTTCTTCATACTGATCCTCAAGTCAAAGCATACGAGTTCATCCCCAGTGGCGTTGTCCGTCACACGAACCCTGGCTCGGTATGTACCCTGTAAAATATATGCACATTGCATTATATCAAAGTTAAAGTGAAAATTTACTTCGGTAAGCTCTTAAGCATGTCCATAGATAATACAATGCTGGGTGTGGGGCCGTTATATGTCGCAACGACGCAAAATGTCGCTCTTTTGTCGCTAAATGTCGTAACAGCCGCTTAATGTCTTAATTAAATGGCACAACAGTACCGTTAAATGTCGCAATATCTAAATTTATGTTTAACAACTGATTTTTTGTCAATACTAACATTATATGGGTGACCTGGGGACTAGCTATATAACAGATAGGAAAAGATTTCATAGCGCTCTTAAAAGGATGTAAACTGAAACCCGCGTTACTATTGTTGTGTATAAATCAATTCAAGATTTATCTGCTTATAAATAACAATAAGAGAATGGCATATTTTTAACGTTAAAAGGGCGGACAACTCTTTGACTGTGATGTGTGTATGTGGTCGCACGGTTACTTTCCTTGCAACATGTCGATGCATTGAGGTCGCGTGGTCGAAAATCTCTAATAAAATGACAACATTCTCAAAGGTGTTTTGGTATGAAACCGTCTAGTGCAACATCTTAATTTTCTCAAAAAATCCTGTAGAATTCGTAATTAGGAGTTTTAAAGCCCAATAAGAACTATTTTCACTTTCAATTAAGAGCTATAAAAGCCTTATTAGGACTTAAGTTAATCTTATCACAATTGGTTAGTTTAAACATATTTTATTCATAATCATTCACAGTACATAATATACAATCATTCAATATATACAATGATGAAATGGATTAGAACGAAAGATATAAAATCTTATATAGTTCTTCTCACAATTGGTTACAACTAAATAAGAATTTTACTCATATAAGTAGGAGAATAAAAACCTTATAACAACTTAATAAGAAGTTTAAAAAGCCTAATTAGGAGAAATAAAAATAATATTAGAAGTTGAGAAATAAGGTCTTAATAAGTAGGAGCTTCAGAAGACTAAATATTAAAAAAAAATCTAATTTGAACGTTCCTAATAAGTTTTCTAAACTTCTAATTAGGACATGCAAATGCCTAATTAATTCTTAACACCAACGCAATTAAGGTCTTATAGCGATTTTCCAGCTTTACTGGTGGTGGAAGAGCTCTGATGCCCCTCCTTGCACGAACTCTAACTTCAGTAGAACCAAAGACGTCAATCGGAACGGCGTCGGTTATTATCGTCCATATACGAAGATTGACGGAAAGGGCCGAAAAGTTGCGATTGCCACCGACGTTCCGTAAGCTCACATGTACTGGTGGGACTCTAACCCACAGCGATGAGGGGCATGTAGATGGACACGCGTCTAATTATAAATTTGATAAAGGACGCAAAGCTATATATTTAAAAGATTAGTATTATATGAACCAAAATATGTTGTGACATTTAGCGGCTGTTGCGATATTTAGCGACAATGGCGCAACATTTAGCGCAAGTTCGACATCTAGAGGCGTTGCGACATATAATGGCGCCATATCGGGCATAATCAACCCCACTTTGCTTTATTGTAATACAAATTTAATGCAATACAGTTATTGTATGTTTAATATATTGTAATTTTAATACAATGCAGTCACTATATGTTAATTGTATTACAATCATAATACAATACACTACTAGTCACTGCATGTTTAATTTATTACAACTGCAATACAATACAGTCACTATATGTTTATAGTATTGCAATTTTAATACAATACAGTTATCATATGTTTCTTTTATTACAAGTTTAGTACAATATAGTTATTATATGTTTATTTGATTACAATTTAAATACAATACAGTTACTATATATAAAGTATATTATGTTTATTATATTACAATACGTGTAGTTCAGTCCATACCTCAGCAAACCAGAACAAGACCGCCGGAATGGTTGGCAGCTGAATTCGGTTCCGTAATATACTGACAGTCTGCGGGGGCTGGGGACAGAGCCCGGGGTTCATTCCGTTATTTCTCAACATGGTCTGTATGTCCTGAGATAAGTTGCGAGTGATTCCCATCCAATTTTCACTAACCATATCGTCCAGTAGTGTGCACATGTCGTTGTACGTACTGTAATTATTTTAGTTAAATGGTTATTAGTTTTTTAATGAATTTCTGCCAACAAAGTCCGAAATTATTAAAACCTTCAAATCAGTGAATTAACCTGGTATGCGATACATTTTTATTTGCAAAGCACAACAATAATTAGAATTTAATAAGTAAATTATCTTTGAAGTCTGCGAGTAGTAGTTTAAAACAGATAAGTTTTTATCAGCCTACGTATCGTCCGAATCAAGTGTATAACAAGCGTTTGAAAATATCAAATTAACCATACATTTAAGTAAGTCTGTAATTAATGTGTGAATGTGTGTTGCAATAAAATGGTATAAAAATGATAATTATAATAATGATAATAATCGTCATGATATCTTATCACTGAAAATGATATTTCAAAACGAGACTTTATCGACAAAACTAGCGTCTGAACTCAAAAATTTTGTTAAAAATCGGTCTAATTCCTCGCTTGTTTTCAATACATTCAGTGCGCAAATTAATTAAAGATTTTTGTGTACACGAATTAATGACTACATATGAAATGAAATGCTATCATGACGCCTTACACTGAATTAGTTTTAACATAATATTATCTTTTTATTTTTTTTCGTTAATTTCATAGTCAGATTTTAACTATGTTAAACTGTCGATAAACAAACAAATTTTGGTCTTGCAGTATCATCATACTAAGATGTTACATATCATTTTTCTTGAGTTCAAACCGGTGACGTTCTTGTAATACATGTAAATGACGTCATGTTTTTATAAAATTTATATAAAACTGACAATCTACGTAGATCCACAGTTGTTTGGCACATTTGTCTTTTGCCAATAATGGTCGAATTATCATAAAATAATTTCCCCGAGCAAAATTACTATCCAGCACCCGTTTACTACATATAAATTAATATATACAGTAAACGGCTGCTGGATTCTTGACGATCAAGGGGAGATTACTATTGGCAAGACAAATGTGCCGAACGTCTGTGCTTAAAACTAACAATACATAAAGGGAGCGCAATGAAACATACCAGGAACCTACGTTCATGATACACAGTACAGGGATGTTGAACCACGCAGCTTCTCGTGCAATTTCAAGATGTAAGGCGGAGCTCCCCAGGGTTCTATTAGTATACCCTTCTATTGAGAAATATATATCGCCGGGAAATAGGATCGGATTCGGCTCTATATTGAAATTTGTCAGATGCACTGCGCTGGATGCAAGGTCACGATTTGCTGAAAAAATAGGAGAAATACAATATGTTTTTGTCATTACTGTCATATATTATGTTATTCCTTATTTTATTATCAGAAAATGTGTATTTAGGTTTGTGTATGTAAGTTTCGTTTCTCTTGTCTTATATTATCTTATTTTACCTTAAATGGTCTTGTCTTAGAGTGTCTTGTATAGTCTTGGTCGGTTTTTTCTTGCATTAGATGGTTTGGTTTTGTCTTGCCTTGTCTAGTCTTGCCTAAACAAATAAATGAGAATGGAGCACGCACTGACATTTGTATCAGCCTAAGGCCTTTGTAATTCCTACGCAATATTCCTACGCAACAAAAATTAGGTCCATTGATCGTCAAGAAATATGAAGATGCTGTACTTTCCATTATAATTTCATGACCTATTATAAACTCAAGTTATCTTCTTTTTATTCTTTTTTAAGTCTTGATTGTAATTCGTCTAAATAATTATGTTGTTCGTATACATTTGTTTCCTTCATACATGTTTTCCTTTCTGAAAACAAAGGTTAGATTGGTCAATAGGAATACCTACTCTTAAAGGCCCGTTATGCCTTATAGAAATGATATCATTTTTATTCATTAAAATTTTATTATTTTATACTTTAGTAACTTGTTACAGTTTCCAAAAACATACTCATTTGTTATATACAAGATCTATCTTCTGCTTCTTTAGCTCTATTGGGAATTTCATATAATTATAGTGAAGTAGTATCTTGTATACTACTTTCAAATTGTTAACATTTCCACGGTACATAACTGCATGTTAATTTAGCACTACTGTTTACAGTTGTAAGACACCTAAAATGCTCTTAATCCATTATTTTTTACATTTCATTTATTAAACACATGTATGACATGTCTAACGAAATTCCAAAAAGTATGGGTATTAAAGTAGTATCATTCAAGTAGCTACATAAAAATTATATCTTAACATGTCAAAATGTGCAAAGTAACAAAATATATGCATATAGAGTTCTTTCCAAATTTTCAAACCGGGATTTTAAAGGTTTTGGGCCCTTTTGGGCTATTTGTGAAAATTTTAAATTTTGTTTGGGACCCCCGATGCTTTTGCCCCCCAAGCACAAAAGTACGATAATGAAAAGAAGGAAAGGGATGGTGGTGAAAACCCCCATGGCGCAAAAGCACAATGGGTTTAAAAAAAGCGGTTTTACTCGGGGCTTTCACCGTCCCTACCCATCGGGGATCGTAACATGCGGGTAAGGAAAGAAAAAAAAAAAATCACTAAATTATCCAAAAACCCTGAGCTAAATTTGCCTAAATTTTTTGCATTTCTTTCACGTATATCAATATATTTTTGTACAAAAAAAATACCGTAAAAGGGGGAGCCGTTTAGTAATGGTTAAGATGACTGTCTCTGAAAGCAGGGATAATTTGTTCGAACTCTCTTTGGGTCATGACCATGTCTCCTCGTATGACACCAGCAACCGTGGTTGTTTTGTTGTTGCTGTTCTTGTATTTTTTGTGTTTTTTTGTTGTTGTTGTTGTTGATTTTTTTCTTTGTTGATTTTTGGTGTGTTTTTTTAGTTGTTGATTTTTTTTATTTTTTTTTTTTGCCGGTTGTTGTTATTTTGTTGTTGTTGGCTGTTTTTTTGTTGTTGTTTTTTTTTGTTGTTGTTTTTTTACGTAGCAATCAAGTTTAAAAAAATAACATTTTAACTCTAACTGTAAACACATATCAATTTTCAATATTTAGGCTAAAACATATGAAGTTTAAAAAACTTACGACAGTTCCGCCAAATTGTTTGAGTCGAACGCTGTGTCCCATTGGTTGTCCGAATTATAGATATTAATATTAAATTAAAAATAACCCGTGTTAACTCCATCACTTAAAGTTATCCCTGGAATTTTACTTCTTTGAAAGACTGTTACTTCTTTGAAAGACTGTCAACTCTCGAGTGATCAGTGGTCACATGACTTCTTTCGTATCCAGTTAAATTAATTTTACACACTTAATAACTATATCAAAATCTTGAAAGGAAAATGTGGGCAGTTCAAAAAGTTTAAAGAATTGCAATTTTACCATTAATATAACAAGGTGTGTTTAAATTTATTCCCGTGAAAAGTCTTGGTAAAAGATCTGCTTCTATGCGGATAAAAGGCTTTATTATGTACATATAAATGAAATATTGAGAAATATGATGAAATAAAATGCGAATTTTCATTTTCCTTTTCCGTATTTTTACTGTATTTTTTTTCACTGTAGTGAAACATATTTTCCGTATTTTACGGTTTTTTTTTCCATACTACTTTCTTGTAAAATACACAAAATTAAAGAAGAAACCTTAAGAATTGTATGGTAAAAAAGAGAAAAAGTATATAATAACGTAATATATGACGTCAATTAACCAATTGACGTTAAGAAAACTATTTCTACGCTCAGTATTTTTTCAGTTCTCTTTTCTATTAGCATGTTAGAATGAAAATTGATATTAATTTTACTTGCATCATAGTATAATAATGCACGTTTTATCGTGCAAATGCTTTTTAATTAATCACCTTCGTGATTATATTTTTGCGCATTTGAACTCACCCGTCCCGCTTTTGCTACTCCGTAAAAACGGAGTGCATATATTTTGACGTAACGTCACTTGCGTAAGGACGCGCTATATGTAAGCGTTATACTATAAGTGAAAAAAATGATTCTTTTTTTACTATATAGAGGATATTGAATGAGTGTAAGTTCAATACTGAATTTATTGCACGAGTATAATAAAATCATATTATGCGAGCCTCTGGCGAGCATAATATTATTTTTTTCAACGAGGGCAATAGATTCAGTAATGAACTTACACGAATTTAATATTCTATTTATCACATACCCAAAATAAAGACCGTTTAAAGTGAAATAAGAGTCATTTTTCATTGACGCGCCTATAGTACATTTAGCGCGTCTTTAGACTATGTTTGTATAACGCTAATGACGTCACGTCAAAATATATGCACGGCCGTGCAATACCATATTTACGGATTCGCAAAATCGGCACAGGTGTGTGATAAAAACAGTTCTAGTTTCATGTATGTGATAAATAGAATATAATATTCGTGTAGGTTCATTACTTAATTTATTAAACTCGTTGAATAAAACAAATGTTATATTCTTTCTATAAATTCAATATTGAACTACACTCATATAATATCCCCTAAGTAAAGAGGTGTACAATAGTTGCATTTTTTTCCATTGACTTTTTGTCAGAGTCAAAGTGTCAAGCATATACTGTACAAAAGGATTAATCACTTCTGTGACCCTTATATTCGGTATTATAAGAAAAAGGTAATATGAAAATTACTGGAAAAAATACCACCAAGTCCGTTAAATTTGAATACATGTATTTATTTCCAACTTACAAGATAGATTAAGTAAGATAAAAATATAATAGTGTAACGGGAAAAATGTCAAGAGTTAATACATTTATGAGAGAGAAAAAAACACTTAATGGCTTTTCCAAAAAGGGAAGTTCAGTGTGATTTTGGAAGTCATTTTTCCTGGTTGTTTTCACGGAAATCATGAAAAAATCTTAAATCTAGCATAAAGACCAATTAAAAATGAAGGAAACAATTACCGAAAAAGAGAGATTTTTACGAGTAGTTCCTGCACATTTGGACTTTTATGCTGACTATCTCAAAGTAAAGTTATTTTTCCGTCTCCATTTACTATTAACAGTTAGCTTGTCAAATGCTTTTTCTTGAACGTGGGGAAGCTATCAAGCTAGGTTTCAACCCAGGTGTCCGTGATTGCCTGAAATAATGCACGAAGGGGCATCTAAGGTCTCCCTCCTCAAGTAAAGCTGCAAAGTCACTGTACTATACTATACCCAAACAATATTGTTTATAGAAGCATATTAATTGAGGTGACGCACATGTATATGTTTTAAAAACCGGACATCATATATAGGCAATATTTATGAAAAATGTTATCTGTCTGATAGATGGTATTCTTGTATGAAATTATCATTGCCACCTCTAGTCTTTTCTCGTGTGTGCTTATAAAAAAGCATTAAATTTAAGATATCCGTACGCGTATTCATCAAAGGGATTGAAAATATACGTTGGACAGCAAACATTCTTAACACTTAGTATTAAACAGCGTTGCATGGGTTTAAATTCTGAACTCTTTTTGGGAAGATGTAGTTTACAATTTGCACAGAATCGACTGTTAAATATGATAAACATGTAATGCAGATTAGATTTTTTCCAGGGGTAGGTCCTTTGAAAACTTCAGCTGCTTGACGGGACCCTAATGTAAATACGTACAATCAGCGATTACTCGGGCTTTATTCCCTAGAAATAAAAGTTGCCAAAAAAATTTTGTTGGTAAAACAGATATACAATATGTATGGTGTGTACAAAATGATGTGTACATAATCAAATCACTTTTAGATTAAAGAGCATGCTGGGGCGGTGGATGTGGCGAAACATCGCGATATTGTGTAGCTTATTGTGGAGTTGCAGTAATTAAAAAATTCCAAAGAAAGAAATAGTTAAAACATTCATGTGTTCCGTGGTATACTTGCTTTTCACACAACATACGTACTTTTAACAATGGAAGGAGCATTCAACGGATAAGTAACTGTTGTTGTTGATTTGTTTTCGGCATACAATGTCCTGTGCCTTGGCAAAGAGCGTACCGATTTAGTGGATTTCGCAAAGAGGGACTTTTCGGTCCTTCCGTCAGTCGGATTATAGATAATAGCCGAGGATGTTCCAATTGGGACTGATATGGATATACAAAAGGTCGGAAATAAACATTAAAACCAGCATAGCAAATGTCCTGAGATTTATTCAAAATATATGAATTTCTTCATCTCATATAAAATATACATTTTAAATTGTATATAAAAAAGGCAAGCTCAAAATTGCTGCTAAACTGTTAAAATGGCAAAGTTTAATGTTATTAATTGAAAATACATCCCCAGAAGCCAGAACAGTCTTTCTCCATGTTGATTCGCAAATCAAAGCAGACGAGTTCATCCCTACTGACGTTGTCCGTCACACGAACTCTGGCTAGGTAGGTACCCTGTAAATAAATACAACATCATCAAGTCTCCCTTCTATACTACACTAAAACCTCTGAAAAACGTTCCTCTACCGGAATCCTCTGAAAACCGGAAGTCCCGTACAATCTCCATATAAGTGCATTTGACTGTATACGGTTCCTTTCATCAAACTACCATAACTCTTTATTGACAGATTATCACTGCATCTTTTATATGTTTGCGCAGTCAAATGCCAAATTTTACTTTTTACACATAAAAAAACCCAATGAAACCATTATACGGCGCAAATTTGGACCTGATGTTCATAATATTGAACAAACTTGGTAGAGCCCGACTAGACAATGAATCATATCTACTAAGCTCTAGCCCTTGTCATTTTGAAGAGAGAGTTTTTAGAGTTTTTTTTCTTTCAGTTGCCGTGGCAACCAAAATTCTCCATTGAATGGAATTCTTTGGAAAAAGCTTCACACGTGGAAACTTCTACACTGGTTCAATGGTTTAAAAGAAGATGCATTTTGAAACTTATTCGGTTGACGACGCAAGACACAGGCCGGTCACAATAGCTCATCATGAGCACGTTATGCTCAGGTGAGCTAAAAATAGCGGTTCACCATATGCCCGCTCTTATCCAATGAAAATACCAAATACAAACCTCGGCAAAAAAGTTCAAAGCTCTTGGTAACGTTGGTAACCTAATTCTGTTCCTGATAATGCTAACGGTCTGTGGGGGCTGGGGACAGAGCCCAGGGGTCATGCCGTTATTCCTTAACATCTGCTGTATATCCCGGGCTAAGTTACGCGTAATGCCCAACCAGTTTTCATTGACCATGTCATCTAACATCGTACACATGTCGTTGTATGTACTGAAAGTGATACACTAGCAAAAATCAGAAATGTTTCAGTGCAAATGGACATATGACAATTATTCAAATCGGAACATTATTATAGATAATAGCCGAGGACGTTCCGTGTCTGGTTCCCGGTTTATTCTATATTTATATTTGTAGTTGCCAGACCGTAATTAGCTCGGGGGTTATTTAATAGGAAATCTAAATTAATTTTAAAAGAAAAAACTTAAAATACAAATTTATATAATATGACCATAACATATTTCATTATCACCAAAAAAAATCTTCGTAAAGCGAGAGAAAAAAACAACAATTATTTACTAAGCTAATTATCATATAATTAAAACTAAGAGGTTACTTCCCCTGATCAGTACAATACAAACACTTAGAGATGTTCAACCTTAAGTAGTAGTAGTAGTGGTATTCAACCTTTGTACTTACCAAGATCCGATGTTCCTAAAACAAGGGATTGGAATGTTAACAAAGTAACCTTCGCGAACAATGTCAAGATGTAAGGCGGAACTTCCCAGTGTCCTATTTGTGTAGCCTTCAATGGTGAAAAACATGTCTCCTGGTAACAAAATCGGGTTTGGTTCCATATCCAATCGTGTTAGATGCACTGGGCTAGAACCGGGAGAGCGGTTTCCTGGAAAACATAATAGGTTGATTTTGTTTATAAATATGGAATACACATATAGAAAAAAATGTAATTTTGAGCTTAATTAAAGGAAACAATGGTAGTGTAGAATGCACATACATCGGTGTATACTGACGGGTATTTTCTAGAAATATACACTGTACATACTATAATTGTCTCAAACAGTTTTTCATTGCTTATTATTTAAGCCAAAGGTGCTGGTGGCATTGAATAGACATAAAAGATGTTTTAATCACTTATTCGTGCAATAAATGATACAAGTATATGTACTTTTAAAGAAATTTTGATTTATCATTATATAGTTATTCACACAAAAAATGATTTTATTGTAACTGACATAATTGTTATAATTATTATATCATTTTGCCCCAATATATGCATAAATCATATATTAGATATTTAGTCAATGCGTTTTCTTACATTATTAGCCCGTATGAATTCGACAAACAATTTGATTTGTCTTAAAAGCAGAAGTCATAACCACAGTAAAATCCGCTTATAACGATATTCAGGGGAATTTATATCGTAATATCCGGATACCGTTATAAACGATAGGCTGCCAATTTGAAAACAAGAGTCGGAACCGCGGCAACAATATCGTTATAAGCGGTATATCGTTATAAGCGGTATAACGTTATAAGCGGTATAACGTTATAAGCGGTATCGTTATAAGCGAGGTTTGCTGAATAATGAATTATACAAAATTAATTTTTCAGAAGTAAGGGTTTACTAAAACAGTATTAACATATGTAAGGGAAACTTTTACTGAGATACCTAAATTCCAAATTTAAAAAAAATGTTTACATCTTGTGCATCGGATTTCTTTAGTTTTCATCAATTCTGAAATGTTCTTACGATATTTTTTGTGAATAAAATACCATTCTTTACATCTTAATTTTAGTTAATAAATACATTTCTGGGATAAATCGATTTTTAATAAAATTTTAACTCACGGCATTGTCGCATGATTCCACGTGTTGAGCGGGGTGCTACATGTGCATCTAATCCATAAATTAATACAACACATATCGCACATATGACATTTAATTTCACGATCATTCTTCTGAAAATGTTTATTCCCTTTTAATCTAAATAATTGTGAGTTAACTTTATAAAAGGTTAGTATATCAGTGTTAACAAATCTTGAACTGTTTTGCTGTTCCGGTTAAAGGATTAAGAGTTTCCAAGAATGCGGTCACAAGATACGAGTGCAGTAAGCAAGGGGTTACTAAAAAGTTCCGAATATAACTAAAATTGCTTACACTAGTTAATTCACATAATGTCTATTAAACCATTACAAAGTTTGAAATTTAGTTTCAAGATAGTCTGGTCGGGAGTTTAAGGTGTATGCCTTTCAATGTTCGAGCCCCATTCGGGTCACAACCAGATTGTCTTTAGGCTTAACCATTTCCACGCTAAATAATTTAATTTGATTTGCCAAAACTGGAGAGAGAGAGAGAAAAAAAATGATCATTGAAGGGAAATTTTCTAAAATATTAACTTATTGAGTATCGAACAGTGCAGGTCATGATATGGTGTCATGGATGTGCCGGCTTATCTTGGTCTGCACTGTTCGTATGGCTATTTAATAGAACACGTATTTTAACACTTATAAGCTGCTGGAACGGAACATAAAAGGTTTAAACCACTGATTTTTACTTTCAACATTCAGTTCGTTACATTTTATATGCGAAATAGAAATAATTCTTGCAAATCAGTGTAATTAATCATGCCTAACTATGATTCCAGCCATTTTCGTCATTTCCGTCTGAGAGCATTATGCTTAATCTTGAAATGACACGGAAGTTAGTGAAATAAACTATTTTTTCACGAACTTGTAGCGGAAAGTTAATCTAAATAAAATCAAATGTTTAAAACAGATCCGTTCCCGTCATGGATAATCGACGAGTTGCAGCTTCAAAACATCAATCGGATCACCTCGGGTGACTTCATGTAGTCACGAACTTGCCGGAGATTGCCGAGTTATTACGATTATAACATCGTGCACGTTCGCATGCATACACTGTAGCTCTCTATTTCGCAAGCTCCGCGAGAAAATTGTAACTTAGGAACATCCCTCTTTGCCATCTGGCATTTTGTTATTGTCTCAGGAGTTTTTGGCAGAAAATTAGTGATGTAAGAAATTTGACCTGTTCACCCAGAAAGTCTATATATCTACGCCACGTGCAGTAATCTACGGAAGCGTGGGTTAACCATACTACATCATGAGTACTCAAAGTAGCGAACTTAAACACATATATTAAAGTTGTTAATTTATGTATAGAATTTGGTAGATTATCTTACAGTCTGAACTTGGTTTACATTATATAAATAAACATTCTTTTCTTCAAACAATGATCAATAGTGAGATCTTTAAATCAAGGAATTATAAAACATAAAGACTGTATTGTTGATAAAAAGTTGTATGTTCTAGATTCTAACTTCACTTTAGTTTGCTACATTTTATACATGTACCACATTGTAAAAATTGTTAGTGCACTAAAAACATGTGTAGGTGGTAGTAGAAGTTGTTGTTGTTGTTGTTGTGAGGGATTCTGTCATGTTTTTGTTTTTGTTTGTTGTTGTTGTGTTTTTTGTTTGTTTTGATTTTATATTGATGTTGATGCTGCTGATATTGTTGTTTGTTCGGGTTTGTTTTGTTTTCTGGTGTTATTTGTTTGTTTGATTTTTGTTCTGTTCGTTTAATTTTTTATTTTTTTTTTTTTTACTTAATCGATATGTTAAAAGAAAAAAACATTTTGGATATTAAATTTAATTAAAAAATTATGACAGAGACAACACATTTACTACAAAAATCACAAATATACACATTATATCATTTCGGTCGATCTTATTTTTAAAAGCTTACTTTATAAAATAAGCTTATTTATTAAAAACAGCTACTTTGTATATATATATTTTTTTTAATTCAAGAAATTTAAACATGTTAGGGAGTTTTTTAAAAATAACTAGTTACATAACGTTACTTAGTCCATTTATACTATGAATCCTTACTCACGAAATGAAACTCATTTTCAATATCAGAAGAATTACATGTCCATTCATCAAAAATAATAAAAGTTAAATGATGGTATGGCGAAGTTAGCCTTCCATACATTTTTCATACGATGTGAGTTATTTACAAACAAAAAAAGGTGGCGTGATCGTACGATCCTAAAATATCAAACATCTGGGTTGCTTGTTCGCTGCTTGTCCGCTGATCGCGGTCAGTGTATAGTTAATCCACGATTTGACATGCATCAATGCAATCATGAAACACCGCCTCTTCCGATTAGAGGCGACGAATAATACAGTCGAGGAGATCTATTGGCATATCGGCATACCTCGGCTATTATTCACATTCCTTCTCTAGATTGCGACGATGAGGCGAATCAATGCGGTATATCATTTCTATATGAAACAACGGAACGTAGGTGGCCCCGTTTGTGCCTGAAATGATACACGAAGAGGCACCCAAGGTCTTCCTCCGCCAGTAGCCATATAACATATTCCTACTGTGATTGTGCGACGGCATAATAATCATCATTATAAATATAAAATTAATTGTATTTAAATTTAGATCTCGCTAAAGATAAAATTAAGACAATCGGAAATCAATCTAGATAAAGCTCGAAATAAGGGTGGGTTTTTTTAAGATTTTCAACTAAACTTTATTATTGAAATTAACCTTTCAGACGACACATGACTTGAAAATTGAGTACCGCTCAAACCGGTGCTAGCGGGAGCTTCCATCATGTGTAGACTCAATCAAACCGAATCTGTAATTTGCATGTAATTTTGTTTCCAGATTTTTTGTAAAGGGAGGAAACTAGTGTAAAAATATAAACTTTATGATATGCAAGGGTTGTCTCCCTTCATTCAAAATTGCGTCTATTTTTTGAACATATTTAGGCTGCACGTTTACAAAATATGAAAAGTGCAGATTTGTAAAAAAACAAATTTAGTTTAAAAAAAAATTATTACATATACAAACCACAGGCACTTGGGGTGTGGAGCTCAAAACGCCATGTACTCAATATACTTCCCTGCTCACTTGAACATGGTAGTAATTCAGAATTAATACAATTTTACTAAAATCGAGAAAGTTCCACGCAGATTTAAAGTCAAAACAAAAATAAAATGTCATGAAGTTTCAAGGAAAATAATATCGGTAGGGTTATATTTATTATATACATGTACTGCATATAATCAAAGTGCTGAAAGTGCTTATTGTGCGATGGGCAGAATGCTCATTTGCGGGGTGGTTGGGGACAACAAGGGCCCTTCTGTTACAAAGTGGGAGCTAAAAAGACATGAATAGTTATTACAATATAATATTTCAATTTCATTATTTTGTCACTATAACAAAAGGAATAAACGGAAGAAATATAAATTACTAAACTCATTTTTTTAATAAGATCCTTTTAACTAAATAATCCTATCTCTTGAAAACAAAATGAAACTATCAAAATGAAGTTTTGAAAGTAAATATAAATTTGTTAGAATGATTATTAGAATTTGATTGTCACGGCTTATCTTTTGCGTGACAATATTCGAATTTATCCTGTCACTTGTATCAATTTCGGCCCGATAACAAGGTGCCGTATATTTTTTACTGATCTACGGCACTTGATCACGTGGTTTGCCGGACTACTTTTCAAGAAAAAAATAATGTTGGACTTTATGTTTCGCCTCAGAGTTTCCAATAGAAACGTTTTTTACAGGCCGTTCCAGTGGTATGAAAAATACTGTCGTTAAATCTTCTGTGTGTAGACTAACGAATTTTGGAAACGTTGATAAAACTTTGTTTCTTTTTCACTCTTTAATTTTTCAAGCGAAATAAAAATTATGAAAGTGAAATAAATGTAAAACTTAATTCGTGTGCGACATTAAAATAGCGTACTTGATTCGATTGTTTTGCACGTGCTGTTTGGCGCTACATTGTGACGTCACATAAACAATACTTTAAACGTCTGTACAGCGTTAACGACTGAATAAAAGATATTGTTGTTCGAATTCATTTTCTTAGTTAGACCATTTTCTTTCATTCTAGATAGTTTTCACAACAAAATTCGACAAAAAATTGTTTTTATTTATCACATTTTTCAAACAAAATGGCGCCTTCAAGGGAGATAATAAGAATGGCGAGTGCATTGTTGTACTTCGGGCCTTCTTTGTTTATATAGAAACATTTCCGATAGTGTGATTAAAGGTTGTTTGCCTAATAAAATTCTTTAAAAAAAAACGGTGACAGGATAAATAGAATAATAGATTGGTGCTGTGGATGGAGAAAGTTTATCTGGCTCTGCTCCGGAATTTATTGGATTCGCCTTCGGCTCACCCAATAAATTCCTCCGCCTCGCCAGATAAACTTTCTCCATCCACGGCACCAACCTATTATTCTCTATATCCTTTCTCATTTTGCATGAACAGTATGACACTGTGGTAGTGATGGAAGTTATGATGATGATGATGGTTGTGATGATGATGATAATGATGATGGTGTTGTGATGATGGTGGTGGTGGTGGTGATGATGATGATGATGATGGTGGTGGTGCTGGTGATGATGATGATGATGCTGATGATGATGATGGTGGTGGTGGTGGTGGTTGTGGTGGTGGTAGTGGTGATGATGATGATGGTGGTGGTGGTGTTGATGGGTGATGATGGTGGTGGTGGTGGTGATGATGATGATGATGGTGGTGGTGATGATGATGATGATGGTGATGATGATGATGGTGATGATGATGATGATGATGATGATGATGGTGGTGGTGGTGGTGATGATGATGATGATGATGATGATGATGATGATGATGATGATGGTGGTGGTGGTGATGGTGTGATGATGATGATGATGGTGGTGGTGGTGATGATGATGATGATGGTGGTGGTGATGATGATGATGGTGGTGGTGGTGGTGGTGGTGATGATGATGATGATGGTGGTAATGATGATGATGGTGGTGGTGATGATGAAGATGGTAGTGGTGGTGGTGGTGATGATGATGATGGTGGTGGTTGTCATGATGATGATGATGATGATGATGATGCTGCTGATGATGATGATGAAGTATTTTCATAATGAGGGTCCATCCGCCCTTTGAGGTACAAAAAAGTTGTCGAGTACGGAGTCCGGGACATGTCACCACTTTTGCCCTTTAAGAGTGTGATAATTTACCTCCATG